GCCAGCAGTACCTGCCTAAGCAGTCGCCTACTCTCGATATCCTCGGTGAGTTCGATCGTGATTAATGCTGTGAGTTGTCCACTTACGTCCTGTCGCACAGACGAGGCTTTCACCTCAGAAAACTGGATCGTGAGTCCACTTGTACTTTTGTGCTATGTACTATCGTTAAGTGATCGCCTTCTGTGCAGGTCCGGATCTACCAAGTCAAGAAGGAGGACTCGTTAGGCCGGGACCTCAAAAGCGCGAATGCTTTCGCGGAGGGTAAGAAGAGGAAACGGAGCAAGCCGCCTGTTAAGCGGAGGGCTATTGCTTGAAAATCCTTTGTAGCTCCTAGATACCTATTTAATTGAATGTCTGACGCTGTTGACCTTGCCTTCGACCCTCGTTTATTCGATGTACGTTCCAGTCGAAGCAGGATATGTCAGTTGCGATCTCGGTAGACCGAGGAGACCCATGTCTTGCCATTCTGCTCTACTTGCTCGACAGTGAAGCGGGTCCTGAATTGACATGTAAATACTGAGCACAACGCGATGTACCGTCGTAGCCAGAATCGGTTCGATGACTGAACTTTCAGCAAAGGCCGCCAGTGCATGAGCGCTTGAGCAACCTTATGTTCATATGTTTCTAGTAGTGGGGAAACCGTCCTCCGCACAAGAGTATATCTAGAATGTAAGATATACAATTTGTGTTCGCTCTCACTGGGTACATCACCCATATTGAGCATGCACAAAACTTTGAAAATAACTGGTCAAAGGTCAAACTTTTTTCATGATTGTCCATTGCACAGTCAGTGAAACGAATTAGAATAATACTACTTTTGAGTGCGCAAAAATCTGATTGTGACACAGGATATGATCTTTGTTCAGCACTGTTCATTGAACTTTCATTTGTTTTGCAAGGCAACACTATGAACAAAATTTGACCTTTGTCCGGTTCCTTTCACATTTTCTCAGTGGCTCAGTATGGGTATTGTACCCAGTGTCTATTGCCCGAGCCTGAGCGTGCATTCGGACAGATTGGATATAAATAGCATGTTCCATGGTAACCGGAGGCAACCGGGTCGATCTTATCTCAAGTAGAGTGTGACCATCGAGGCCGTCTGGATGGGGAACCACGGAAGGCAGGAGGAGCGGATGAAAGAGAAAGGGATCTCAACGCAAGTGTAAGGGGGACATGATACAGCACTGCCAGGATTGGGGTAGAGCCACGAGGTCATACAACTGAAAGCACGGTACAGTTGCTTTGGTAGAGCCAACGAGGTATCCCCCAGACGGAGCGCTGTAAGAGCAATAACCGTACAGACTGAGAGAAGCAACGAAGAAACGCGAAGCGTGACAGGACAATGAAGGTCATGCCCTGCGGAGTTTGATTCTGGCCAAAGCGCGTATCGAGCCTGTGGCGTGGGCCAATCCGTTCGAGACCACCCGCCTCTTGTTCTTTCACCTTATAACGAGTGCACCTTGTCCACCACCCCAACTCTACCTTCCAACCAATTCTCCATATCACCTGCACTCTACCGGATACTATCATGCCGCGAAAGAGCAACAGACAGACTCGGAAGACCGCTACCTCGCCGCGTCGGTCCTCTACACAAACTACGCCACATCCTACTATGGACGAAAACGCGTTGCGATCCCTGAAAAGAGCGAAAATCCAGGCGCTAGCTAAGGTCAGTACTCATGGGACCTCACTAGGAACGATCCTCAACAACGATATGATCTGCAGCGACACAAAATAAAGGCAAACCTGAAGACGGAGGTCATTATACGAGAGTTGTTGAGGAAGTGGGCGGAAGACGTGCCGGGGTGCGTAGGATGCGTTTCCCTCTTACCCTGCCCCGTATAACACTGCCCCGCAACCCATAGAGAGGGGTCAGCCCCTCCCTCAGCTTCTCAAGTCCCCTCGCCTCAACAACAAGCACAGCAGCCGCAAGCCGCCGAAGGTCGCGTCGCTTCTGAAGAAGTGACGCGACCTGAGCGCTCTGCGGAGGCTCAACAAATGCAAGGCGTAGAGGGAACTTTAGAAGGACCAGAACTGCCTTCGGCGTCGCAGGTCCGTTCGCCGACTCAGCAGGCAGACGCTGTTGCAGACCGCGCCGCTTCTGAAGGGGAGGCGGAACCTGAGAGTGCTACGGAGCTGTCTTCAGCGTCGCGAGCCGGTACGCCGGGTCCAACGCAGCGGCCAGAGGCTGTTGAAGACCGGGCTGTCTCTGAAGAAGAGGAGCGGCCTGAGCGCACTACAGAGCCATTACGATTCGAGCGCATAGCGGCGATGATCGCTGCACTCAGACCAGCGCCGCCATCAGCTTCGCAGTTTGGCTCGGAGCAGCAACCGCAGGCAGTCGAAGACCGCGCTGCCTCCTCTTCGGAGGCGCGGCGTGAGCCCACTCCGGAGTCAGTACGATGGGAACGCATGGCGGCAATAATGGATGCGCTTGGACCGATGCCGCCTTCAGCGTCCCAGTTCGGCGCGCCGAGCTCGGAGCAGCAATCCGAAGCAGTCGAAGACCGCGCTGCCTCCTCTTCAGGGGCGGGGCCTGCGCGAACTCCAGAGTCAGTACGATTCGAACGCATGGCAGCGATAATGGCTGCGCTTGGACCGATGCCACCCTCAGCGTCGCAGTTCGGCGCGCCGAGCCCGGAGCAGCGACCACCAGCAGTCGAACACCGCGGCAGAGCCGGACGCGCAACACGACGTGGGCGTACTGCCGAGCGGGAGATCGCCCATGAAGCCGAAGGGGTTTGCGACGAGCTTCCCCCGCCTTCTGCCTCACAGATGGGCCCCCCACGAGCGCGACGGCAGCGGCAAGCCGCGGAAAACAACGACGAACACGAACAAGTGGCGCGGCCTGGGCGTGCTACAGGGCATGCCCACGACGCGGAACGAGCTCGAGGACGACGGGTTCCTCCGCCTTCAGCATCGCAGATGCGTCCGGCACGACAGCAGCGTCGACGAGTTGTCGAAGACGATCTCGGACGTGAACATGTTCCGCGACCTGAACGCGCTCTGGAAGCCCAAACAGCTCTGGAACCAGAGCCATCGACGATTCCTGAACACGGCGTGGAAGAAGACAGTGAAGAGGTTGAGCAGCATATAGAGGACAGTGACCACGAGGAGAGTGTGTGGGGACTTCGTGATGCAACGCCATCTGAGGAGGCGAGTGTGAAAAGAGAAGAAGATGAGGTAGTATGGAACGCCGTCAGTGAGTACAGTTACCAAACCGTCTCGAATACCCGCCTAAATACCAACCGGTAGACGTCACCCAAGAGCGGGAAGAGAGACAGTCGCGCCTCAGCAGGATCTCGTCATGGGTCACCGGTCTCTTCGGCTTTAACTGGGCGGACGCGACTTCAACTTGGACGGATTCGGAGGACGAGCGCGAAGACCCCCCTATCGACGAGGGGGTGCATGAGGAGCGAGAGCCCCCAGCAGACCGAGCGCCAGAGGGTCCCACGGGCAGAGCGCTATCACCAAGAGTGCCTCCAGCAGTCGTCGACGACTTCCTAGCGGAAGTCAAACAGGAACTGCTCGACGATAACTTACCTCCGGCGATACCCACGCTGCGGCAGGTGAGGCACGTAGGAAGGAAAACAGGGCAGATGATGCAGTTGGGTGATGACAACAGTGCCAATCTGCTCAAAGCTGCGGAAGTCCTCGATATGGCCGAGGAGCTGATGGACAAGGTTGCGTCAAGACTCACCGTGATGGACAGTGTAAGGTGGGTACTGGAGGAGGACCTGATACCGAACTTGAAGAAGAAGGACGGACCTTTGTTCAGGCGAAGAATCGAGAACCGGGCAGAGTCTTCTGCGCAGGCGGAGGGCGATGGGAGGTAAGAGAGCAGTTATAGAACCATATTGCGGTGATTCTGATGCTGTACTTACAGAGCCGCCGCGGACCACGATACGGAGAGCCCGCGAGGAAGCGCAGAAGCCCTGTCAAGCAGACAACCCAGCCGCCAGCCATCTCCAGAACGACTGGATGCGGAGGCCCGCCGTTCACCATCCGTTAAATACAGCCAGACGAACAATGACGAGGAAGATCCTTTGTCTGGCACGCCCTCTGACAATGCCCCTCAAGGTGCTGCGGAAGAAGACGGCGAAGTGAGCGCCTACATATTGAGGCCGGCTTCGTTCTCTTTGGAAGAAGAGCCTTCGTCCTCTTTCGACGAAGAGCCAGAGGAGCCGCGATCCAAGCCAGATATCGTGGAGGAATGTTGGAAACCAGAAGGAAGGTATCAGGAGAAGGAATCGTGCGTGTCCGAAGATGGAGACAAGCAGGAGGAATCGGGCAAGCCGGAAAAGAGAGACAAGCAAGAGGAAACGAAGAAGGTCGACGAAGAAAAGGAAACGAGGAAGCCAGATGAGCGAGACACGCGGGGGTTATGGCCCACGAGGCATATCGGTACCATGGCAAGCAACAAGAGACGCCGAGATTCGGAGGATGAAGATGACGAACGCGAACGCGGACGCGGACGCGGACTCAGACGCGAGACTAAGGGAAGGCCTCCATCACCTGTAAAGCGTGTTCGGGAAGATGACGAACGCGAACGCGAGACTATGGGGAAGCCTCCATCACCTATGAAGCGTGTCTGGGGAGATGGTCGCCGCCCACCCATATGGAACAATGGGAGGATGACCTTTCCGGCACAGACTTCTCCTACACGTTGATCACCTGCGGATCGCAGCACTTACCTTCATCCAAGAGAAGTATTCATTCAGCACGAGACTGGCATGGGCCGCACTTCCCGATAACGGTTGTCCCAAATGCCACCGTCTTCGCGCCATTCACGTTTGCCACCACTGAAAGAGAGCATCCAGAACGCACCCCATCCCCATTATTCCTTCCAGCATTGTATCAAAAGCGTGCTGCAGCAGGCAGATCGTCCGCATTCAGCCAGTCCGCCCCTTCATCCAATAGCATCTGCCAAACAAGATTCCTGGGCGCGCAGTCAGCCAGGGTCTCAATGCCGACAAGTCCTTCAAGCGATCGAAAGAGATGATAGCTACATACCTGAACCATACCGGGGAGCTCGGCGTGTTCCAAAACCTCACCTGTACACCCTTCTCGTGCGCAGCATTTACCAACGTCCGGACGCGCCTCCTTGCGACCCAAGGCACAACCCAACTCCATCCTACTACATCTTGAAGATTGGCACTGGCAAGAGGGCTCACCGACGGCTTATATGCATCAAGTGCTCTCAGCGCCGCATTGGGTGAGACCAAGTCAAGGAGCTGCGCGTCCAAGAAGATGTCCCGCCTGCGAGCGCTGTTGTTCCCCAGCTCGAGGACCGACGAGAGGAGCGTATTCCCTGTTCCGATAACGGTTACGACGGAGGGCGAGAAGATCGGATATGGACTGGCGGGCACGACGGTGGTCAGATACCCAGCAGATCGTAAGGGCTCTAGATATTCGTATAATTTGTTGAACGTCCTTTTCTCGGAAAGAATTTAGTTTCCACCGCCACAAGATGGTGATGGACCGCATCCTGCACTCACTCGGAGCCGTCTGTCTTGAGATCGATGAGCAATTGCAAGGATAATTTCGGTGCAGTGTCGAAAACCCCTCTGGACACCTCTCTGGTCAGGGCTGGGATACATACTAACAGAAACGAGCTTCGTACCGCAGCCTGGTTACTCCATCGTCCTCCCTATCCAAGTTCGCTATGCGGATAAGATCTTGTAATGGGTCTAGATAAAGCGAGGATAGGGTCCTGTTCGAAGACAACTCCGACTCTGTGTGTCCCACCTGTCGCAAGTTCACTCAGTCGATTCCTCAGGAGACTGAACATACTTACCAGTAATTCATCCTCAACAAGCCATACGTCCGCTTCCACGCTCGCTGCCCCATAACTGAGGGCTTTCAACAGGGGCGCGGGTTGTTCGTCTAGGTCGGACGACGGTTACCCCAGCTTTGCCTATAGTAAGATGCATCGAGGGGACCCACAATCGTTATGCGAGTGGATTCTCTTGGGGGTAACTCCCGCCGTCAAGCTCACCCATTCGGTGTATCCCCACTGACGCATAGGACCGTTCGGTGCAGAGAGAAGGAATAGGAGGTCATTCCTCGTTGAGAATTCATTTGGCGGTATCCACCAGAAGGCGAGAAGGACGAAAGCAAAGCCTAGCAATGCGTATAGGATCTGTCGGGGCGGGAGTCGTCCGAGTTTACGATATGCTTTCGTCGGTCTTGACCTTGGTGGGTGGAACGAAGGTGGAGGCGCAGTCCTCAAAGTGCCGTTTGCAGATCTGTCTTCGAGTTCGTACTGCACAGCATCTTCCTCCTCTGTCTCGTCGGCGTCGGGTTCAAGCCTTGTGTACTCGTGCCGTTTCCTGTTCGACATCACGGAGGAACGCAGTAGGGATAGCCCAGGCAAGAATAGCTCAAGACGCAAGGATTGTCATAAATGAAGGCTCCGCATCACACAATTGATTACGTCTAATATATGGCAACGAACATAAAGGTGCTCTCAGAGAGTACTCTCGATAATTCGGTAGGATACACAGATGGGCGTCGAGAGGCATATCAGCCCACGACATGAATAATGGTACTCACGGCTGCCGGTGCACCTGGACATTATGCTCGTACCACGCTCAGAAATTGTTGTATATCAAGGGTGGCCTTGGTGGGCGTCTCCTGTACCCCCATGTGTATGCACATAAGTCCAACGCACCATTTTGGCTGCATCCGTGCAGTCGCCAAACGGTCTCTTTGGTCAGCTAGGGCTCAGTGTGGACTTCTCCAGACTTCCTCCCCGACGCAGGCGCTCATGATTACAGGAAAGCATAGCCCATGAGGAAAGGACAGTTTTGAACTGCGTGCATAATACATGGCTCGCGACATGTCATAAGAAGTGATAGCAGAGCAAAGCGAAGTAGAGGAATAACGGTTTATTTCTGTCCAGTTTATGAGTTGGGTACTGGCACGATATAGCGCGTTACTCACCAGGATGATACCATCGAACCGCTGCTTGAACCATGCCATCGTGTCCTCCTTCTTCACTCGGTGTTGCGAGCCAACACGGGCCTTCTTGGCCTTTCTCCGTGCCACCCGCTGACCCGGCCGGCCCATCACGACGTAGAAATCCATACCAAAGATACCGATACCAGGATCATACCGCGCCCCCAAGTCGATGTGCTCCTGGATACCGAAACCGAAGTTGCCCGTCTCCGAGAAGTTCCTGCGGCGCAACTCGTACTCCTTCACTTTCAGACCACGCTCAAGGATCTCCTCCGCCTTGGGCCCCCGGATGGTGACGTGCACCGCGATCTTCTCGTTACGACGAATGCCGAACGTTCGGACGGTGTAGCGGGCTTTCGATGTGACGGGCGTCTGGCCGGTGAGCTGTTCCAGCACCTTCGACGCTCGTGTCAAGCGATCACCAGATTCACCGACGGAGATGTCTAATGAACGAGTTTAATACTGGAGGTTGCACAAGGCAGGCAAGGACGCACTGATAACGAGCTTCTCGATACGAAGCTCCTTCATGGGGTTGGCGGGGGTCTTTTGGTCGGCCTGGACAATATGTCACCGTCAGCGCCCCCCCAGTGAACTTCGGTCGCACTCACCATGTCGTCTACGCCGGTGTTGTCGTTAGTGTCGCCTAGCTGAAGTCGGGGCCGTATGCCTTGATGTCGGGCGTGTGAAGGAGCTTCGGTGGCTGCCAGGTACTGTACATTTCCTCCCGGCAGAATCCGGTCGCCGGGGTTCTCGTAGGATGCCGCACAGGACGCCGGTGACTGTACTGCTCTGTATCGGACATCCTCTCCTCTGCAGCTGCATCCACTCGGGATACACTGGTACAATGGTGCACTATAGCGGGAGGTGCACTTCGGTTACCTACGAAAAAGAAGGGATTCCGTAAATTTCAAGACTGACATGCACGCAATTCAGGACCAAACGAAATCTGTCTTGCGCGGGATGCAATAATTGTTAGATATCAATACAGTGCAGCGTGAACTACAGTATGCCCCGAGGCTGGGACAGGACAGGGAGATATTATATCCAATACAAGAGTCAGTGTCCAGGAATACAACGCCGACGACCCCGTGTAGCATTGGTAGTCAGACCTCCGGAATGTAAGACTTGATGTTCTCTAGCAGTTCTTGAGCAATTTTCGGCGTTTGGACCTGTGGAACGAAATTTAGATTGGATTACAATGCACGATCATTATACAGCTCACCCGCAAGTTATAGTGAGTCGTCTTCCCATCCTCGATCGCGCTGAAGCGTAGATATCGTGGATCTTGGGCGAGGAAGCAACTCATACCTTTGAACAGGGTAACATTCAGCATCACAGAGAACACGGCCTCCTTGCGCATCACTGTTGAAATTGTCATACAGTCGTCAGTATCTTGCTATTTGGACAGCACCGCGAAGGTCAGAAGCCAACCAGGCGGACTTACACAATCGCGCGCCAGAGCCGTCTTCTCGTCTAACATTTAGTCGAAGAGACCCTGTTCCCCTTTCTTTCCACTGACTCTGAGCACTGAGGACAAAGAGCTTGCCGCGGACTTGCTGCACTGTGTCCTCATCCTCTTCACCGGTTGTCACTGGCCACGCGGTAAATATCACAATAGAAGGAACAAAGGGACGTAAAAGACGCACAATCTTGCTCGCTTAAAGCGATCTTGTTCCTCGTGGCAGTCCACTCATCCTCCTCATCTTGTTCGTTCTCATCCTTCCCGGAGCGCAAGCGCTCGCTAAAGGTCACATCCTTATCTTCCGTCTCCTCTTCATTGTTACCCGTCTGAGCATCCAAGACATTTGCCGTGTCTTTAATACTCGGTGAGTCAGCCCTGGCTCGCTTTAAGGCCGGAACAGCAAAGGGCGAGGCCTGCGAGGCGTACGAGGAGAACGCGCTGCTCGCCGCCGAGCCGGAGCTAGACACAGGCCCGCGACGGACCGGTGATTTGCTCCTGCTCAGACCGCCGATGCCTGTTGGTGAGCCAAAGGCAGGCACAGGTGACTTTGGGCGCGCCACAGAGGCAAACGGGGAGGCCGCAGACGCGAAAGCCTCGAAGCCGGAACGCTTGGCTGGTGTTTGCGGCGGAGGAGTGGCGGGTTTAGAAAGCGCGTTGGAAGCGGACGCGGGAGTGGGACTCGACCGTCCACTGGAGAAAGGGGACGCGGAGACAGTGGCCTTTGCAGCGAAGATGTTAGCGCCTTTGACGGCGGCGAATGGAGAAGCCGCCGACGAGTACGCCATGAAACCGGTCTGCGAGATCTTGATTCAATATATGCGCGGACACTGAAAGCTGACACGTACTAGTTTCGCAGCCGACGGTGCGGGGACAGGAGTAGGTTCGGCTTTCGGAGTTTGCGGTCGAGACGGCTCTGCTGGAGGTGTAGGCACCCTTGTCTCCTCGCGCTTCTCCTCCTCAGCGGGCGGCGGGGTTGGGCGCTTCGTCAGCCGTGGATTATCGTCGCTATCCGCATCCTCGCGGGGACGCTTTGCAGCGCCAGTGACGGAGTCGACGGAATCTCGCCTGGGCTTCGCCGCTGGCGCTTCTGACTCCTGGCTCACCCCCCGGTCAGCGAGCTTGCGCTTTACAGCAGCTTTGTCGGCGTCCTGTTCGTAGTCCGACTCGGGTGACTGCCGTTCAGAAAGTGCGGGCTCCACGACTAGAGACGGGGCGGGCGTGGTGTCCGGGGAAGTACCGCGTTCCGGCTCTTGCGATTCAGGGTCAGGGGCAGGAGAGTGTGATGCAGACTCCTCGGTCGAGTTCAGGGCGGACTGCACGTTCTGCTGCATATCAATATCTTCCACCCCTTGACTAATCTGCCGCATTTTCACCTCGTGCGGTGGAGATGTGCTCAGTGGTGGGCTCTGAGATCCAGAGGAGCTAGCCATGTCCTCCTCTTGCGCCTCCTCCGTGGATTCTAATTCATGCGAGCGCTTCTTCTTTGCGCGTCGGGGGGTAGGCTTCTTCTCGGCGTCGTCAGCATCGTTATCCTGTACCACTATTAGTATATTCCAGTGACGGAAGGAGTCGCAAGCGACGCACCGGATCGCTTGGTTTAGGAGTAGCAGGCTCTATCGATATCTCTCGCTCTCGTTTGGACGGAACTTTGGGGTCTAGGACAGACCGGAACATGAGAGATATCAGCACAACTGCTGTGGCGCTCGCCACATAGGCAAGAACGCGACGCACCTGGAATGTCTACCGTATCTAGTGTACACGCTTCGTTGGTCGGCTTCCCCACTGCTTGAAGGCCGTCTATAGCGCTGGCCACGTCGTCGGTCATGTTGGTAGAGCGAATACAAGTGCCACTCGGCGGCGCTGCTCAAACCTTGTTCACGCGGCCACGGCTCGCGGCGCCTGCCGGCCTGGCTTTCTTGCGCGTTGCCACTACAACCCCAGTTTATTATCTGTCTCTGATGCTGTGGTACCCTGAAATAAGGCAGGCTGTACAAGGAGATAGGAACGCTGACCCGACTAGCGAGGAACGTGGGGATGCTAGTCACGGTGCATAGTGAGCTTGAGGCTTAGGGGAGTCTTGAATGGTGTATGTGAATCATCGGCATTGAGGCAGGCATCTGGAGACCTCCACTCCGTTGATTTATGTTTCATTTATCTGACAGACGGATTGGCTGAAGATTACCGCGTTAATGCGGAGCGTTAGCTGCTATTGAGAAGCCTTGCCCTTCCAGAACACGAGGTTCGTACCCACCCTCTGTAGCGGATTGTGGCAGAATGTGAAGGTTCTTGCGCTCAATGATGCTACGGCAGGATGGGTGTGAATCTATCGGTAACAGAATGTGATGGTTCCCGGTTCTTGCGTTTTGTGGAGGATCGGCGCTGTAGGTAGCGCCCTACTCCATTTTCCGTCGTGTGCCTTCTCCTACCACCCAGTGAATGAAACAGTTTATTCTCGATATCCACGGCCGGCGTGTTTCCATATACCTACCAGCGCGAGCAATCAGGCCAGCGCGCCCGTACTTTCCAGGGTATGGTCCCCCGATCTTGTCTACCGTCCATTCCCAAGTAAGTATATCTTGAGCAATGAAAACGTTGCGTGACTAATGAATGTGTATGTATTTTCAGCTACATCCAGAATGTGTCGTTACTTGCGAGTGCCAATGCTTTTATTTTCTACCATGTCCAGGATCGCCCAAGATGCCGACGAGTCGAAGCCAACATTTGTGATCACAATGTGGACAAATAGTGCATTCGACTTCACTCTACATCTGGCATAGTGGAACGATCTCCGTCGGCCCCTCACAGAGCTACGTCTTCATGGACAACCCTTTGCATAGATTCCTGTACGCATCCAACTATTCCAAGCTGCTGGACGATACTCCATCTTCGGGTTCATGTTTGCAGGGCGTAGGATCTCACACGTCTCGTGAAGGCTTAGCAAGGATCCACATTGCATGCCCGATAATGGGATCACGCAGTCCTCCAACTCCTTGCCGGTCAATCATAGCCCTTCCTGTGTCAGATTTCCGACATGGACTTACCAACGGTGGTCATTAGAAGACTGAAATCCGTGGACCTCGGAGTCCTCGAAGATTGCAAGATGTTTTCGGTGGAGATCGTCCAACAAGTACCCCAAACCTGTGCCGGGATATGGGGGCATTCGGTATACTGCCATTTCTGTAGATTTAGGCAAGATTATGAAGACGGGAATATCCGCACCCAGGGGCGGAGGTATCTTGATAGACACAGAAAGGGGCACTTGGAAGAATTGGGCTTTGCTCGATAATGGCCGACCCGAAGTTGGGATTTTCCAGACCCGCTGACCGCATACAACGCTTGAGCACGATTTTCCTGTCATCGCTGAAGGGCTCGATCGTGAACTGCGAACGCTCCCATGCCGAATAATAGAGGGGTGTCCGCGAGGGGTCGCCGTTTGAAGTCTATGCTCGCGACGGGAACTCCACCGGGTTATCCAACTCCTCGGAGCATACAGCGATGGAAGAGACTAGTCTCGGGTTCGAATCTGTGCGGAGGTACGCCCAGACATTGCCCCACCTTTTCTCCCGCAACGACACTCTTTGCACAGGAATCCATGGTGTATGTCCACGCAAGGCATGGCTGTGTTCGGCGAGGATGTCTTGAGTATAATTGATGTCCTTCGGCGTCAAAACTAAGAGGAGGGCGTAAAAAGCTCAGGGATGAATTGCATGCAGCAGCTGGACCTGGAGGTGAGCTCTTACATACGTTAAAACGTTCCAGCACGGCTTAGCGCAGAAAGTAATCCACGTGAAAGCCAGTATGGAGAGAGACAAGTTGAGCACAAATGAGAACAATAAACACGGTGATGATCCTTGGCTGGCGCAGAAGTATCCTAATTAAATAATGATGTCTCAGAGAATGTCCCGTCATTGGTAACCGTTATTGATATCTTGGCCCCGGTAGCCCGACAGTCAGCAGAGCCGTGAAGGATGATACGATGCGATCTCTTTCTAGGTGCGGCACAAACTACCTTTCTGTTACATGACCAGGAGGCGCTTTTCTACACAGTTCGAACCTGTAGCCACAGTTGCGCGCGGAGATATCGGAGTGGCAAACGAAATACATCAAATATCACCGATTAAGATTGGCGCCGCTGGTGCTATGGCGCATGAACGGCCAACGCACATGTGGTATGCAGTCATCATTCGGGAGCCATCCAAGCTCATCAGTGATATTCCAGATCCAGGTAGCGGGTCATCAAGCGCCTCTCGACAGCACATGGATTTTCTGTTATTGAGCTTTCACCCCGAGGGTCGCCAATCTTGTCTACCGTTTCTCCCAAGTCAAATATCTCTTGGGCAACCATTCAGGTGGCGCCCATTCACTTCCTAATAGACTGGCGACTATCATCTGTGCGACAACTTCAGCGCTGAGTACCGGATAGCCATAGGAAAGGTCAGTCATTGAGAAGCGGGAAGGGCATGGTCGTACCACGAGAAGGCTCTCGGCATTCCATGACCACTGTAGCCTGCGGAGATGTACTGCCCCTCGAACCTTTCGCCAATTGGTCCGACCTGTGGGATGTGAGACGCGAGGTCATAAGATAGTTCGGGAGATACTCACGAATGGGTCCCCTATGGCTGTAAACCCCATTATGCCGCTCTTTGGCGTTCGTGAACACAAGTGACGAACCGTGTCCAGATAACACGCTCACCCATTCCATCTCAGGTTCCCGTCCCTTCGCATACTTGGTAGGAAAGACGTGAGGCAAGAATTCTCGAAGACCCTTCCCGACAACCGGATTCAGAGTAGAATCGTCCGTTGTGTACGTCTCATATCGCGGCCCAGTTGCTTCTCTCCCTCCACCCATGATGACCAGGGGCTGGTCCGTCTTGCCCTCGGACAACTTCGCGGGCATTGGGAACCAGTACTCAAAACCTTGGTTGCCGCCATACGACGTCTTCGTCAATTCCTCAGCAGATACATCGGCTCGCACAGCTATGATCTGGCCTCGCGCAGGGATGATTCCGCGCGGCCCGTGCAGATGCGGCAGGAGGTACGATGCATAGGCATTCGTTGCATGGACGACATATCCGCAGGATATCGTACCTCGCGCTGTCCTGACGCTCCAGCGTCGGGCAAATGGGTCGCTGGACTCGGGACTCCGTGCTGACACCGCCGTGACAGGCGTATGCGTGTGCAGGTTCATGGATAGCTTGCTCTCATCCTTCTGCGACGACTGGAATAAGTGCGTGACCAGCTTCAGGGGCCATACATTATTGCCTGGCCACTTGACACCGGGGTATGCCGCCCCATACTTCTACACTTAGACTCATATCAGCATGGCGAGGATTAGGAAGGATAAGATACCCCACCGCTTGCATTTCTTCTGCGTCCATCCATTGGACGTGGTCTAGGTTCAAGCCTGCAGCCTTGGCAGCAGCGAAGTCGGCTTTGCCATATGCTAGCTCCTCGTTCGTGAAGGCCAGGTGTACGTGCTCGCTACTGATGAGGTCGACATCGTTCGCTACATCGTCCGCCTTGATTAATTCAACAAGACGACGAACGGTGTAGTCCTCGATAGCGATCGATTTGATAGCCTCTTCCCGCCCGTACAATTTTTCGAAGTCGGAAAACTCTACAAAGGCTCGAGAAGTCAGGTGGCCACCGTTCCTACCTGAGCATAGAATGTCACAAATATTAGTGTCGTACTAGATAGTGTTTGTTGCAAGGGCAACACATACCGGTCGCACCGGAGCCTGAGAATATCGTACATCGTTCAGCAGCTATAACATGGCAGAGACGCGATTAGCTGACAGAAGTCTCTTGCCTCCAAGATAACGACTCTCAAGGGTCCATTTGTGCTACCCTGCAGCAATCTCGAGAGATGATAGGCTGTGGAAACGCCGGTGATCCCAGACCCGACGATACAGACATCTGCATCAGTCGTCAAGGCCCCTTCGCTCCCCTCTTTGGCTAGGGGGTTGACACCGGGGGTAGAATCTAACCAGAACGACTTGGTAGGGTTAGGGACGGGCAAGTCAGCCCGAGCGTCATCCTGTGCTTCAAGTTCTAATAAGGCTTTCTGCGCGCCTGCTAATTCGTTGAATGGGAACGGGAACCAGTGTGCCATAGCGGACGAGGAAGCCGAAGAAGAATTAGCAGATAAACCAAGAAATTGCTCGCAGCTTTTCCGGTCAGATCAGTACATCTCTCATGGGGCCGACGGCTAGGTATCGATGGCTGGATCACCCCCAGCGAACTTCGTATTGAATGTTTTGTATGACATTACAGTTGACTCGGATGTTCATGCCTGATCGCAAGATTGTCAACGTCATCGCAGTGGCCATGGTCCTTTGTGGTGCGAACATTAATATTGGTCTACCCGGAGTCACTGCTTGAGTTGATCCGGATTGCGCCGCTTGCCGCTGCAAGTTCATTCAAAGTACCGTCCTTGCATTGCTCGCACAAGGTATGTAGCACCTCAGACCCGTCCCTACTTCCTCCTCTATGGAGTAATGAAGCTCGACGTCCTTACACTTGAAGCTTTGTGTCGTCGCCTGTAATTTTCGAATGTTTGCAGCTCCAAGAAGAGCACAGACTGGGAACCAGACGCGTAAACTCTCTCCTCAAGATACCCGCACCGCTACGTACTCACCTGCTTTTTACTCAGTGTTGCGCTAGCCACATCTCTGTCACCTTAACAACACCAATATCCTCATCTTCTTAGGAATCCTCCAACGACAATTCGTCACGCCTGTCATGGCCTCTCGTCTAGCTAGGCCGCCTCTCGCACTGAGTCTACTGCTGGTACCAACTAGCACACCCGCTTCCTCTCCATCCCACCGCAAAGTCCGGTAGGATGGACGGGAGGGCCGTCGGCGAGGGAAAGTCTTACACGTTCTGAGTGAGTCCCCTCAGACTTCCGAAACATGAAAATTATACAAGCATTGTATCATGTGAAGGAGCTACTTTATGCTAGCGGCCCTGATGCCGTACAGTGACTAACAGAATGCGGTGACCATTGCGATCTAACGAATGGCTTTTAGTCCACTGTTTTCGAAGAGAGTGAAAGCATGGTGCGAACCTCGTCTATCTTTCTTTTTACTTGCGCAGCCAGAAGCTGGCTAAACTCTTGGAGGTCCCAGATCGCCTTCTCGCAGCAGGTGCGACACTGAGTCGCTTCTCTCGTGCATTCCCGCAGTATAGCCTGGGTCGTGAGGACCCCAGGCGACGGCTTCTCTTTCAAAGCCTTGGATGCTCGTTCTATATAACCTACCCACCATTTACGAACTGGATAGGTGCCCTGTGCATGCGCAAATCGCCACGTGTGTGAGGCACTTGCGCAAGATTGACACTGTAGCCAGACCCAGTCATCCCGGAGGACCCAGTGGAAGTTCGATAGTAAAGACAGGGCACCTTGAACGCATTTCTGCCGGAAAGTCAGTAGCCGGTGGTAGGATAACCCATTAATCCGCTTGAGCTCCGGTGCTTCGGGGCTTATCATGTCGTGCTGAAGCGTAGCCTTCGCAGCAATGCAGGCTTCATTATGCAACAAGTAGCGACAGGCGGTGGCAAAGACACGGAGAGGATGACTGTTCAGGAATGCTTCGGAAATCAGCGCTCGTCGCAGACTCTTGGCAGCGTGTGGCATTTCATACTTCAAGGCGGCGTCTAGAAGGGCCTGCATAGTGGAGAAGTCGCTGACATCTGGCCTATCCAGAGGATAGCAGTATCTCAGGAGGCCGTCGAGGATCTTCGCGTTGTCTTCTAGCTGAACGAGGCGCACTCCGTTGACGATGTGATGGCCAACAGATCCAGCGCAGACAATGTGTGCGAGAGCCTCAGATGATAGGTCCAGTATATTCTTGTGGACCCAAAATTTGACCTGGTCGGAGGAGAGAAGTACGACGTCGGCCGTCTTCTTGTAGTCAAATTTGAATGCAGGCACGGATGCCGCCGCAAGCCCTCCTGTGCCAGTATCATTTATGGGTCCTTTCCATACTCCTTTGCTGAGGGCGCTTGAGGTGCTTGAGGCACAAGCTCCTTGGACTGGACCAGACAATGTACCATTTTTCGACGGAGAAGGGGCGGGTGTGTGCTCCTTCCCGTGACTAGCCTGTGTGGCACCCGAGCCCAACGGGAACGCAAAGTTGAACTCCTTCTTGACGGGAGGGGTAACGGAAGACACAGAGCCAGTGCTACTACTGAATGAGGACATGCCGAAGGAACTGTGAACTCTTGGATATGCAGGATGTATCAAGCAGACAAAGCTACCTACGCGACTCTCATAAAGGACGCGTGACGCACTATGCACGTGTTCGTGACTGTCGCTCTTTCCGGTGCAACGTTGCCTGCATCCGAGTCCGAGTCGAGCGCTCCTGCATCGTGAAAGGGACGCACGACCCACGATGATGCTCTTCAAAAAATACCATGCTTTCGCTTTGTCTATAGTCTGGGCGCAAATTGCATGTTCTTCACGATTTGAGGACCAGAAAATCCTTAGTCAATCCCTCAGGCAGACCGAATTCTGCTCATCGGGATGTCTGCCCGTCGCCAACTCAACGAAGTCATTCTGGATCGACTCTCCAAATGCCAATCCTCTAGCTACGGAAGGCAGTGGAGGTACCCTTACTACAGACGCAGACGTCTGTATAATCGGGTCTGGGATGACTGGTGTTTCAACCGCGCATCACCTCTCCGAGCTGCTGGAACGCAGTTCTGCCCCTCCGCTCAAGGCAGTTATCTTCGAGGCAAGAGACTTCTGTCAGCATTCATGTTTTCATCTTCCATCTTCTATTCACAACATAGTCCATAACCACAGGCTCTGGCGCGACTGGTACGTGGTATGGGTAGTAACCCGGCAATGAGTCGGCTCATGCAAGGTTAAGGCAGAAACGGAGGCCACTTGACCCCTCGCGCCTTTCTAGAGTTCACTACCTATGCTGAGCTTTATGGCGAGGAGGAAGCCATGAAGTCACTCACTGTGGAACACCACACAGCAAGCGGTATTGTCGATATCATAGAATCCCACAACCTTACAGTTGACCTCGATCTTGTCGAGGGTGGTCATATTACTCTGTTCTTTACCGAAGAGAGTGAGCGAGAGGCCAGGATGGACTATGCAGCTGCGGACGCGGCTGGGGCCGACCTCAATGACGTCGAATGGATGACCCAAGAACAGGTATCATCTGTAAGTCATGCCCTGCGGGCTCTAACATCGTTTCGTGGGATGCATACAATCTGAAATGATCTGAAGAAATTTGGGGCACGGTATCCTGGCGTCAAGGTCCCGGCGCACAATCTGTGGCCTCTAAAGTTCGTGACAGGAATGTACAACATCACGAAGCTCAACTCGAGCAAGTTGTCACTACACCTCCATACCCGTACTCCCGTGACATCCATGTCGCCTCTGGAGTCAGACCCAAGAGACTCCCTGTCTCGTCGCTGGAAGCTTACGACGCCCCGGGGATCAACCTCTTGCACATACGTTGTGCACGCGACCAACGCCTACGCATCTCACCTCCTGCCCCAGATGCGTGGCGATCAAGGGATTGTGCCTACACGCGGCCAGATAGTCGCAATTCGGGCGAATGCATCTGCAGAGGAGCTCACCAAGGCGTCATGGAGCGCAGAGCCCGGGACCGAATACTGGTTCCCGCGGCCAGTGAACAGGACGACTGAGCATCCCTTGGTAATTCTCGGTGGTGGTAGACACCTCACCGGGCCCAAACGGGAGAGGTACGTGACCGACGACTCGGCTCTGAATCCTGTGATTAGTCGCGCTCTGCGGGAGTACTTGCCAGACGTATTCCCGGGTAAGTTCGATCCGGACCAGGAACCTGAGATGGAATGGGTGAGTCGCTTCCATTTGCGGTGACAAAATCACTACTTGAATTTGATCTAGAGCGGGATCATGGGATATACCGCCACTGGGGACCCTTTCGTACGTGCTTGTTAACCGGATGGATTGACATATATTCACTCCCTGTTTGAAGGTCGGACCATTGGGCGACGGATATGGCGGTCAGTACGTCGCCGCAGGGTTCCATGGCCACGGCATGCCCCGAGCTTTCGCCTGGTAAGCCTTCGCCTCTCTGAAGCAAACGCAAGCACATTGTTGACGCCGCGCAGTGGGGAAGCTGTGGCCCAGATGATCATGTCGAATCTCTCGGGCGAGACATGGTCCCCTCCCGACTGGTTACCACGCAGGTATTTGACTTGGGAAAAGACCTAATGTCTGACCCTGTCCGAAGACGAAATACGTCGAGTATCTGTCCGTGTATCTGAAATCTTGTATGCGACCGGTGACCCTGTTACCTCGATCGCTGCGGGTCTCGCTCCTACAAGTATCGTAGTAACCCTACACAACGTGTGCCTGAAGTTATTCTCTTCGCTGTAGCATATCCGCCTTTTTTTTTCGGCAATTGCTACTATGATGGCTCACGGACACAGCCGCACGAGCCTACATATCGGCTTCCACCATGGAGAAGCCAACTTGCATGGCGGATGGCAGTGATGGTGTAAATGATGATGGAGGGAAATCGGAGATCTCCTAAAGCGAGTGGAAGAAAACCCCCTAGGGTGGCTGGGGAGTTGCCTGTGGCGAGGGCCGGGCTACGACTCTCCAGCAATTTATTGAAAACAAGAGCTGCGCTGAATGGCCACGACTATCCTCGCGTTCGTATCTGCTTTGCAGTATTATCACGTCTCACATAATGTACTGGTGCAGACCTTACATGGAAGTTGAGCCCATGCCGTCACTCGGAAACACCTATCCTCTGTAGTAGTTCGTCCTGACGAAGGGCATGGGTGTGACGACCGCTTTTCGCATCTGCTTGCGGACCTCGACCTCCAGCTCTGTCCCTTTCTTATGCCAACCGCTCTGCACGTAGCCCATAGCAATATTCTTCATCAGCGTCGGTGAAGGTATGCCCGAAGTGACAGAGCCTGCGGTATCGATGAGACGCCCGTGCAAAGCTGTCACCAAGGGCACACTGAGGTACGTACCGAGAGGCTCTTTAGTACCGGGTTTGTAAATTGTTGCACCCTCTGTAAAACAATTGGCAGGCTGTAACGAACGAAGTAATGTTTCGCTCACGTCTGGCGGGAGCTCCTTCTACAATCAAACCAACCCGTCTTCTTGGGGGACCATCTTTTAGATGTTTCTTGACACCCTCGAAGCCGATGAAGTCTGCCGAGTCCCTCCTGTCCTTCCCTAAAGTCAAAATAGAGTCAAGACTGACCTTCTCAGACGTAACGTGACCCGACTGACCGATAACCCACGTAAGACCAGCCTCAACGGGGGTAGTGTCCTCGTCGAGGTCTTGGCCGTAAAGACACATGCCGGCTTCCAAACGAAGACTATCTCGTGCACCCAAACCCGTAAGCTGGACAGGGTGCCGAGCGAGCAACTGTGCTACTTCTTCGGTATGCTTTGGTGGGACAGAGATCTATAAAGCAAATGTAACCGGGTCAATCTTCTGACATAGTTTCAGGCTTGGAAAGAAGACCTCAAATCCATCTTCACCGGTGTACCCCCCACGTGCTACGTGCAGGTTAAATCCCTCGATTGGGAGGAATGCGGATCGACCAAACGTTAAGCCTTTCAAGTCGAACGAAGTGAGCGACTGGAGATACTCTGCAGCCTCAGGGCCTAGGTGAATGTGAGCATACCTCCGGATTCCACGGTTCACAGCGCAAAGACAGTACCTTGCAAAGCGAGCAAGCCCCAATCTTCCAAGACCTCCAGCTCGACCTTCCCGGACGCGCTTCTTTCGCTGGAGTTCCATTCCTCGAGCTTCTCGTTGAACCACGCCAAATCTCGGTCACGTCTGCCTGCATTCGTAACAACGTAGAACGAATCTTCGGCATGTTTAGTGATGACAGTATCGTCTATGATTCCACCCCTATCGTTTAGGAGGACGGAGAGGGTCGACGAATATGGAGCCAGCGACGAGAGTGAGGAAGGGGTTAGCCATTCAAGGAACTGGGTCACGGTTGCGCCTCGGAAACTGAGCATATTCAATAGACGTATACAAATGAAACGAACCCGAGACGTACATGCTTTGCACCATATGTCCTACATCGAATAGTCCGACACTTGATCGAACATGATTGTGAGCGGCCACTGAGGCGTTCAGTCATTAAACACAGAGCGAAGGGGAGCGGTTCAAGGTACCTTGGCCAACATCCCCATACTGCAGAGGCATGGAATAACCGGCGAAGGGCACCATCTTCGCACCACGTTTGACATGGAATTCATATAATCCCGTCTTCTTAAGCTGAGATAATCCTCAGAGACCCCTACAGTACCAATGGCTGATTACTCACCTCACCCGCTGCAGCTGCATATCCTCTCTTCGCAGTGAACTGCGTACATCTTAGGCTGCTTGCGCGGAAACCGAGTCCGCTCCTCGTTCGCAGCGTCCGTAAAGCTATCATTTCAGATACAAAGACGGTCGTTAGGACCGTTCCCGGAACGTGTACGAGAGGGCAGCGGACAAGGGTGCACTTACAGGCCTAGGTCACATATATAGGCGAGTCCGGCGTAATTACGATAAAGGTCCTGCGCTATCAACGTAAACGCGCGTTCAGTAATTTGTAGTCTCAATCTGTAGTCCTCACTCTAGTCAGCTTGTAGTGCATACCATCGCGATTAGAACTCCGATTATTGATAGGACATCTCGAATTATCACTGCTGTTACTACTGCGCTGCTCCTCACCTCGATACGTCCTGACGACGCCAAACCTCCTCTCGTCGGTGGCCCCGTGAAGCGTTCAGCCTGTTCCTTCTGTAGGACGGGTAAGGGAACAATATAATCTCTCCTGTTTAAACTATGTCTCGCTTTGTACGGCCGTCCAAATATCGGTGAGCTTGCGCACATTGCTCGACGTGTCATGGTGCTGAGACGTGTGCAGTCACGTCTTCGGACAGACAGGGAAAAAGGAGTATGGCATCGAGAATGTCAAAGTGTCCAACACTGCTTGGGATACCAACCTAATCTCGGCATCAGGGGCAAGTTGTCTGTCCGTATTTTGCTTGCGATATCATGCCTGACCGTATTACCGTGTTACAGCGATACATTAGCGTAAACTGGAATGCATCGGGAGGAGGAGCTTTTGCCATCCTTCCCCTCCCCTCGCCTTTCCAGCCCATTCCCAATTTCCCGTACAAGCTCCCCGACATCATCCCCTTGGCACGCAGCCACACCGCTCCCGTCCTCGACACCGACTGGTCTCCCCACAATGACTCCATCGTCGCATCCGGAGGTGAAGATGGTAAAGCGATGATCTGGAAAGTCGAGTCTTCCGTGTTCGAAGGTTGGAACGATGAGGGTTGGCAGCCCCAGGACTTTGATCCCGTCGCTCGGCTCGATGTATCACCACGCAAGGTCGGACAGGTTCTGTTCCACCCAACCGCTGAGAATGTCCTTGCGACTGCTTCCGCAGAGCACACCGTGAAGCTCTGGGATCTCGCGAACCCCGAAAGTGCCAAGTCAGTCCTCTCCGGGCACGGCGACGCGATTCAGAGCATGGCGTTCAACCCGGCTGGGACAGTACTGGTAACAACCTGCAGGGATCGTAAGATCAGAATATTCGATCCACGAGCTGGAGGTGAGGCAGTCAGAGTCACGGACGGGCACAGTGGCATCAAAGGTGCACGCGTTGTATGGATGGGCGAGCACAACAATATTGCTACGACTGGATTCAGCAAGATGAGCGACCGTCAACTGAGCGTTTGGGAGACTGGAGGGTTGAGCAATGTCAAGACCATGACTATTGATCAATCTGCTGGTATCATAATGCCGTTCTGGAGTGACAACAACATCCTATTCCTTGGTGAGTTGATTCAATATCGAGTTCGCAGAGCGTAAGTGATGCATGATGCACATTTCCATAGCTGGCAAGGGGTACGTTCCTTCGTGACATAATTTGTTGGACCTCTTGTTGACGATATTAACCAGTGATGGTAACATCCGCTACTACGAGTGGGAGTCCGAGACATTGTATCCTCTCGCGGAGCACAAGTCGAACGAGCCACAGCGTGGAATGTGCTTCCTGCCCCGAAGAGCGCTAAATGTGTTCGACTGCGAGATTGCTCGTGCCTATAAGATCTCCGGGTCGTACATCGAACCCATCGCATTCATTGTCCCCCGCAAGGTACGTCCGTTTGGGTTCTGAGTGATGCTACGCATCTTGCTAAGTTCATCCCTGGCAGTCCGACTCCTTCCAGTCCGACATATTCCCTCCCGCACCTTCCGCAGAACCCGCCCTTAGTGCCGCTGAGTTCTTCTCCGGCAAGACCGCCTCTCCAAAACTTGTCAACCTCGAGAACGGCGTCACTTCCTCTGGTTCATACACCCCGGCCTCGCTCTCGACTCCCGCACCGACTAAGACTGCATCGGCTCCTGCACCCAGCCCAGTGGCTGCCCCTTCACCTATTCCCGTGTCTACGCCTGCAGCAGCTCCAGCCCCTATCAGCCCTGTTGCGCCCAAGGCGGAACCACGAGCTACACCTGTTACCCCTTCCCAATCCCAGCCCACGTTCGACGTAAGCACCATGGTGCATCATTCAACTATCATTGGACGTCTGACTTAATATCTCCTTGTAGTCTGGAAACGGCAATGCCCTTCTGCAAGAAGAAAACGCGCGCCTGACCTTAGAGCTGCGGGACGCGCGAGAGAAGATCAGGAATCTCGAGCTTCAAGTGGAGTCTATCCGGGCTAACGCGCGCAAAGCAGCTCAAGCCTTATTGGATGAATAGAGCGACCTGCATAATGTTCCATAATACAAAGATTGTAGGTATCGGGGGATGACATTTATACCATTGGGACTGCTTAATGCTCTGGGTGCCAACTCAGGAAGGTACGGACCGGGAGACTATCATGATTGTCAGATTATGAACAAGGTCGGCGCATAGGCTACTATCATTTGGGTAGTTTTGCAAAACTCTGTAAATCGACGTGTTGCGCTCAGCTCGCTAGATCTAGAGTCGGAATTTTTGCGTGGCATCGTGTAGCACCCTCCTATGTACCCTACAGTGATTTCGTTGTATTGTAATACGAGGTGTAGGGGGTGCTAGATAGATGCCGGTTTGGTAGGGTTTGTCACCCGTGACCTCCCCGCGAGATCCATCACGTTTTTGTCACGATCCGCCTCTCGAAGTTTTGCAAAACAGCATCCCTATAGCTACATCCTCACAATCGGGTTCCTTGGACAGCTCAATGTATGGTACAATAGTATAGCCCAAACAGGACCCCGGCGAAAAACGATGGAATGGTGCCATATCTGGATTTCACACGGTCTGCAGCTGCAGGCAGCTGCAAACACCCTCCCTCTTCATAACCACTCAATGTTTCCCCAGACCAAATTCAGAGCGCATCCAGTAGTCGATATCTACATGCCTACAGAGTCCCTGAATTTCTTTATGAGGAATACAGCTCTCGGTAGGGTAATTTTGTAAATTTTGCAAAACTACCCAAATAACAGTAAGTATGCAAAATATGCAGTTCGCGATCGCTGAAGAGAAGAGAAAAACATTGGCCAACGCCGGGGTCGAACCGACGACCTTGGCGTAACCACCATCTAGACCCGTATCAGGGAAGATACAGAGCAGGACAGTAAGGTATTAGCACCACGCTCTAACCAACTGAGCTAGTCGGCCGTTAAATGGTTGATAATTAAATAATCTATATCTGGCCTGCGACGAGTGACAGTCAGTTACACTCATCGCCACAAACGCGACGCATCCGTTTCGCCTGAACCATGTTCTTCATAGTATGTATCTCCTGTGGTCACCATGCATTCCAGCATTCACGAGTGACTCGGCGACTAGAAAGAATTGACGCATACTATTCTGCTTCATCCGTCATACTTTGGTCCTCGGATGCTCCAGTTCCTGGAGTCTAAGCTATATTCCGACGTTGAAGGAACATGTTCAGGACAGTTCGGTTATATCATCGCTGTCGTCTCCATTCTAGATATTGGGAAGGGTGTCGTCCTGAGTGGTAGTGGGCAAGCTGAGTTTGTGACACGGTACCGGGCAATCGTCTTCAAACCCTTCAAAGGAGAAGTTGTGGACGGAGTTGTGGGGAATGTGAACAAGGTACACTTGGAATGGCGGCAGATGCTGCAGTCTTTGATTAACACCTGATTGCCTCAGATGGGTTTCTTTGCGGACGTTGGCCCCTTGACGGTATTCGTCTCACATCAGGTGCGAGTCTTCCCATACCCTTCTTCCAATTGTTTCACCATTTCGCCCTCGCAGCTCATCGGGCCAGACTTCCGATACGATCCCAACTCTAATCCGCCCTCTTTCGCTTCGGAGGACCAGGCACGTAGAAGTCATGCATGTGGCTTTTGTACTGATAAGTTAGCTTGCCTGCCTCCTAGATCATCGAGAAGAACACAAAAATTCGGCTAAAGATTGTTGGAACGCGTGTCGATGCTACGGAAATTGTGCGTTATTGTGTGTTGTTGGTACTCTACGTCGCTGATGCGCCCTTTTCCTTCCACCGTTACATCTGAAGTTCGCCATTGGCACCATAAAAGAAGATCATCTTGGTGTCATCGACTGACGGGTATTATGCTGGGTTTTCATTGCTTTCGTATCTTTTCGTCGCGTCCTTAGAATGTATATCTAATGTAACCTAATGTACCGGTGCCCTCCAGGCATAGATTGGGAGAATGTTGTGCCTGTCGCGCTCATCATGACACCTGAATTTCTGACTGAGTGATAAATATATAAGGATGTATCAGATAATGTATACATGGCGTTAGCAACATCCAACATATTACATACGCGTAAGGTGATCCAGTCAATCAGAGATGCCGACTGCTCAGGGTCCATAAATCCTACTCTTCATCCTCGAATCTCAGGATCTGCGCATCCTCGTCGACAGGAACGTTCCGATACCCGCTTCTCGATCGGAATCGTGTTGTCAACGAATCCACAGCTTCCGCGACATACTCATATGCGATACCCGCGATGCCGACAAGGAACCACGGCACGGACGCGAGCGTTGATACAATACCCGATTCGCTGCGCCTGTACGACATACCTGGCTCCCCTCCAGGCAAACGGATGGTGCTGGCAGAGAGAGGATTGAACTGATGAAGCGAAAGGCATAAGACAATATTACATACCCTCTAGCCATGCCGCTTCTGCGGTAGTACCAGTAAGCCACAAGGGCTGTGAACATGAATGGTATCACGATTACTGTCCACCAGAAAAACGCGCCATGGGCCTTGAAACCCGGGCATACGTGCCGCTCTCCTCGGTCAAGTCGTAGACCATCCTCGCAAGACGAATAGGGTATTTTCCGGTATGGAGTCCGCTCGTACCAATAATCTTCGCCGTTCCGGCAAGACGTCTCCGGGTCGCTTGGCAGTGGCTGGGTCCCTTCCACGAGAACGCAGCTGCCGCTGCTGTCTCTTACATGATTGAACTCACTTGGTAAAGTTTTTTTCAGTAAGAGCCTCATGAAGAGAGTCGATGTAGTCCACGTACCATTCGAAATCATGTTCGTCGCAAGCACAATTTCTGACTATACGCTCTTCAGCCTTGGCTTGATTCCCGACCACGCAGTTGGCTTCACGTCTCCGCCTGTGGAACATGGTCTAGGGTTGACGAAGGTGAACAACTTGAAGGACATAGACCATTCGTGAGCTCACCTGACGTCCGAAGAGACAAAGCTCTGCTCTTTCGTGACTGGGACTCCATAGCTCGAAGTCGTCGTGAGCGGGATCCTGAACGTCCAAGACGCCTATGGAAGTAGTTTGAGTTGATGTACACATGAACAAGAGCTCTACTATTACATTGCCTTGTAGTCAGAGCAGAGAAGTCAATATGGACTGCAACCGCCGCTGAGGGTGACCGGGGATAAGAGCCGAAGAGAATGAATCGGCGGCTGGTATCGGACGGTACGGTGACGATGGCATAGACCCGGAGTTTGTCGTCCGTGAACTTGTACTCCCGCCATGTCTTACCCTCGTCGGTGCTGAATAGCACATGGTCCGTGGGTTCCTCATCGTTGGCCATGACAAGGATCGACCCCGAATCACCGAATTCCCAGAGATGTGCATCCTTGTGAACTTCTTCCCAAGTAAACCCACCGTCACGGCTGAGGAAAGTGTCGCTTTCCGTATATGGTGCCAAGCTCTCGCCAACGTTGCCTACGGCCATCAACAGACCTGGAACAGAGGGCGTGCTATATGTTGCCCTTGGATCCCGACGCTCCGTATATCCGTGGACGTGCAAGGCGCAGCTCTAGGCAATCAGAACGTAAGACGTAAATCTAGTCACCAACGCGCATAATCGCATTTGACGTACAACACTCGTGCAGTCATAGCGTAGACCCTGCGAGTCAGTTGTAGGAGGTGTCAGGCTCTTCCATGAACCACCTAGAGCCATGTGAGCAACATGCAGCTTCGACAAAAGGGCAGGATGGGTTTACCGTCATTATGCGTAATCCGGCTTTGCAGCTTCTTCGTGCCAGTCAAAGGCGCTTCTGAAGGATTCGAGACAACGTTCACGAGTGCGATACCGTCAAGACCAATCATCTTCTCGAAATCGACGTAGCCACGCTCATCCCTATTGACATTGTCTAAGGCTACGCCGAAGTATGTCCCATTCGAGTTGGATTTGAGAATACTTCCCCAGTACGGGTTGGGTGGCTCGGAGGTAGTCACGTGCAAGAACACCGACATTGTGCTTGATTCCAGCATCGTATACGCCTAACGAAGCGTTAGCATACATGACGGGAAAGTTGATTATATGGCGTACATGCTGAGTAGGGCGCATACTGGGCGGGAACATGCCCGTGGCGAATTTCCGACCGTCGAGGGACACTTGCAGTTCAAGAGACTGCCTATCTTGCACGTACTGCGTATACTCAGCAAGAGCCCACTACTTGTCAAGATCAACCCTTACCTCTGCGACTATGAGATACTCAGAAAACTTAGTAAAGCCAACGACGTGATTGAAAAGCTTCGTCTTCGTCGCAAAGTAGTCGGTACCGGAGACAAGTTCGAGCGCATTCGTCCCACTTTGCATGAAAAATCTCTGGTTTCCTTTCTTGTCTCGCCACGATTCACATAAGATATGGGTCTTGTCGACCTTGAGTTCGGCGTCGCGGGCCCATTGACAGTTGCGCACGTACGTCTCCACGATGTTCCAGTGCCGGCCGTTGTCGCGAGAGTAGTGGGCAACGGCATGGCAATTGGCGCCAAATCCTTCGCAGTCTTCATTTCCAGTCCAGATGATGTAATCAGAATTCTGAGGTTGGAAGTGCAAGACTTGCGCGCCGAACGTATTGGGAACAGTGGGAGTATTCATCGGATTCCACGTCCTTCCAACGTCCGTGGTATAGTAGAATCGGTTGTCAGGAGTGACGAGGTACCCTCTGTCGTTAGTGTAGGGATGGAGATAGAAGACGACAAATCTTTGGTCAGGTACGGGCTGTGTCCATGTGTAGCCTTCATTGCTTGACTGCCAAATGGACCCGTCCGCAAGTCGCACCAAGATTGTCTAGAAGATGTAAGTACTATTATATGTATGTTAACGACGACAGACAGACCTGAGAATCCGCAAAATAAGCCTGTTGCACGACAGGAGCAGAGAATTCGAACTAAAGGAAGAAAACAGTCAATCGTCGGTCAAGACCTGTTTGATAGCCTATGCTCGATACTTGCAGTCTGGTGAATGATGTCGCCCTCCTGCGGCTGGGCTGAAGTCCAGATGAGCGATAAGCGACCCATGTCCCAGTATTGAAAGATGACAGACCTTCGGAACACTTTTTCTCGACTTTGTCATCCTTGCTGATTCCACGTTCTCTACTGCAGGTGTCTCCGGGGATCAAGCGATACCCGGAAGAGCCCATGTACGTTTGGTTGGGATCACCAGCAGAGCATACGCCAGCCGGTATCGGCTCCGGACCAACAGGGACACACTCCTTGCCATTTCGGACGAAGTTGTAATCACTGCAATGTCGGCTAGTCAGTGAACAGTTGAGAAGAGAAGATGTCAACCATATACAGACCATTCGAAGTCTTCGTCGGTACAAGGACAGTCCTCCTCGTGTCCAACGGGGTCCGTGAATTTGTTGCCGACGTAACAATCAGCATCAGCCTTGCGACGCTTGTACCACAGCTAGAGCCGACCGCATCTTAACCTGAGCCTAGGGATACATGGGGATAGTCCGCACCTTGTGTCCCATCAGGCATTCTTTGGCAGCTGATCTAGCGTACCAGTTCTCGAAATCATTATCCGTGCATTGACGTCTCCCAAGCCCGGCAAAGTCCAGATATACGATAGCGTACCGACCTTGCCCAGCTGTCTGGTCCCTCCGGGCGATCTGACCCAATAAGATGAATTTCTGGGAGGTTGCATCCGGCACGCTCGTGAGTGCTCTGGCCCGCATTTTGACACCATAGTTGTAGGAGTTCCTGCGATTCGGCAAATTAAGATCAACGCTTCCGAAGAAAAGCAGTCGAGGCTACTCACCAAGTCCTCCCCTCATCAGTCGAATATCTGATGGTGTCAACACCTTCTTCATCGTTCACGGCAACAAGTATAGTGCCTTGGTCGCCAAACTCGTACTTATGTGCATCTCTCCGGATCATCCTCCAAGTCAAACCAGCGTCTGTGCTCAGGAATGTATCGCACTCTTCATAGGGTTGGAGGTAAGCGCCGATGGATCCGACTCCCATGATAAACCCGGGAGCAGGGGAGGAGAAAATGCGCCCGAAGTTATGCGGCGTCGTTACGGAATGTAAGTGTAATGAGCATTCATTCTTGTCTGCGGGATCACACGGAATGCGGCGCCCTTCGCTGTCGGTCGAAGGGGGTTGCAGGGTTGACCAAGAACTACCTACATCTGAATCAGTATCTTCGGGAAGTATAGCTGTGGATCGAGATACCATCATCGAAGGTAATCATGGTCTTGAGCTGCTTGGTAGCAACGCCGCGTTCCACTTCCTGAGCATTCACAACGACATTAGCCAAACCGACACCTTCTACTCCGTATATGGTCTCGTAGTCGACATAGCCCATCTCATTCCGGTTGGTATCCCTCAAACTCTCCACGAAGTACGTCCCGTTGGAGTTGCTGACAAACAGAGTACCTATACTGGCCTCTGTCTGGAGCACCACATCCACTGCCAGCGAGTGAATTGTGGACTCAACAATCGTGTACGCATTCTCTCTCAAGCGAGCCGACGTCGCATGAGGGAACTGCGCCTTTGCCCACGTCTTGGTGTCGACGGACACGTACAGCAGCATGTCGCCTTCGCTGCCGGGGCTGAGATCCTTCAAAGCCACGACAGCGAACTTCGACACGATGGCGAAGGCCACGACGCCCCGCGCATTCTTGCCTATGCCAAGGTCTTCCACCTTGTTTTCCTGCTGAAAGAAGTCCGTGCTGGAGAACACTCTGCTGGATGACAGAGAGTGGGTTCCAGTCAGCGTAGTGGTATCGAACCCAACACAGTAAATCAGGTCGGGATGAGCGTCGTGCTTGAAATCCTTGCTGCTATGTGCGAACTGGCACCGGGACGTCTCCGTGAGGAGAAGCTTGGGTTCGTCACTAAAGGCTTCTTTTGTGTAGTACGTCTGATCGCTCAGTTAGTAACCGGGTAAGGCGCACTGCACCGTCTTACTTGCCTCGTCGTGACAGACCGAGCCCCAGCCTAAACGGTCACATACAGTACCTTGATAGAGAATGTATCCATATTTCGCGGGGTCGGAATGAAACGAGAGGGGTCTGGACGTGTAGGCGGGTACGATTGGCATGGTGAAGCTCCGCCACGTCCGTCCACGATCTTCGGTGCGCCAATGGGTCTTGTGGCGGGTCAAGACGAAAGCCTGGCCAGTAGCAGCTTAAATACGCTGAATATCTGTCAGACATAAGACACTCACATAGCGATTGTCGAATGGGTGTTCTATGACCATGCTCGCATCCCCCGCAGGTATATCCGCAGCCCTGTTCCACGTCTTGCCCTCATCTTGCGACACATACACATTGCCCTCCACAACGTCATGATATATCACCGTCTAGTCCGTCCGTCGAGGTCAGCTCAACGCGCAGCACAGTCCAAGGGCACACGCACAGTAGTGTCATCGAAGAAGAACAGCCTGGCAGGGAGATTATTGAAATACGTTATACTTTTCTCGATGTCTTGTGCCCCAGACAGCAGGACACATAGCAGAATAGTGATCGACCAGGCCAGAAAGGCCGCCGTTCTGTGTAACGGCGCCATAGGGTCGTGGAGGTCGTAAGCAAGCCACGAAGGCGGGTCCGCGCTTACCCCGTCGAGTACTGCGCGTCGGAGTCGCGGAGGCAATAACTGCTGAAATAGAAGCTGTGCCTTACTTCCAGCCGTTTGCAGATCGATAGACCACCACTTCAAAAAACTGCGTATAGTCGGAGTGGGTCGGAGCGGGTGCCAGGGACATCGGAAGAAGGCATAGAAGTCCAGATGGCCTGATTTCTGTCTCTCGGGGACTTGAAATTGGCTGTCCGACGTGGTCCGACTGTAAATGATTTTTGAGAAATGGGCCCATCGATCTGCAACTGGCTGTCAACAATGCTCTTCTCAGATATCGACCTTCAACGACTCAGCGGTTTGCTTACAGTAAGCACCGTAAGCAAACCGCTATGTACCATATACCTACAATGATTGCTATGCATATGGAGATACAGGGAATACTAAGGTGTAAGTCAGCCCTGTCGGAGCTGCCGTTGATTCTGAGCAAAGAGCTGTTTGAACGCGCCGTAATGACCGATGGGTCCCACAGGACATACTGTATTTCGAAGAAAATATATTCACACCAGTGCGTAACAAACCGGACCTAAGTCACGGCTTACATTGGTCGTAAAAGGTCGTAAGTAATACATCATGAAAGAGTCCGAACTACTCGATACAGCATGCCAATAATGATAGTGTGGTGGTTGTACACTAGTGTACACTCGATCTGAGCATGTCCCGCTGGTAAGCATACCCTTTTCCAACCAAGGTTGACGGAGCAACTTACGTAGATAAAACAGAATGCGGCCAGTTAAGCACAGGTAGGAAGCTCACAGCGGCCTGCGCCTACAGCTCAACCTATCCTGCCGCCGCCTTCCCAGCGGACTGGGGACTACAGGCGAGTGAGCAAACTCGCGCCGGAAGGTTTCTGCAACAGTGGTCAGTAAACATGTTTCCCTCGGGAGAGCCGAAGATGACATACCTAGACCATCGCAGGTCCCGATGGAGGAAAGGCTATTCGACCGCTTCCTCATCAGGGAGGCCGCAAGCCGGCTGCACGCCTCGTCGTCGCTGTTCTCGAAACGCACGTCGATGGGCGAGAAGCGCTCGTGGATCAGCGGCGCGAATTCCTCTTCCGCTGCGCAAGGACATCCGTTAGCACTCCATATAACCAAGCTTTGGATGAAAGACGTACGTATACCATGCGCAAAGTTGCGGAACATGAGCAAAGGTGAGTCTGTCGAGCTATCATAGACCTTCGGACGCGACGAAGACGTCTCTTGCTCGTCGTCTGCGAGCGACTCCGACTCTGACTCGGTGTCAAGTTCCGATCCGCTGCCCACGACAGTAGGGCTGCCGGGCATATCGCCTTCAAATGAGCCGGAGCTTGCCTTGAAGTGCGGCCGCGATGCCGGAGTAGAGGAAGACTCGGCCTCTGGCTCATCCTCGTCCTCCTCGTCAATTCTAGCCAGCGGCGTAGTGGGGGTAATCGGCGAGTCCTCGATACCGAGACCCGTGGGTGAGCTCGGGAGGGGGATGGTGCAGCTGAGTGAACTGGGGCAGGCGGCGGCGTCGGCGTCCGTCGCGGGCGGGGCAGTCCAGCTGTCCAATATCGCCTCGTGCGACCACGCGTCGTCCTCCCGCCTCCTGCTCACGATGCGGTCGTCCTCGGCTTCCGACACCACGATTGTCGGTACTTCGACCCCGTGGTAGGCGTCGTCTTCTTCGTCTTCGTCTGCCTCGTCGCCGCGCTTCCACGCATCAAGTGTGGCGAGGACGGTAGTGAACGTGTCGGACACGAGGTCGTCCGCCGCCTTGCTCGCGGCGACGTACTCCTCCAGGACCTCCATCTTCTCGCGGGTCCGGCGCACCTCCGCGTCCTTCTCCGCGCACCGCGCCTCCAGCTCCTCCTTCTCCTCCCAAACACGCGCAACCTGCTCTTCTAACTCACGATTCCGCGCCTCCAGGTCCTTATTCCGCTCCTCGAGCTTATCCGCGACATACTGCACGCCCGTCACCGCAAACCCCAACCTCTCCACCTCCGCTTCCAGCCTCCTCTTCTCCTCTCGCAGCCCCTCCGCCTCCCTGCGCGCCTCCTCGCACGCCCTCTCCTTCTCCTGGACGCTCCTGCGCGCCGTCGCCTGCGCGGCGCAGCCCAGGAGGTCCTGGCGGAGCAGCTTGAACTGCAGCGCCATCACGTTGCGCGCCTTCGCCGCCATCTCGGCCTTGAGCTGCGCGATCTCGAACTTGAGCTGCTCGGCGTGCGCCTTGAGGAAGGCGTTGGACTCTTCGGAGCGCTGGAGGCGCCGCTGGAGGGAGCCGTTCTGCGTCGCGAGGTTGTTGCAGTAGGTGCGCATGCGGGCGGGGCTGTTGGGTGGCTGCTGGGTGGGAGGGGGTGTAAGACGATTAGGTTATTGAGAAGGTGGGTGGGAGGATGCGTACCTGCTCGGTTGTCGGTGTGAAGGGGCTCGCGGGACTGAGGACCTGGACGTCGGCCATCGTGCTCAATATGAATCGAAGTGGTGAACGATGCGGGTTCAGTTTGGATTGAAGGTCCGGTCAAGTATCGCGGTGTCGCAGCTAGCCTAAGCTAGTGGAGAAAAGCGGGGGGCGCTCAGGTACCAATGGAAACAAAAAAAGTCGAAGCAGAGATCAGGGAGATAGGACCACTCCCAGCGCAGGTCCCTCGCTTATATGCAGGTGCGTGGAAGCAAAGGGGAGGGGGCATGGAGGCATTGATAGATTTCGAGGGCCCGGAGGGACATGCGGGAACAATGTGGCCGCGGGAGATAGCTGATCAAGATGGGCGTAGGTCCGGGGAGGGAAGGGGATTAAGGGGAACTATTCATATCGGGGTATCTTAATCAATGGCGGTGCTTAGTACTGATCCTCGTTCCGGGTCTCTTCCCAGCTCAGTCCATAGTGGTCTTTTACGAGTTTCCAGGTAATGACAGAGACTGCAGTATTGGGGTCATGGGTTTCCAGACTAGCCTGCAAAGCAGATTAGGGCTTGCACGACTGCTCGTATAACCAGCTCTGCGCATTCCTGTCGTAGTTTATCCTCCATAGTACCCAGTTCTCATCCAGAAACGCGTTGCAAGCATGCCCAACACGCGTCCTCCGCACGCCAACTCTAATTACAGCACAGCCCCTAGGCCTTCATGCGAGAAGCACCTCTGCACGTGACCCCTGTCCAATTCATCCGATTCCAATTCGTCCGAAGCAGTCATTATCTCGAAGTCCAAACCTACTGCCAGACACTGTATACAGTCGCAAGTCAGGCGAACTTGGCCTCTAGCTCCGTTTCTCCGAGTTCCGACAAGAACACAATGGCGATCCGCGCGTGGACGCTCTCGATGGAGGACCGGGACAGGCTCATCCGCGCCGCCATCGAAGGTCCGTCCTATCTCACTCGCTCGAAACGGGGGAAGGGTGATAGCTGAGGGTTTGGTAGCGAAGGAGGGCTCGTACAGCCCGTACTCGAAGTTCCGCGTCGGCGCGGCGCTGCTGAGCGCGAGCGGGGAGGTTATCAAGGGCGCGAACGTCGAGAACGCGTCGTACGGTGAGTGGGTCTTATCGTGTTCTCATATTCTCCGCACGCGTCCTGCTTTCCTCTACACCTCTGGATTTGTTTTACTCCGAACGCTGCGTTTCATACTAGATCTGATTGTGCTCTGCCCCGGACTTATACAGGAGGTACGATCTGTGCCGAGCGCACCGCGATCGTCAAAGCAGTGGTACGCACCCCTGCTCTCACCCATTCCCCCGTTCTCACCGATCCTTGGGTGCACGAACAGAGCGAGGGCACCCGATCCTTCGTTGCGATAGCCGTAACCTCGTAAGCCTTCTTCCTCCCCTCCCCCCCCTCTCCCTCCCCTCCCTTCCACCTTCCCCCGCCCTCACCGCATCTCACCACCCCACCAGCGACGTCCCGCACGCCATCTCGCCCTGCGGCATCTGCCGGCAGGTCCTGCGCGAGTTCCTGACGCTGAGCACGCCCATCCTGCTCGTCCCCGCCGACTACGCCGCACGCCTGCTCGAGGGCAAGGAGGACGGCGTGGTGGAGGCGACGCTCGAGCAGCTGCTGCCGATGAGCTTTGGGCCGGAGCATTTGGAGATGGAGCGGGGTCAGGGTCAGGGTGGGAGTTAGGGTTGAAGATTGGACGGAATGTATGTTACGAACGTGTTGGTGTGTATCGGTACATAATTTCTTTTTTGCGTATGTACATACTAGCTATCTTACATGCAGGGCAGCCGCAGCCGACTCTGGCTGATAAGAATAAAGTAAATATACACTATCTCTGCGTCCACCCTCACACAGATGTAGTACCACCGGACCCTAGCACTCCTTCTCCGGCTCGGCAAGCTGCTCCTCCCTCACCGCCGCCTGGTGCTCCTGCACCCGCCTCCTAATCTCCCTCCGCCGCTCCCACCCGTACTCCCGGGCCTCGCGCCTCGCCTGCGCGAGGTTGGCCGATGCCTGGAGATGTCGTTGTTCGACGAGCGAGTAGGGGTTGATGAATACCGCGGGCGCGAGGCCAACCACGAGGGACTGCGAGTCAAGTGAGTCCTGACGCCGACAAAGGCAACGGGGAGGAGCGAAAGGGAGTGCGCACCAGGACGCCAAACGTGATAATAACCCGGTCCTTCCACCGATCATCCGCGCTCGCCGTCCACACCTGCTCGCTCCCCCACGCGCCATACCCCCCGCCCCCGCCCCCGCCCCCTCCCGCGCCCCTCCTTTCACGCTCCGCGCTGCGCGCCCACTGCTTCCGCCGCATGATATCGAGCTGCTCCTCGTACGGGTAGCCAGACCACGAGTGGCCGCGGAACGCGGGCTTCGCGGGGGCCTTGCCCGTGAGGACGTCGTACGCGTGCCGGATGGAGTGGAAGCGCGCGTGGCGCTCGTGCGCGGGGAGGTGGCGGCAGGCGGGGGAGTCGGGGTGGTGCGCGCGGACGAGGTCGTAGTCTGCGTTGGTCCGTTCGTTTAGTCATTCGGAGTAATAAATTTGGGCAGGGAGAGGTACACACAGCGCGCTTTGATGTCGGCTTGTGAGGCACCCATGGGGAGGTGGAAGATCTGGTACGGCGTCGGGTTGGGGTGCGCAGGGAAGGGGAAGGGGCTCTGCGGTGCCGTGGACGTCGAGGCGCAGCGGACTTGGAGCTGGATCTGGACGAGGACGGGGTGCGGCAGTTGCAGGAGGCGTTTGTGCATGGCTGCTTTGGACTGGATCGACTGCGGTAAGGAGTGTCGGTGATGAGGAGGACGAGCAGGAGACTCGAGGATGGTGATAAATGTTATGCAGGGGTAATGGAGAGATACGGCGGCATCGTATCGGCACCGGACCGTGGTGGCGTGGAACCATAAGGTCTCTCGCTGGACTTCTGGGGGACCACATCCTCTACCTGTCATTCACCACCACTGACGAGATATCCCTGACAAAGATCATGTTTATTACGGTTGGTCTTGCGCTCGGGCATCCATGAGAGTGGATGGGCTCAACCTAGTGCGGTCTTCCCAGCTTCCAAAACTGTGGATTACCTCCGTGCTCCCGGTTCGAGGTGCGTCCGACCCATTGGCATCAGCTTCACGCAACAGCTGTTGGGTGAGAAACCATATCCATCGAAAAAACTGCATGGGTAGTGCGCCTGCTGTCTTCATCCACCCTCTGTATTCCTCAGGGCGTCGGAGTACTTCAGTCTTTGCCCTGCTTTCCTCAGGACTTGCCCCGTCTTCATCGTCGTCTGCGTCTCCATCTCTGGTCCGACTTCAACCTCTTCCCAGTCATCAATGCCATCGTCGTCTTCCTCATCTAGCGCGATTACCCTGGGCAGGCTCTCCACGATCTCGAACTCGTGCGCGGCCCCTGAAATGCCACAACCAAAGCGTGAGCAGTTGATCTACACTCCAACGCGTATCTATCAGGTCGGTAAGCTGTACCTTTTCCTTTAGCTGGCTTCGCGTTATCTACGAACGCACTTAAGGTCGGTAGCGGATACCCTTCACTTCCTGCTCCCATCGCACTCGCATCGGCGTCCATCTCGTCGTCGTCGTGGTACACCCACCGCCGCTCAATCTTGTGGAAGGCTTCCCTCCGGCGTGCAGCACTTGGCTCTCGGGTCCCGCCCGCACGCCTTGCCTTCTGCTCCTTCCTCTGCCTCTCGTTCTCCTCCACCGCCTGCTCCCCAAAATCAGCCCCTGCACCTGCGCAGACGTGGACACGCACCTTCCTCCTCGCCTCCCGCTCCTCTCTCGCCCTGACGCCCTCCCACGCCCGCTCGCGCGCGCCCAGCCGCTCGAGCTCCTTCGCCTCCCCGCGCGCGCGAGGCCCCAGCGCACCATCTTGCCCAGGAGCTCCCGGCATTCTTCCTTCGTCTCCTTGTACACCCGCCATTGCAGCTTGCCCAGGCCCGACTCGTGGATGGCCATGGCGTGCGCGGATGGTATATGGTATAGGTAGGAAGTACGGATCCCTGATCGTTTGGGTGTATGTACTGGGTATACGGGTTGGCAAGCACTTTATGGCGTGCGTTGTATGTTATGTGGAGTCTTGTATAGCCTCGACGACAATATCCGAGTCAAGCTGCGTCGCCGGGAAGACAGTGCGGTGGGCGGTACCGCGTACGCGGTGGCAGTACTAGGTAGATCTAGCTTATATTTCGGGGTTACCATTGATTAAGTTGCTGCTGTTACTCAACTCCAGTACTAGATACCCCATTGGGCATCATAACTCGTATACAGACAACGGTGATACACCCTACCATCTCTTGAGTACCGGAGCCACGTATCTGCACCATGTACAATCTACACGCTCTACCCATCCACGCCGAACCCCGGCCCTTCAGCGCCCGAAACACGGCAACCACTCGTCCAGGGCCAGCTCGAACAAGCCCAGGCCAGCATAGAACGGCGCCTGCGCGACGGGGCTGTAGAACCCGACAGTGCGGAACTCGGTGTGGTTCGCGTCGGGCGTGAGCAGCACGCGCAGGTCGGAGACGTGCACCATGCCCGCATGCAGGAGGCCGAAGAAGGAGGGGGCGGGGGCGGGGGTGTTGCAACTGTGGAGTGGGCGAGGGGTTGGAAGAGAGGGAGGTGGAAAGGGGGAGGGGAGGGTGCTTACGCGGGGACTGCTACGGTGGAGTTGCGGAAGGGCGAGTTGGGCTCGATGGATGCGAGGCCCATCGTGCGCCACGGGTCGACTAGCATCCGCATCTCAGTCACTCATCACCTCCTTCCAAGTCCAAATTGGATGGACGACAGGGATAGGGACACGAATGAAATGAAAATAGGCTAATGACTCACACTCTCCGTTCGTCCAGAACACGTTGGACGGGTTCATCTCCCACCCGCCGTACTTGTTGATATTCTCGACCTGCGGGGACACAGGCAAGCCCTCCGGGAACGCCGCGTCGCATTGCTGCTGGAACAGCTCGAGCGACCTGAAGGCAGTCTCGATGGACAGCGGGTTGGTCGGGTCGCCTCGCTGGTAGAATCCTTCACCCCCCTTGTTGTTAATACCACGCTGCACTTGCAAAGTAGACAGCAAAATGTGTACCGTATTCCGAGCAGTACTGCCACATCCAGCTCCGGTCCTGGACGGGATCGTCCGGGTTGCCGGGGATGGAGTCGTAGTCGGTCTCGGCGAGGCCTGCCAGGAAGGCGTCGAAGGCGACTTCGATGCCGTACGTCGTCGCGAGGCCGCCCTCCACCGGGGCCTGGGTGTAGTTCTGCGTCTCGAGGATGTTGCAGAATGGAAGCACGGACGCTTGGAAGCCGTAGTACTACGTAAGACGTCAGCACAGTCTTGGAAGAAAGGACGACGGGAATGGGGAAGGGATTACCTGGTAGAAGCTCAGAGGATCCATCAGTATACTCGCAGCATCAACGTCGCTCATATTCGCCGCCTGCTCCATAGTGAGACCCTGCGCCCCAGTCGTATTCCCCCCAGGCCCGCTCCTCTCCGCATACAACAACCGATACTTCATCTCCACAACTTCACTCTCATCGCCCCCGCCGAGCGTCTCGTCCACGTACCTCGTCACCGCGGCCCAGTCCGCGGAGCAGTTCCGCGTTAGGCTGCGCTCCGCCGCCTCGTAGTAGCTCGCCATGTCGACCTGCGCATGCACGGGCGCGGAGCTCGCCCACGTGGCGTAGATCACCTCGGGGTTGCGCACGCGCAGGAGCGCGCCGCGCACGCCCGGGTAGGAGCCGCCCAGCCAGATCCAGGGCGTGCGCGACGGATGCAGGAGGGCTGGCGGGGCGGAGGGGTGGGCGAAGCGGTTCGCGAAGTAGACGACGTCTTCGAGGGCTTGTTCGGTTGTCAGGAATTGCCATTGCGCAGCTGTGGTGTTTTCCTGAGGATCCGTGCAGCGTCAAAGTGACATTGTGCCGTGGTTCAGGACATTGGCTCAAAGATACGTACGTTCACGGGAAACGGCTGCGAGTCCCCGTAATACCGATGTTCCCACAAGACCGCGATGCCCTTGTACCTTTTGGCCAGCCGCATAGTCGCAGACAGGCCATGATATTCCTGGTTTTCGGGTCATATGACCGTACGTGAGCGCCTACGAGGGCGAATGTTCACAAACGCACTTGCAAGTAGTACGGCACCAGCGGTTCTGCGTTCTGCTCGCCCGAATCAAAGACTAGTGAGAACGTTCGCTGAATTGCGCCGCAAGGTTGGTCAATTGATCAACCAAGACGCACGGAAGACGGGTCCCCCCGGCTCGTAGTACGTCGCGTTCACCCAGTAGCGGTTGGGATATGTGCCAGAGGTGTTTCCGAAATGATCTATCGGCATCTGCGGGACACCAGTGAGAAATGCGTATAATTAACTTGTTTGTTCACATGCTCAGGGTTTCATCCCCATGGGCAGGGAGATTTGCATTGGATGAGAGAGACTGACGTCAAAGAAAAGGGGGAGGCTTTCAGCGACTGCGGTCCTCGGGACCGGGGCGAGGTATTCTCTGAACGCGAGGCATGGGGGTAAGCATACCAACAAAGTCAAGAGCGAAAGTGACAGATTCGGAGCGTCTCTTGATATCCGGGGCATGGTGACGACCGGGAAGCAGATCTCAGGCGGCGGGAAACCAACGTCAAGTCTCTTATATCTAAGGCGTAGCGATAAGCCTCAGGAACGGACGAACTTGGGTCTTCACGATAAGTCGTCTCTTCAAGATAAGTCTTGAGTCTTCTCCCCAAGATAATGTAGAAGAACACAGAGCTCGAGGTATGACAAGGCCTAGGATTAGCACGCGACTTGTAAAGCCAGGAATAGATCCTGCGGGCCGGTGTGCTCGACATGTACACTGAGTCGAATTATACATAGGACAGCCGGGTCGCAAAAATATAAATCATGAACGGGTCATAAGTGAAGATTGAATTGATGACGGCAGGTTGTAGCACAGAGCGGTATGCACGGAAGAGAGTGTAGGCAGATGACTGTTATTCGGACTTGCGCAAGTTCCGTCTACTTCACGTATGTTCCAGAGGCACCGCAGACGCCATGGGCCGCTAGCTTTGTTTCAAAGGCGAATTTTGCCCATGATGTTGTCTATCCACTTGTTCCTGGCGGGCAAAGGACGTACCGGTTACGGTCACGATTGCATCACTTGGATCAGGACAGCAAACTGTCAGAGGGTGGATTGCTCGCCAACAGACTCCAATGCGTAGTTTGCTGCCTCGGCCAAGGTTGCACGGGCGCTTTGCCTGCCATGCTAGCGTTTAACTTCCGTGCAAGCAACGTGCCAGACGCCATAGATCGCAAATACCGCGTCCCCTTCGAGCAGTTATGCAGCCAGAAATGATGTTAAACTTGCCTTTCGCTTTTGAAAGAATACGTCGACCTTCGACGTAAGGGGTCGTTTCAGGTTGACAGGGGCCACCGCTGTGGCCACTCGCGTCGGGAGAGACGCCACAACTGACAGAGCCGAGGGCGGCAAACACGTGGAAAAACCGCCCTGTGCGGCATCAATAATGAGCAGTTCCGTATTCTGTCACCGGCCAATTTGCGGTCTATTTGGGGCCCACGCACAGTCTCGAGCATGTTTAAATGGCGCAGGCAGCGTCGCAGGGTGCGGTTACCCCGAGCCCTGTCCCGTCCGCTCTCGCCCCCCTCCCGTTGCTGTGTACGCCGTCTAGCTCGCGTCTCCGAGCCTCGACTCGATTTTTCGAACAAGGGCATTGTTGGCCGCTCCGTGTTTGACACCCATTTGTAGTCCCGCGCGTGACTATCAGGTCGCCAAGCGTTTGTTCCGCATCCCTTTATAACGATGTCCGGTGTGAGTGCCTGTCCCCATCTTACACCTAATTTTTGCTCAATAAGCAGCCTCGTTCTGTCTTCTCTCCAGCCTACGCTCCTGATGAGGGCACTGTCGATCCTTTCGGTTACGCTAACGCTCACGACACATGCGTATGGCTGGGAAGGCGGCCATCGCGACGTACACGAATATACCCGCGACCTGAGGAGACGGAATATCGTCACCAATGGTCAGATCGCTGATACCTATGACTTTGTCATTGCTGGTGGAGGTACTGCCGGCCTCGTTCTTGCCGCTCGCTTGTCGGAAGACACAAATACCAGCGTCCTTGTCCTCGAGGCAGGCGACACCGGAGACGCAGTAGCGGACAAGATCAGTGAGTTATTCATGGCCTGGCGCAATCTGCCGTTTCTGACGTTCTTGCAGATGTTCCTGGCAACGCCTACTACGAATCACTAGAAGGCACGTCATACGACTGGAATTACACAACCGTAGCACAGGCACAAGCCAATAACCGTCAACTACCCTGGGCTCGAGGAAAGGTTTTGGGTGGGTCCAGTGCCATCAACGGCATGTACGCCATCCGCCCGTCATCACTCGAGGTCGAAGCGTGGAGAAATCTCATCGCTTCACAAGACAACACTTCGGCCTCTGCATGGAGTTGGGATAACTTCCTGAATGCGATGAAGAAGAGCGAGACATTCACGCCGCCCTCGCAAGACATCCAGCAAATCGGACAAATCGCATACGACGCCTCGAGTCGCGGTACCTCCGGCCCGTGGCATGTTTCTTACCCTGGCTAGTAAGCAAGAATACCTGTTTGGATTCTCAGAAGCCTGCTAAGCTATACACTTTTAGCATGTTCCCGCTCGTCGGAAACTGGACTCCTACTTGGGAAACCTTCGGTGTGCCGCAGGCACAGGATCCTGACAATGGTCAGAACTGGGGCGTGTATGTTGCGACGTCGTCGATCAACCCCAGTAACTGGACCAGGTCTTACTCCAAGTCCGCGTACATTGACCCGCTCCCGCCTCGGTCGAATCTCGCTGTTGTGCCCAATGCGATGGTCACGAAGATTGTCTTCGACAACTCATCGGGTCTGACTGCTAATGCCGTTCAATATGCTGCCTACGACGGTGCTCCGGTGCAGACTGTCAAAGTCAATAAGGAAGTGATCGTTGCAGGTGGTGCGATTGGTAGCCCGCATCTTTTGATGCATAGTGGTATTGGCCCGGCCGACGTTCTCCAGGCCGCTGGTGTCCAGGTGCAGTACGAACTCCCGGGCGTGGGACAGCATCTGCAGGACCATATCGTAAGCTTTGTTTCATCCATCGTATTCGAGGCATCCTGACTGTGTCTGCAGAGCACCCAAGTCACATTCAACACTAATCAAGACACCGCCGGATCCGTCAAGGCTGCGAACGACGCCACCTCCAGTTCGCCAGAGTTCCTCTCGTTTATCAACTCTGCGACCGCCTACATCAATATCTCCACGCTCGTCGCCGACCCCAATACCTTCAAATCGGAAATCGCCGGCGCTCTAGACTCCTCCGCGTCCTCCCTCGTCCCCAGTCAATACTCCCAGGTTGTTAACGGCTACAAGGCCATATACAACACAAACCTGAACGACCTGTTCACGACCTCGGTTGGACAGATGGAGATCCTTCTCAGCTTAGTCGGCGACAAGAGCGTAGCCATCCAGGCCGCGCTCCAGCGCCCCTTCAGCCAGGGCCGGATCTATATCAACTCTGCGAATCCGTTTGACTCGCCCGTCATCGACCCCGGGTACCTCACGCACTCGGCTGACGTCGTCATGATGCGCGAGGGTCTCAAGCTCGCGAGGAAGATCGGCTCTGTGTCGCCCTTGAGCCAGTACTTGACTGGCGAGACCTCGCCGGGGTCGTCGGTCAACTCGGACTCGGACTGGGAGAACTGGCTCAGGAACGCGATTGGGACGGAGTACCACCCTTCGTGCTCGTGCGCGATGTTGCCCGAGTCGGATGGAGGTGTTGTTGACGCGAACTTGATTGTGTACGGGACCAGTACGTCTTCGCTCTCTTTTGGTTAGTGGGTATATGTTCTGATCGTTTGTTCAGAGAACGTCCGGGTCGTGGATGCGTCCGTCTTCCCCATCCAGTTCTCGGCCCACTTACAGGCGCCTGTGTACGGTCTTGCTGAACAGGCCTCCACGATCATCCGCGCGAAGTACAACGGCGTTACCCTTCCCTGGGCATCTGCGTCTCCCTCGTCAACCTCCTCCGCTTCGCCTTCGTCGACAGGGACGAGCCACAAGAGCGCTGCCACTCCCAGATCATCGTCCAACCTAACGATGGCCCTTGTGTCCGTCGCCGCCGCCTCCTTCTTCTCCGCCCTCTCCGTCCTGTTCTAGAGTAGACAGAAGCCAGGAGCAAAAACATTGCTATCGAACATTAGTATTCTCTTGTTGTTTTGCTACGCATCTCCGGACTAGCTTTGTGACGGACACTTTGTAATGTAGACTATCTGCTGCAGGACGCTCTCCCTTCGAGCGCCCCGAACTGTGGTTTGGACATTTCTTACCTGTCTCTGGTACCAGTACAGCATGTAGTCACCACTCTCTTTTGATGCGCGATATACCATCATCTTGCATAGTAGTCTAGTTAATGTAACATCTAAGGAGTAATATTTGTAGCTGAAGGACGTGGTGTCGGGCAGTAACACAGAGTGGTTAGCGTTCTGATTCACTGGTGGGACACCGAAGTGCCAGTATGTTAAATATTAATATTCTATGCACCGCGGCCTCCTCGCACGGCTGCCTCGCCTTCTAGTCACCACCGTTATTCAATGCGTTTTGGTGCTCGGAACCGAACGGGTAGACTGCACATCACTCGGAGCAGATCGCAGCTACTCCTGCAGTAGTCGAACTTCCCTATGTGAAGCCATGTCACCTGAAAGAATACACGCTCTCTCGGAGGGGCTGTATGAGCATCTGTCTATCCCGCCCTGGCGTGAATGTCTCGTTTATCTGCGGTTCCAACCCAGCTCCGATGATTGCTCGTTGCAAACTACTTTGGATCTGCTTACCTCCAAGCTGGCTTGATACACTCAATTCTGACGATCTCTAGATGGTAACAAGTGCTATAGCTACGTATACGATCACTGCTTCACTCCCACATCATATACCCAGTAAGGATGCATTGCAAGCCTGGGCCCACAACAACTGACTGTAGACACTACAGGCGGACTTAACCTTCTACGAGGCTATACCTATTTATAGATCCAGCACAGTCCATTGACAGCTTGATGGTTCAGTGGAATGTAAGTATACGAACGTGCAACGAAACCACTATCGAATGCATCCGTGTATCTGCGAATGTGCCGGGTGCGTATCTCAGACGGGCTCACGTCTTCCTTCAATCATGTTGGTGTCACTTAGCCCTGGCAGATTTGCACACTGTAGTGTGTTGAACGGGTGCTAACCGACCACATTGAAGTCAAGATATTCCATCTTCAGACAAAATGTGCCTTCTAGAATGGAGGCACCAGACAGAGGCGGTACATGCACCGCCCGAGCCAGTATATCTATAACCTATGCAGTGACAAGTTGGTGCCATTCCCGTCCTATAGCTATAATACCGCAATACCCGCAAGATCCGACGCCGTCGTCAGAAGTTTCGCATTGGCGGGGCGCCCAATGCGCAAGATTTGCCATTCATCGTCCTGGCGCAGTCGGGTAGGGCGCTCGCGATAAGGAGGGACCTGCCAATCGCTCGGTACCGTCTTGGTACCGACAACTAGAGCCAAATATCGGGTGGCGAGCAAAATAAAACTGCGGGGCCGGAAGCGCACTCCCTGCAGCGCTCTATCTTGTTTAAAGATGTCGCATTCTCTTGTAGCACTGGAGACCGGAGGCACGAGAACTGCAGTGAGAGCTCGGGGCTTTCCTCTGTTGCTTCTGAGCTTCCAGACGCTAGGTGACTGTTACTTCTCGCTATATGAACGCGCGACTCATTCTTGTTTAGGGATCATCTATTCTGATATTGGGACGTCTCCTTTGTACGTCTTGAATGGCATATGGCCTGCTTCGGGTCCCCTTCCTTCGGAGGAAGACGTTATAGGAGGCATCAGCGCCATTATATGGTCACTGACTCTACTCCCGCTATTGAAATACGTGAGAAGTGGCCTTGCATAATTATCGCTGTATGCTCACAGAGCATCTCCCCTTAGGTCTTCATATGCCTGAGGTTCGGGACTCATGAAGGCAGGCAGTTCGACGAACTGACTATGACATGGTCCTGACTGTATACCAGGGGAGGGTGGTACATTTGCATTATTTCAGGGCCTATATCCTCGGAAAGAGCAGGATTCCGAGTATGACCGCAGCTTGACTCGAGAGAGCTTGGGTCAGAGAAGTAAATCAGGCACCGCCAAGTTATCGCCTCACCTTCGTTGGCCTCTTATGATTTGGGTGGGTAACTCCTATGATACCAGCTAGGCTGTCGACTCACCGGACTCCTGAAGTGCTTACTTGGCACTAGTCTTACACTCGCGGACGGTATCTTCACACCCGCTGTATCTGTAACCAGTGCCGTAGGAGGCATCGCTGTAGCCGAAGCGTCCGTCACTTCAAAGATTATTCCCATCTCCATAGTACGCATCACCCTCTTACTTGTTCAGGGCTCCATCTACTAACTGATAGGGGAAGGCGTTCCTTCTTGCTCTTTTTCTTGCCCAGCCCTTTGGTACTTCAAGGATAGCATCAGTCTTTGCTCCGAGTTGGTTCTAAAGTACTCTCCCAGCCTTACTTTCCAGTTGACATCCTTGATAGTTACATGCATATGGCTTCTGCTGTTAGGCTCGACGGGGATTGTCAACATTACCAGTCACCCGGGTGTGTTTCGTGCATTCGATCCGTCTCGTGCCGTGCTTTGTGTGTACTCGACCGCGCTCTTTGTGATAGTATTCAAGCTTACTGTGGCTCAGTATTCGTCCGCACGAGGGATTACGACCTCCTCGCTGGTGTACTTCTGGCCGTAACCGGCTGCGAAGCTATATTTGCTAAGTAAGTCTCCTATACGGCTATCTCAACCGGTGTCTGATAGATTGTCAATTAGTCTGGGTCAATTTAATATGACTTCCATACAGCTTTCCTTTTCTTGTTTCGTTTATCCGTGCCTCGTCCTCGCCTACCTCGGGCAAGGCGCCCGTCTGATCACCGATGGGCAGTCTGTATTCTCGAACGTATTTTATCAGACCATTCCTGGGTCTTCTGGTGGCCCCTTGTTCTGGTATGTCCATTACGCAAGCCCATTCTGGCTTGCTCTCATCATTTGCCTCGTCAAGGATACTCTACGTGTTTGCTATTCTGGCCACTGTGAGTAGGACGCCCTTGGATGCCATTACCATCTGCTCAATGCAACGGAATAGATAATCGCATCTCAAGCCATGATCACGGCGACTTTCAGTCTCATCCAGCAACTTGTAAACATGAAGAGTTTGCCACCGTTAGTGTCAAGCTCACTGTGATTCTTGTCAGAGCTGACGTGAATGCCGTGTTTTCAAGGATACGTATGGTGTACACATCCGACAAGATCCAGGGTCAAGTATACGTACCGAGCGTCAATTGGATTCGTGAGTCTCGCTGTCGTCCATCTATTTTGACGTATACAGAACTTGTTTTATAGTGATGATTGCCACTATTGTCGTCGTGGCCGCTTTCAAGAGTTCCACTGCTCTCACAAACGCTTATGGGTAAGGAACTATGGCTATTTTATGTTTTATCTTCCTACGCAGGCTGATGGTGGAAACAGATTCGCCGTGGCGACAGTCATGTTTTCCACTACCGTGCTCATTGCTGTCCACATGAGGTACGTGAAATACTGGCCAGCACTTGTTGCGGTCGCATACCTGGTTGTGTACGGTTTCCTGGATGGTGAGTCTGCTTCGATCAGATTGCATACAGTAGGCTCAGGAGGGTTCTGGCAGGTCTGTTCTGGGGCGCTGCTCTGAAGAAGATCCCACAGGGCGCCTGGGTGCCCCTGATGATTGGCCTCATACTGTAAGCGGGATGCCGATTAAATTCCAGTAACTCTGATGACGAGGCCTTGGCAGTATGGTTCTGATGGTGTTTTGGACCTGGGCAAAGGTAATGTCATCAGCAGTTCATTATTGGTGACCCTCAATCCTAAACTGAATATGTAATCAGGGTCTTGAAGACGCATTCGACGGTGCCAACCGGAAAAGCATACGCCGCTTCATAATTACGAAGGGTGACAATGAAGAGTCCAACATCGTACAGACGCCTCGGGAGGACACGATTGTCGAGCTTGCAGGTGAAGGTAGCATCACTGAGGAGACTGGTGAAGAAGAGAAGATGACAGGCCGCACCACCTATTATCTCGCTCCTAACATCGAAGGCGGCAACCACCATCATCATGAGGCCCAGGCCATGGATTCCCTGAGACTGGCCCGTATACCGACCTGCGCTGTGTTCCACAAGCTTACTGGTGGGAAGGGGGTTCCCCATTCATTCGTTGGTGAGTCAGACGGCGAGATTAGTGGCCCGTTGGTTTGCCTCACCAGCGCACACAGGTTTCGTCCGACAATGGCCTGCACTACCAGAACTCATCGTGAGTGTCTCACTCGACCCACCGGCTACTAGAGCTTTCCTGAGTTGTCAATAGATATTCCTTTCCGCGCGCGTCCTTCCTGTCCCAAGAATATCGCGGGAGGAACGCTACGTTGTGGACAAGGTCCGGAGCGTCGACGGTACGCTACCAACGTAAGCCGAGATAAAGAAACTGCTGATCCCGTGCCTAGGCTTCTATGCTGCGACATATCACTTGGGCTTCCGGGAAGACTTCGACGTCAAGGTATGGTCTCCCATCACGCTAGCATATACGCAATACTAAATACGCAGTAGGTGGACGAGATAATTGAGCAGATATGCACTCTCGAAGCCCGCGTGGAGCCTGAAAGGTCCGCTGAGAAAATCCGACGCATACGACAAGCCGCGAGGACTACGACTCACATGTAAGTTACAAGGATCACGATGCATGCTACGTGCGCTGAGCGACGTCCCCTGCAGTGTCCCTCATTACTATGTAATCAGCAAGCGGATCCGGGGCGGACGGCTGTCCAGCGTGATAGACTGGCTTAGGTCCCTCCTCATCGAAGATATCTATCGTCCCATGGGTATGCTTATCGCTATTTCCAAAGTCTGCCAGAAACTAATCTTACGCTGGAATTTCAGTGACTATGTTCCCCGATACAGCGAATTGGGTCGGGTCTGCAGATGAGTGAGTGGGATCAGCGCTCCACCTGCATCTATCTAACTGTCGGGACACAGGATAATCCGTGTCGGCGTCAACGCGACAATCTAGAAGACCGCAGCGTATTGCTTCATTTATATCATAGCTTGCTGGTACTCCCGGATGATTCGCTACCTATTTGCGGCCGACTTCAAGGACATGTATGTACAATAGGTTTCTATTATGATATTACGTTCCAAAGCAGAGTAGATAGCGCACATGGAACCTGGCACCACGTATCTAGCGAACATATAAAGAGGAGACTCTACACAACAATCTATAACACCACAAAATATATACCCAGATCGTCCGACAGCGACAAAGGAACAGCACCTAATCTAATCTCACCACCACTTGATCTCGGTCCACAGCAGCGGCCCGAACACCACACACGCAGTCCAGAACTACGCAAAAGCCACAGTCAGCATCTGCACCAAGTCAAGCATCGGAAAGAAGAAGGTAGACGTACAACACGGATAGCCTTGATAAATAGAGCGGGGTACTCGTCAATACGCGGGATGGCGTGGATGGGCTTGTGCCGCCCCGGCTCGCGCACGGCGCGCGGGTGCGTGAACAGGATCCAGATGGAGTACAGCGCGACGGAGAAGAAGTGGTTCGCGAGGAGCATCGGGTCCGGGGCGATTCTGCATGCGGTGAACGAACACGTCAGGAGAAATGTTGCTGGATGTGCACCGACTTCACGTACCCCGAGAGCAGCGAGACGGGCCCGCGGACGCACTCGCCGCCTCGCTCAAAGTACTTGAAGCAACCCGTACGGAGGACTTCCAGCGCGTCGTCTGGTCCCGTCGTAAATACATTTAGTTTACTCCCTATGAAACTCAGAATAGCAACACGCTTACTGACCTTCTGCACCAAACAAGTCGTACAACGCGACACTCAAAATGTTGATCGTTGCCGCAAGGCCCTTTCTTCTCCAATGCCACCGGTGCAGCACGTTGCTCACCGCGTCCCAATCGTGCAGGTCCCGCAGCTCGCTGAGCATCTCAGTCAGGATGACGGCGTCGTTCAGACAGACGGTCATACCGCCGCCGGTGAGCGGGTGCCGCATGTTCCACGCATCGCCGAGGAGGAACACGCCCTCCTTCGTGTGTGTGCCGCCCTGTTCTGTCGGCGGGAGGAACGAGTTGGGCATGCGCCGCAGGCGATCCTTGTCGAGCGCGTTGTGGATCGGGACGTGCAGGGCGGCGGGAAGTTGCGGAACGATGTTGGACAGGATGAAGCCCTGTAGACTCGAACTTAGACGTTGGATGACGTAGCGGGAGCGGGTCCGGACGTACCTTCAGGTCTGAGGGGAGCGGCGCACGGATGTCGACGAGCATCCGCGTGTCGTGCTCCTCGATCTGGTATAGCAGCACGGGCCCGTTACCACGGACCAGGCAGACTGTTCCGTGCTGAGGGATAGGTAGTCGCGCATCTTGCAAGACCGCACCAACAAAATGACTGCGCGTGGCAGACTTGGCCGCCGCCTTGCCCATGACCACACTCCGGAAATTTGAGAAGCAGCCGTCCGCGACAATCACGAGGTCCGCAAGGAAACTCTCCTTCTCCCCCTCGCGCGTGGCGCGCACGCCGAGGACGCGCTTCGTGAACGGGCACTCGATGAGCTCGTTCACGGTCGCCTCGATCACATCGACGCCCGGCGCGGTCTTGGCCTTGGCACGCAGGGCCTGGATGAAGCGGCCGTGGTGGAAGCTGCGCCCCTCGAGGGCGTCGGGGTAGGGGATATGCACGTTCGCACCGTCCTTGACGACGCAGTAGCCGTGCACGGGCACAGCGCCGATGCCCTCGAGGCAGTCGTCCATGCCGAGTTTGCGGAGCGCGGAGACGCCGCCTGGCTGGAGCAGCTCGCCGACGATGCGGTCGGGCTCGGCGAGCGAGCGCTCGAGGAGGGCGATCCGGAGGGGCTTGTCCCGGGCTGAGGAGGGGGCGTGGGCGAGTCCCTGGGCGAGCGCAGAGCCTGCGACGCCGGCGCCGACGATGAGCACGTCGTACGGTTGGGACCACATTTTGAATTTGGCGGCAGCTAGCGGTCCTGTAAGGCAAAAGGGGGGGTAAAGCAGGGGAAATGGAGGGCCAGCGTTGGCTGTCGACGGCCGTGGCAGAGTGCGCTCTTATATCGCCCCATAATATAATTATGCTTCAAGGCTTGTTCGGGTAACGCCGACGCTGCGTCCTCTGGTCTGGTCGACTCCAGAACGCTTTTGACGCTGTCTTGCAGAGCCTGGACGGTCGTACGATTCCGACATTGCGCTACGAAGCTCTCATCGGCGATTGAACGTAGGTTGGATGGTCTGTTCAGCGCAATCGTGGCAGGGCGCCACCGCGGCAAAATATCATATGTTACTTGGTTGCACCTCCTTTAGAAAATGCATCACGTCTTTTGCCTATTTACGCCCTGACCCGACCTACGTTCGACATCTACAGCTTCGAAGGACAGTGCAAATGAGTCCACAAACGCGTGGTGCAGACCCATGTGATTGTGCCGTTCAAGATGCTTGTAATGAGCGCCTCCGATGCCACCAGTCCCATCGCCGATGTTGACCCATTTTAACTTGCAAGCTCGAATCCATATTGCCACTGACGTGTATCGATTCACAGGCTGAAGCGCTCACGATGAGGCTGGTATTTTACCGGGCATTGAGTTGATTGGAGGCACAACCATACGATGACACTGATAGACATATGTACCAGCTTGTCTCGAATGATTCCGTCGCAATCACTTCCAGTTGGACAAACGGCAGGTCACCAGCCTCGCTCAGGCTGCTTCCACGCTGCTTGGTAATGAGGAGAGCATGAATATCCTATGCAGTCTTTGCCGTGAGTGCCCTGGCTTGATGCGTTGGAAGGCTCACCGCCTAAGTTGTACCCCCCTCTTCATACTTGACCGCACTACTGTCTTCCCATACAGCGTTGTGAGAAGGCTGATTATTCCCAGAGGCTTATCGTTCTGCTGACCCTCAGCTGAGTCAAGCTTGAGGTCTCTTAATATACACCATGGGTACCTGAGCGCTTGAGCCCACGCAGCTGTCCATCTCGCCTACTCATCTAATTCATACACCATGACCACGTCTCTCTCCATCCCACCATCGAACGCAACCGTCGATGTCAAGATCCTCAATGCCGGCAACCTCCACCTTGCCGCCTCCCTCTTCATGCGCCCGGTCGTTCCCGGGCACGAGAACTTCGTTATACCCATCTACGCCTTCCTCGTTGAACATCCTGCCAAAGATAAAAAGGTATTGTTCGACCTGGGCGTGCGCAAGCGGCTCGAAGAGCTTTCCCCAGCTACGAGCAGGGTTCTGGAGGCGCTAAGGTGCACAGCAGACGTTGAGAAGGACGTGGCGACGCAGTTGACCGAAGGAGGGGTCAATCTTGCGAGTGTTAATGCCATCATATGGAGGTGTGCGGGTTTCGTATGCCCTACCGTCTCCATGAGATTGATAAGACTCGATATAACTTTCGGTGTAGTCATACTCATTATGACCACACAGGTATGACTGCCCCTGCACTCGGGTGCATGTCATCTCATTCTTGCGTGAACGATGCTAGGCGACACCTCGACCTTCCCTGGTACGACCGAGCTGATCGTAGGCCCTGGCACGAAAGCACATGTCCTTCCACCATATCCGGAAAACCCTAACGGATCACTGTTAGCCAGCGATTTGGAGTGAGTCTCTTTATCACTCCTGGCTGGTCTTCCGAGCTCATGCCACCTGTCAGAGGTCGTAAAGTCACCGAACTCACGTCCGAAGACTTCACGCTCACCCTTGGCAACTTCAGAGCGCATGACTACTTTGGAGACGGGTCCTTCTACCTGGTTAACACACCCGGCGTGCGTACCCGCTTCTCACAATCCATGTGTACGTTTACCAACATTTACCTGTCCCCCGCGAGTAGCACTGTCCCGGCCACATCACCGCGCTGGCTCGGACAACGCCAACGACATTCATTCTCCTCGGCGGCGACACCTGCCACCACCCGGGCCAGTTCAGACCCAACGCGGCCATCCAGCGCCACATCCCCTGCCCCTCCACCCTCCTCTCCAACCTATCCGCGATGCATTTTCCCAAGCACACCCCCGAAGCCTTGACCCTCGACTCTGACCCGGAGCCGTTCCTAGCTATCGCCGCCGAGCCCCCTACGGTGTATGACGACCCGCCTACAGCTCGTCAGTCGATCAAGAATTTGGGCATGTTCGATGGGAGCCCAGACGTGTTAATTCTGCTTGCACATGATGCGAGTATCCAACATTTATTGAATTTCTTTCCGCAGAAGGCGAATGACTGGAAGGAGAGAGGCTGGAAGGAAGCGTGTTGGGAGTTCTTGAAAACGGATAATAGGGCGTTTCGGTTCGGGCCTAAGTCATGAAGGTGAGGGATACTAGGCGGTTTCATGGGAAACGAGAAGACGGATTGGTGCCTCTCGCGGCCAGTGGTATTCCCTTTCTCTCCATGAGCGTGTGCTGTCTCGAAGAACACCACACTTGACCGCATTTTCCAAGTCTGTGCAGGTGCGGCGTAGGGAGAGCAAAATGTTCCTACTTTCATGAGCATGCTAGCAATGGGTGCTTAGACTGCGGACATTAAATGCACTTCGAAGTAGCGCTGGAAGGCTCTAATCACTCGCCAAGAAGTGCCCACTGCCTCATGCACTGGCCAGTGATAGCGAAATCAGCGGAACCTACAAGTGTATTGGACAATTTCTGCGAGGGCCTTTCACATTTTCAGTGAGTGTCTTGTACACTTCTTACGAGTGCTTTGGACATTACCAGCGAGTAACTTGGACACTTAGGCCCTCGTAGGGAGTGCCTTGGACACTTCCTATGATTGCCTTGGACATTCCCTATGAGTGCCTTGGACGAGTGGCTTGGACATTGTCACTGAGTGTCTTGGACACTACTTACGAGTGCCTTGTACATTTTCACTGAGTGTCTTGGGCACTTCTGCCAAAGGGAAGTGTCCAGGGCAATTCCAACGACTCTGAGTGACTTGCGCACTTGTCGGGATGGAAGCGTCTGAGGCACTTCCAACGAGATCTCGGGTACCTCCAACGAGCTAGCTCGAGTGCCTTGGGCATTTGACAAAGGACACTTTCGACGATTGCCTTGGGCACTTATGTGCAGATGTCTAGGACAATCGCTCCCGCCGAATGCTGGACACTCAAAGGTGACTATTTATAAGTCACTCCAACGAGCATTCTGGTACGTGAGACAGCTCGCACTGTAAGCTAAAGTGCCTTCGACACTCATCAAGGACTCCTTTTCACATTGCGTGCCAGTGTGTTGATGGGCAGTATGCGACCGTCCTGTGCATCTTCAAGGTTCACATAGCTTTGCTTTGAGGCTTAGACGTTGCTAGAGCTCTATACCGAGTCGACGTCCACCTGCTCTCCAGTCCCCGCAGTATGCATTTCATCTCTCCTCGGCTCTTCACTAGGCCTCACTGCTCGGTTTGGTACCACGGGTATGCCTTCGAATAGCTCGAGGAAGGCAGTGGTTTCTTGGACAAGTGTGTGACGTATCTCCTCAGCTGAGCCTCAGGAACTGCAACACTGCTGTCGATCAATTGTTGATCCAGCCACTGCTCGTCATTAACTTGAGGTTTAAGCTTGTCTTCTTCGCTCATCGCCAGCTGCTTAAGTGACTATATACCTCTCGCAAATGTCCAAGCTCTTGCAATGCTTGGACTCGTGGTTCATGAGCATTTGGGTACGGTACCAGCTACGCGTACGGGAGCTATTCCGTTCCCTCGTGGTTGGTTCTTGGAGCCGTTCTAGCGTTTTCCTTCGCAATGCTGTCGCAACTTGCAAGACGGGATCACGTCCCCGAAAGCAGCATTGCAGGCTCACCTGTCGGGCAGGTGACTAAGACGGCCGTTTTGTATATATCGCTGTGGAGCGCGAACTTTCCGTCTCGACGGCATTCACTCGACCCTGCAGCTGTTATCTCATCCACATCCTATGTCCAGCGCTCTTAACATCCCCCCATCCGACGCCACAGTCGATATCAAAATCCTTTATGCGGCCCTCATCCGTATATCGGCATTCCCATTTATGCACCCTGTGCTCCCGGGACATGAACGATTTGTCGCGCCGGCATATGTGTTCTATGTGGAGCATCCTACGACAGGAAAGAGAGTTTTGTTCGATCTTGGTGTGAGGAAGAAGCCAGAGACTTCCGCACCTGCTCTGTGGAAGGGTCTGCAGCAGGTCGGTGTCGAAGTCACGGTGGAGAAGGACGTGGCTACTCAGTTGACTGAGGGAGGGGTCGACCTCAGTAGTATCAACGCTATTATTTGGAGGTGCGAAATTCAGACGTTTTAGCCATGCAGCGATCTCACAGATCAACCCTAGCCATTCTCATTTCGATCACACAGGTATTAGCATCGTTTTGTTCGGACGGGCCGTCAGCTCAGCGGTCGCGCCTCTTAACTGTAGGTGACCCCTCTACGTTCCCTGGTACCACCGAGCTAGTCCTTGGCCCCGGCACAAAGGAGCATTTCTTCCCGCCCTATCCCGAAAACCCTGAAGCGGTTCTCCTAGCGAGCGACTTCGAGTATGGTTACCTCGTTTTGCATGCACCTATCCTTACTTATGCATCTGCCAGAGGACGCAAGATAACAGAGCTCTCACCAGAAGATTTTAATCTCACCATCGGCGGCTTCAAAGCCCATGATTACTTTGATGACGGGAGCTTCTACCTCCTCGATGTGCCAGGCGTATGATTACTTCAGCCAGTACCTGTATACCTATTGACCTCTAGTTCTACAGCACTGTCCAGGACACATGGCCGGCCTCGCGCGGGTCACTCCTACGACCTTCGTCTTCATGGGCGGAGACACCTGCCATCACCCAGGTCAATTCCGTCCGAACCCCTTCATTCAGAAGCATTTGCCCTGTCCTGCGTCCCTCCTCGCCAACCTGTCGCACGAGCACTTCCCCAAGCACATAGCTGACCGGAACACTGCTACACCGCTACTTTCGATTCCCCCGCAGCCACCCACAGTATACCACGACCCGCCGTCGGCGATTAAGTCCATAGAGAAGCTACAGGCATTCGACGGGAACCCCGATGTCCTAGTTGTCCTCGCGCATGACGCCAGTATTGAGCGTCTGCTTGAGCTCTTCCCCTTCAAGGCGAACGAGTGGAAGGCGAAGGGATGGAAGGACGCTTCTTGGGACTTCCTGAAGAAAGATAATAAAGCCTTCAGATTCTCTCCGGCGTAAGACATACCGTGAGGAGGGTGTAAGTCGTGGTGGTATACATGTGTTTCATGTAATTCGCCGCTGAAGGCGGTTGCATACCGTTACAACGACATATTGTAATAAGCAGTATCATATGATATGGCCGACTAGCTCAGTTGGTTAGAGCGTGGTGCTAATATCGAATTACGCCAAGGTCGTCGGTTCGACCCCGGCGTTGGCCAATGCTTTTGACCTTCTTTCGCAGCATATAAATTCACGGGTCTCTTTTTCGTTCTTAGCACTTGCAAGCAATCCTTCTTCAAATTTGTCAAAAGAGCAGGTGCCTGGAGTTGCCGCTTTTCCAATCGCGGCACTGATATAACTTCCGTATATCACGCCTGTAATGGCAAGTTCATGGAATTAGACGTAGGTGCAACGATAAATGTACAGACTAACGAGCAGGGATACATAATACGTGAGAGTAGCATCACATGAGAGAGCCCCACATGGTCCACCAGTCGTCAACGGCTTCACTAGCGTCGTAATTAAACATGGCAATGTAATCATCCCACACTGCTCGTAGGTACTCTTCGTCCGCGTCGTCCCAGTCCAGCTGCGAGTTCTGAAGCGCCACCTGCAATCCTGCGTCTCGTACCTGCTGCTCAGGGCCGTCAGGGAAGGTGATGAAGCGATACCGTCCGTCCTCCGATCGGAACGTATGTGTGATGCGAGGCTGTCGGATCTCCTCATATGCTGTGACGAGGGTGTCGGCTTGATCTCGGTTTCTGAGGCGAGAAAATAGGTTGCCTAGGGTGGCGGCGGCTTCTATACCCATGGAATAACTGTGATGGAATTGGGGCTATGTGATGACATGGTTAGTTGTGATTCCGGGTTGACTGAGAGGGAGGGGGGCCTACTGGTGTCGTTTGGGCAGCGTCCCCAACGAGCAGGACTTTACTATCCTCGTGTACGATGTTTGAGAAAGGCTCGTGTACTACATATTTGGTGGGTATAACGGTGCGCGCGAGGTTCCACAGGCGCCGGAGACTGGACGAACGTGAAACGTGGTCAACTGCGATTGCTAGGCCGCGTATATGAAGGTGACTGACCTAGGGTGGAATTTGCTTAGGTCTAAATTCAGGTCTTCGGGGGAGTATCGCTCATCCCAGTTAGGCTGGAACCCTTTCGGATCGGCGGGGACGACGGCCACCATGGTATAGTATTCTCTTGAGCGCTTCGATGTTTGTCAATGAGCAGTCGGGTACTGTGAAACCCGAACACCTACTGTCAAGTGCCCATGCAGACAGCAACCATCCGCTAGCCAAATATTCCACTATAGTCAGACGGGTTAGCCAGCGCGGTAAATAGTCATATGGGTTCGTTACGCACGTCTGGTTCGCCATTAACAAGATATTGAAGTTCTGTATCTTTCTTCATCAGCTCCGTGGGAATGAAAGTGCTGCCACCAAATTTGTGAGATTGTTGACCCAACAGCCCATCTGGGGCGCACGACATCGGCTTACCTAAAAGTCACCAGCGGATCAGGTGTCCCACTGAGCTCATCCTCTACAACCACACGCCGAATAACACTGTCCGATCCGTCCGCCCCGATAATAAGATCCCCTCGGAATTGTTCTCCGCGATCCGTGGTGACTACGACTTCTTCTGGATCGACGCCCGCAACTTTCGCATTGAACCGCACGTCAGCGCCTGCCTTGACAGCCAGCTTGTACAGTTCCGACCAAAGGAATCCGTACTGTACGCAAAATTCAGTCCCGTCGAAAACACCGAAGCAAGATGGAGAGAATGCTCACTGGGAGATACCAAAGGTCGGCTCTGAGAGCTTCCATAATTTGTGGATGGTACTGGAGTATGCCAACCTTTTCCGAGGTGGCAGCTGCAGGGCGTTCAATAACGGCCGACAGGTAGAAGGAGGTCTACACACCTGCCCGGAAGACAGTAGCGCTGGCTTTCACGCCGACCTCTTCGATGGTGCCTTGCAAGCCCCAGTCTTGCAATATCCGAGTCATGTTTGGGGGGGACCGTACCCCGCACTCCCAAGTCTACGGAAGCAAATGTGAACCGCTATCATTGTGATGATCGACGAGAATAATCCATACTTCATTCTTGCCGTCGCCCTTTTCCAGGACGGTGACTTGATGGCCAGCTCTTGACAGGGTGTACGCGCATGCCAGGCCTGAGATGCTGCCACCGACAATGATGAACGACAAGGACTGGGACGCTCTCCTAGAGTTTAACATCGATGGCATGGATCGGAATGGTACGCCTCGCTAGCAGGTAGTCGCAGACAAAGATCGAGAGAAAACATGTTGGAATCCTACAGCGGAACCAATCCGGCCACATGCGGACGATAATCTCAGCGCCAGCACACGAGGGTTCTAGAGAAGGAAGCGGGGACCGCCCGGTCAAACAAGGAGGAATTATCCATTGATTTCCTGAGAAGAGGGACCTCATTTGCGCTCGAAATGGGAAATCTTCCCCAAACGTGGGACGCTCGGTAATGGAGACGAGCTTTCTCCGTCCACACAACTCGCACCCGAGAAAGCTGAGCGTCTGTTCTGTGCCCCGAGGGGGGAATGGTAGTGAACGTATGTTACAGGGCGCAGCAGCAGATATCTATGGCAATGCAGCGACATAGTCTGAAACATAGTCACCGGTCGTCAACAGATCGAAAGCGTCGGCATGCAGCGCTTTCATCCGCCCCGCCTCTGGCAAGAACAATTTAGAATTACAGGCACTTATCACGGGTCCGACGGTCTGGCAGATTGGCACCCGCAAGCCAGGGGGGCCAGGCCGTGTCGGCTCACAAGCCTGCCGGTATCGCTTGGCCTGATAGACAAGCGAGCTTGAATGAAGTCGAGCGAACGAGGCAAGCCACCAACAAGCCACGATCAAAATCAAAACCGCAATCCGCGGAACCATGATCTTCGGTTTGATGCGATATCTGATGCCGTCAAAGTCACAAGTCACGCCAAAGTGCTTCCAATAACCTACCGTCTCCTACGGTATGCGTTATTTTTGTTTGCAGTCACTCCGCAATTATCGCGTCCGAGGAATCGACCTCGAATATTTCATTTTTGTAGGCTTCGTATCATCACTGCATTATGCCACGGTATTCGTACGAATGATTCGTAAGTAATAGTTCATAATGAAAGAACTCGGTCTAGAGTACTTACGTCCGTACCTTTTCTCTTCAAATTTCCAGAAAGACGGAAAAACGATTTTGTAGGAAATTGTTCATTTTATTTTACGGGAACTTAGCGACCCACCTTCGAGAAGTACACGTGGAGTGCCGGTCACTGTGCTGCGCGCCTCCTCGCGAGTCGTTGCTTCGTGACGAGTTCCAAGCAGGCCCACCATGAACGTGTACTCCGCGGAACGGAACAAGGTCTCCACCAGAACCCTTGGAACCATCTGGCCGTGTCCGCGGGGTCTTGATTCGCATGATCCCACTACTTATCGCCCGTGGGTGGATGGGATGGATTGAACCGGTCCTATTGGAGGCTTGGAAAAGCGGGGATGAAATATTCCCATGACCAGACTTCTTTATGTCGTACTGAACGCTCGCAATGGCAGGGCACAATTCTCATCGGTTGACGTTACCTGTTCGCCTCATGTGTCTTCCGTCACCCCACCGTCCTAGTACCCACATGTCAGGTTCGTACTTGCTCTTTCTCAAGTTCAGGTCGAGGTACGATACACTGACAGCTCGACACATTCTATGGAATCACCTGAGCATGAACCGTCATCATGGGCGCCCGTCACGGTCAACCTAGCGACCTCACGGTATACATGACACTTAAACGTCGATAACATTACAACAAGTAGCCCTGGTAGTAAAGTTACATTATGTGCAGGTAAAACAGTACATCATGGTTGCCTCCGACCGTCCTCGGGTATAGTCCTCTAGGCCTCGACCGGGACCTTCTGAGCGTAGCAGACGCAAATGTCCACCGTTGTGCCCTCCGTCTCATCCCATTCCTGGGCCATGTCGTCCATCCACTGATCGTACTCCTCTTCCGAGTTGACGTAACCCAGGCCGCCAGCGTTCAGGATGGGTGTCTTCATGCCACGGAAGACGTTGATGAAATTATCGCGAACATCGATGCCCTCCTGGCCGGCCCATTTCCCAGCCGGCAGCCTGTATTCTTCGACGTGCACGTTCTGGAACGCGGCCTCGCCCAGCATCTTCGGCAGCTGGACGGAACAGTCGATGAGCAGCTGCCGCGAGGAGAACAACAGCTCGAGCAGTTGCCGGTGTTTGACGCTGTGGGGACCCTCGGCGCCCCAGCGCTTAGCCTCGAGCAACTGCACCCATCCCCCCTCAGCCAGGCAGCGATGAATCTCCTTCAGGACGACCGGCCACTCGATAGACTTCAGAGCGGCGATAAGCAATCTTTGGTTGATAAGCGAGAACTTATTCGACCACTCTTCGGGCAACTTGGTGGCGGTACCGACTTGGAGCTGCATATTCTCGGGTCTCGTTGTCGGGAACAGCCGAGGCTCGATGTCGATGCCCTGCAACTGGACATCCGGAGACACCTTGCTTGCGAGGTCAAGGAGCCATATCCCTACTGGGCATCAGCATCGGACCGTATACATCAGCTGTGATCAAACTGACCTGATCCCGTCCCGCAGTCTAAGACGTGATTTCCTGGTGTCAGAGTGATAGGTGCGACAACAAGCCGGTCCCCCAATGCCCGTACCAGGACACGGTGTTGCAGCGCTAGTCTAAGGTCTCACGGGTCGGTGCTACATAATGCACGAGAGGATAGGAATTCTTACCTAGCCTGTTCGTCTTCGTCCGAGGGCAGAATGTAACTAGAACCAGGGTAGGACACATAATTGCGCGGGCGATGTTGGATGGGGTTTGCACAGGAATTATAGGAAGCTTGGTCCGTGGAACTGCCTTGTCTCTGGGTTGCGACAGACATGATGATTGCGGAGAGGGGGATGTTAGAATCGAGTCTGCCGGGAGGTTGTTAAAAGGTGGACGATATATAAGCGGAAGCCTCCTTTTGGGATCTGGCGAACTTCTCTTCGCCATACTTTACGCGGATGCGATAAAACATCGTCCTTCCTAATCACGGGTTCCATGGTTTTCTGATCAGAGATCCCACAGGGCCCTACCGGGACCTGGACATGGGTGCAGTCCTTCCCTTTGCCTCATGTCCAGAGTGGTTAGACACACTAAGCATCCCCTTGCGTCATCGACCCAAGCACAAGCATCGGAAGGTACGGCCGGGATCGACGCTAACGCCGCTATTCGCAGAAGACTGCAGCTGGAATTCTTCTCCTTCTGCATGTTGGGCGGGAACCATTATATCGTATATGGTAAGCCACGGTCAAATCATCGATAAGCCGGGATCCCTTTCCTGACGCCGACGATACGAGTGCAATAGAGGTGTATGATAGCTGTCAGCCTGAACGTAGTCCGGGATGCCACGGGTTCCAGGTTAAGATACGTAAAACCCGTCAATGCTACACGGTCGTCAACTAGAGATGACTATGCCCTCTCACAGCCGTCTGAGATGTATGGTCGAGTTTTGATACATGTCCCGAATACCCGGTGTTAGCGCAGATGGATCCATTCGGGCATGGTGGCATCGATATGATCTCCGAAGCTCATCTCTAGCCGAAGCTGTGCTAGCCTGAGGGCGCATCGGGGCGCATCAACACCGTTATCATGATCAACGCGAAAATGGGTCGTCCGGGATAGAGCAGAGAAGCCGCCGGCGTACGGTAGAGACGCCGAGAGTAGATGGAGAATCGCACGAACTTGCCCCAGCTCGCCCCTCATAACAGGCTGCGGAATTTGGAACCGGCGACAAAGTTCGAATCGCGGCAACACCTGGGTATAGTTCATCAGGCCAGTCTGAGAAATCACGAAGACCAGCTTGGACATTGGGATCCACATCTGAGGCCTGATGCTCGGTGGAAAGAAACATGATGGACATCATGCTGGACCTACACTATCAATCTGGCGTCAGTTACACACTTCGACCATCATGATCACAGTCCATAGCGCGATGGTAACACGTTTACCAATGAATGAAGGCCAATGAATGTAGTCTCAGTAGGTTCGGGCATCACACCCGAGGGGGGTCGTTCACAAACTTGGGTGGGGGGGGGGGGTTGCTGCGGGACTTACCCGCGAGAAGAGAGGAAGACTTGTCATGGTCTACTAGGCGACGTTCCCAGGTAATAGTTTGTTCATCAGACCGGACCGAGAAAACTGACAAACGTACAATCATTATCCATGAAAACTATGGTGTCACCCGCACGTCTGTGCCACAGTAATGAACAGCGGATGCGGGACGCAAGCACGGAGAAGGCGGGTGCAGATGCAGCAATAGCTACACTAAGGGACGAAACCTGTAAACCGGATGCAGAGCTGACATGACACAACCTGTCCGATCGGCTCGCAGGCAATAAGAAGTGTCACCACGGCTTGGGGCGCAAGCTCGATACTGCGCGTTGAATGTGAGAACGGTTGGCTAGGGAAGAATACAGGGCATACCTTATTGCACCCCATTTCCAAGGTTCATTACAATCAGCAGAATGGGTTGAGTCTAGTGCTCTGATTATTTCTTACGGCAGACTTGATGAGCCTTAGCCATATCTTAGCTTGTGTGGGAGGGTAGGACTGGAACACGGAGTCGAGAAGCTCGTCAAAGCTGGCGGTCCTGCATACTTCCGCCTGCCGCAATGTCAGTGTTACGAACGGTCTATTTGCTGCGCGCAAGCAGTGGCCCTCACCCAGTGATTCTCCGCGTATTCCTCTTGTGTCTGGAGGATGTCTGGAAACAGAGAAGTGAACGGCGACCCGAGCTCGTACACGACAGTTGCGGGGGTTAACGACTCCTTGATAACCTGGCCCGCTGCTGCCTTCAAGTCCGGGATGCCAAGCTCTGCGAACTACGCTTAGTCGTGTATGTCACTGTATTGAGTAATGTGGACTCACTGTCCGAGAGTCGGTATATGCTTTTTGGACTAGCCCACGGGATATTCCCGACTTGACCGGTGGGAGATATCGCAATAGCCCGTCGCTGGTTGAATATGCGCCGATCCTGTAATTCGTCGTCAAGGAGAGTCTTCTGAGCCACACCGACCCGATAGGCGGACGTAAGGGGCGCAAACGCAATGCATCTATAGAAGATTGAATGACGGAGACCGACGAAAAGAAGACAAATCATACCCGGTGTACAGGAAATGTAAGACAGTCCTAAACGTCCTGTACCTGTGAGTTAGACGAGAGTTACTGATGGACGTTCCATGTCGATGGTGGCGCCCACAATGCTTACGAGAAATCGGAGATATGGACGATCCTCCGGGCTCTTTCGGCTCCTCTTCTTCGATCCATACCACCTCCAGTCGACCTTGGAGTACTACTTCCCACCGGTAATAATTCTTCCACTATCGGGTATGCCTCCGTCTCCTCAGCGAGCTACATAGGTCTGTCAGTCTCACCGAACGGTGGCGGTAAGGTGAGAGTGCGCCAACCGGTGGTTCCTCATTTTCTTCGGTAGCAGGATAATCATAGTCGGAGTCACTGCCCTGCTCCCATGCTGACTCTTCCCAGTTCATATCACCTAGACCAGAGAGGGATTCCTTGTTCTCGACGAAACCCGAACTGAACACTTTGAAGATTTTAAGAGTGACCATTCGGCCGTAAATTGCTTCAACTTACATGTCTTGAAATAGTCGCATCGCGCTGCAAGGAACTTAGTGTGGGCATATATGGGCCTAGGCCATGTCCGAGACGCATGCGGGTGGTCTATCATGAAGCAGACATCCGCGGTGTCCGGATCATCAAACATAGAGGCCAACACATCGCTGAGCTGCTGCAGCGGAGGACGTAGTCCAAGAGTCCAGCTGTGATACCCCTCAGGGTATTCCGCAACGGCATAGTCCAACCTTAGGACATCCTAGAGTACATCAGCACGCATCAGATTGTCAGTAGAGCAACGCAGCAGTTCGGCTCCAAGACGTACATTGACTCTCAACACCTCATTGTCGGAGATGGTGTCGATCCGACAGAACTGTCTCGTTCCCCAGCCATAGTTGTCGGGAACAAACTCGTGAATCTTATCAAAATTGTAAGTGGCGATAGTCTCTCCATTCTCGGATTTCAACTGGATGAGAATGAAAAGATTTTAGCGTCGTCGTGATACAGGGGGCATAATAGGACGCACCGTGAAGTCTGCTCGAGCAAGTGCTAGCCTCGTAATTGGCTTGGGTTTCAGGTAGACACCGATCCATTCCGTACTTTTGTCGCGGATAACGATTTCAATCTAACACGCCAAGTCGTTATTGAAGGCCTACGCAGGGTCATAGGTACTAAGCAACTTGCCACCCATTTATCTCCGACAGTGGGACTGTTATAGTGCAATGTAATGGCGTTCTGCGAGCTCCGGCATAGATGGCTTAGGTTATGGACTTCGAACGACCCGCTTATCTGAGGTCCGCCCAAAAGCTTAGCACGATTTCATTGAAGAAAGTTTGAAACATTACCGTTGAGCACTGGGTCAGCTCCCACCGGAATTGTGGCTGGTCTACTCTGGATTCGATCCACTCCATTTCGGTACAAGCTTTCAGGCACTTGAAGCTCAGGCTGTGGTCGCAGGAGCTAAGGAGGTCAAGATTGACAACAAGGTTGGGAAGGATGCAAAGGGCTCGGGCATGTCATCGACTCTATATGCTGTTCGTGATCAATCAGCTTGTCCCTTCTTAGTCGGAAGTCCCAGTCGCGGCCGCTGTACAGAAGTTCCACCGCATGCGTGAGACCACTTTGACGCCTTGCTAATTGACAACGTCAGACGGAGAGCAAAACAAATATTAGACTTTTGTTCGAGTCGTTCTGCGCACATGCGCTCGCCGTCGTCTGCAGGAGCAGGAGCGATGACCCAAGAATCACAAGGCTCAACAACGTGAACAGCGATCAACTCTGCGAAGCCGCCACGTCAGCTCGCGTGTCTTCGCTAATGCCGGCGGTCTCTTATAACGGAAACTAAGGATGAAAGCCGACCGTGCTGAAAGCGCTTTCCGGGATTCAGACCTCTCAGATACTGGGGTACCGGTACCATGCTGCTCCCGCAGTTGATCGCGTTCGGTCTGGCGTTGGCGCCGTCACTGGCCTCGGCGGCCCTGTTCCCGAAGGACACGCTGGTGAAGAGCATAGACGAGAAGGGGTTCCGGAAAGTCATGAAGCAGAACGTACGCCTCGCGTGTTGTAACGGGATCCATGGCGCGCTGACGTGCGGGATGACAGCAAACCAGCGTAGTCGCGTTCGTGGCGCCTTGGTGCGGGGTATGTGCATACCGTGCTTGCTCGGAGGTGTATAGTACTGATGGGAGGGTATATGCTTAGTACTGCCAACGAATGGCACCGGAGTACAGCAAGGCAGCCGTGGGCCTGCACCCGCTCGTGCCCCTGTACGCCGTGGACTGCGATGCTGACAAGAACAAGGCGCTCTGCGCCGAGCAGGGCGTGAAAGGGTTCCCTACCGTGAAGGTGCGTAAGCCCCGACACCTCTGACGGACATTGTACAGACGCTATCCATGATCTAGTTATACCCTCGAGGTAATCAACTGCCTGCAGTCAGTTTCGACTCCAACGAGCGCACTGCCAACGCGTTCTTCTACTGGGCGTCGCAGAAGGTGCCGTACACAGTGCGGAGGCTGGCCCAAGTCGAGGACGTGGAGGACTGGGCGGCTCAGGTATGCCTATCCCTCCCCTTCCGGCGCATACATCCGCTCACCACCGAGTCATCTCATGTATCAGAAAACGTCGAAACCCCGCGCGGTTCTGCTGAGCAAGGAAAAGAAGATCCCACTATTGTGGCGCGTCCTGAGCAACAAGTACAGGGATGAGATGGCTTTCGGACATCATGTGGGCAAGAAGGGGAAATCTGCTGCCGCTCTCGGTGTGAAAGGCGGAGGAGACGAGTCCAAGTCCAAAGTCATTCTCTATGCTCCTGGATCGACGAAAGCGGCGCTGTACGAAGGTAAGGCAAATTTGCACAGAATAAATGTTTGAGTCTCACTTGCACCTTTAGGCGTACTAAAGATGGACCCGCTCTCGGAGTTCTTCGACGCTGTGATTGACGGGACAGCAGATCTGAAAGTACCGAAAGAGCCTGAAGAAGTCCCTGTTACCGATACACCTGTACCCAATGCAGAGCAGATCGTTCTGAACACACCGCCCTCCCAGTCCGAAAAGGAGGCCGATGCTGTTCCTACAGCGCCATCCCCCGAGCCTGCCAAAGCGGTGGAGACGGAAGCACATCATGCTGATGACGATGCGGTACCGCCACCTGAGCCTGTGGAGAAGGTCGTTGACGAGAGCGCGTCGCGGCATGCCAAGGAAGAGTTATGATATTCTTATATATAGTCTCTACCCTGGGTGGCTCAGAAGGTAGTAATACAGCTGTAATTATAGTGTCGTGACGATGGTAATGGAGGTTCGTGCTACATGCTGGGAACGTTAGAGGTCGTTGTATGCTAAGCTGCGCATCACGAATGCGGGGTATCCAAGCAGTCCGAGATTAAAGTGACACGTCCTCGCAAAGGTAAAGATAATCCTGTCAACAGAGGAGAACGCGACCATCCCATGTGGCGGGATACCACGACCCGAGTACTTGTCTGGTGAAGTCGTCCGTTACGACCCATGGCTGGCTAAGGTACGTACGTACGTCGACCCGGCCGCCGTGAGGGTAGATAGGGCCGTAGTAAACGGGCACACCTTGGTAGTCGTACCACCACAGATGCGCGGTGGTGGGTCGGGTATTTATGAAGGTGATGTTGGTCGGGTGGAAGGAGTGCCACGAGCGGAGTGCGTATATACAGGATAAGGGGTGGGAGGGGAGGTCGTGACGCTGCGTGGCGCAATCTGAGGGTATTTAATCGTAAAGGAGATAATTGCGTACCGGAATGTTCGGATCGTAGGGAGGTACCATGGGGGATGTTGCCCTGTCATGCATTTGGGTATACGGGGGATAACACTGATATATCCGGTAAATGTAGACGACCTATCGCGAACCGGGGGCTCTTACCCAGACACTTGGTTCAAACGAGGGCGACTCAGCTACGAGGGCATCGTCTTGGAACCGCACGTGGCGTTGGGGCATCTGCCTACGATAACGGGCCCGACGATGAGAGAGACCTGGGAACAAGACTTCACTCAGCAGAAGCCAGCACGGACGCGATAATACATACTACGACAACTTGGGAGCAAAGGCATGAAGCGACCAAGGGAAGAGCGATGTCTGAGGCTGTCACGATGCCTACAAGGCTTTATGGACAGAACCATGAATGGGAGGGTTAGCCGAGTTCACAGCAGTGGTGGCGGCGAGCAGTTGACTGAGACATTGAGGAGAGCAACTTCTGGACATTCCAGTACGCCACAGTGGCTGGGATATCTTCTTGAACGCGGCCTCCCTAATCGGGATGGTTCGGGAGGCTAGGCATCCGCGGAATGTCCTCGCACGTAGTGCTTCACTGCTTCCCCTTGCCAGCAGATTAAGGCATAACGGCGCCAATAACTGGGCGCAGATACAAGCAGTTCAATAGAGCCACACATCCAGTGTGGCACGACAGAAGTGCCCGAATCTGTGCTTCGTCGGCGACGCGTATGCGACACTCGCGAGTACAATGGACGGCTTCAGACTCGCTTAGGAATAATGACTGCTATGAAACCACAGGTGAGACGTGTCGTATTACGAGGGAGAAGCAGTGAGGCATCGTGACTCTAGGAGGATCATCGGGCAGCGAGGGATGTCCCGCCTCGGTGATGGTAGAAAGACTAAGAACACGAACTGAGAGTGAAATGTCACAGGGTACGTCGCGCCGCGGGCGTAGCTGAGAATTCCGACATATCCCGTTATGGAAACTCCTGTCGGCAGCAGGGCCGACACAAGTCCGAGTCTGAACTTGACTAAATTCCTCTGGGTCTCTCTGCGCGTTCGATAAATATGAGATCTTTTCTGTGCTGAACGAGCCGGCTTTGAACTTGGGACTATTTCTTGAACACAATATCTACGCGTGTTGTGGGATCTGAAATTCAAGTGAATCCAGTCGTACAAGCCCGACTTCCGGTAGATCTCCAGTGCAACTTTTGCAAGGACTTGAGCTTGAGGCGCTTGGGAAAAAGTCTATTATCCGCCTCCTGGAGCCTCGGGGTAGCTCTACCATCTCCCAGTCATCCATCGCCGTGCCCAACTACCACACCCAAGTTATGGCTCGTGGCGTCTCACCTGGGCCTCCTCCATTACCCAAGCCTTCCTTCGTGAAGGTGGACGAAGACTCGACACAGCCCACGGGTGTACACGACCAGCAGGCGCGTTCGTATGGCTGTAAGCTCTTACTCTGCCCATTTGACGCGTTGATCCGCGACCTTACGCTGGACGCGATAGATAATGATTTCTCGGACTTCAAGAGGCCAGAGCATTACATTCGGCATATCGGTAAGCATGGTTTACCATTCCGGGTCAATGGCATATAACCCATAGCAAAGAACCCTTGGAAAGTGAACTTGCCGTGCAGGTAGAATATGACATGGATGAGCAAGGTATGGCTGCATCCTAGCATGAGATGATGTTCTTACGCTCTTCCATTTATATAGATCAAGAATGGCTGGATGCTGTGAATGCGGATCGAAAGAAGGAGCAGCTGGACAAGGTGTCATACGAAGTCTTCGAGGTCATCATGGATCGGCTGGAGAAGGAATGGTTCGACCTAGTAGGTCCAAAGTCTGAGTAGACGGAAGGATCCCACTAATCACCCAACCCAGACTAAGAACATCCCCAAGCCTGACATGGCTCTCCCCTCGGAAGATTCCACCTGTGCTATCTGCGACGACTCCGAGGGAGAAAACAGCAACGCTATCGTATTCTGCGACGGATGCAACCTTGCCGTCCACCAGGGTTTGGGCTATCCTACATCCGCACCCACTCAGAACACTTACAGACTATGTAGATTGTTACGGTGTACCGTACATACCGGAGGGCCAATGGCTCTGTCGAAAATGCACTGTTTCCCCAGAGAACCCCGTCGTGAGTTTCAACAGCGTCGCTTAGGATACAGCAGTTTATTAATATCACCCAGTCGTGCATCCTCTGCCCGAACGAGGGAGGCGCATTTAAGCAGACCATCCATGGCGAATGGGTCCATCTGCTGTGCGCTATATGGGTCCCCGAGACGCGCGTCGTAAACGACGTGTTCATGGAGCCTATCACCGGCGTAGACAAGATACCCAAGCAACGGTGGAAGCTGGTATGCATTGTTTGCGTCATTATATGCACCCATTAAACCCTTCTCCTAGAGATGCTCCATTTGCGACGTCAGGGAGGGCGCGTGTATCCAATGCAATAAGGCGACCTGCTTCCTGGCGTTCCACCCGACCTGTGCTCGTAAAGAGAAGCTGCTCATGCCGATGAAAAGCACGCAGGGCACCGAGCCTGCGACGCTGCAGGCCTTCTGCGAGAAGCATTTGCCGGTATGCTGTTACTCACCTCTAACCCATCTTACTCACATTCCGTCCTCGAACTGAAGCGAGAGCAATACGAAGCCCGCAAAGCGGCTCTCGCCGCCGAGCGTGAGACACCCGAAGCGGGAGACGAGCGGCGCGCCGACGCAAAAGCAGCCAAGAGCGCGCGCGCCTACGCGAAGACGTACAAGCTCGGGCCGCCGCTCGTTCCCGCCGTCATCGTCGACCGCATCATGCAGTACATCAGCAAGGTGAACATCCGGAAGAAGCAGGACTTCCTGTACCTCGTGTGCAAGTACTGGAGCCTGAAGCGCGAGGCGCGACGCGGTGCGCCGCTGCTCAAGCGCCTGCACCTCGAGCCGTGGACGGCGTCTGCGGGCGGCAAGGCGCAGACTGACGAGGAGAAGGCGATGAAGCTTGAGGTGAGTGTCACAGTAGTTTGGGTTTTTGGGTGGGGTGTAATGTTGTCACAGTACATGAAGCGCCTGCGGCAAGACCTCGACATCGTCCGCGTGCTGGCAGAGATGTGTCGCAAACGGGAGAGCCGCAAGTTGCAGCAGGCGGAAGTGATCAATGATCTCATTTCCCACTGCCTCTATCCACACGAAGCCCCTTTGAGGCTCGCCTTCGAGAGGATTATGGGGTACTTCTTACTACATCTGCCAAAACATCCTCTCTAAATCCCTTTGTAGATTCGACCGTCTCGACTTCTTCAAGAACCCGGTTTCTCGCAACGACGTTCCTGATTACTTCGATATCATAGAGCGGCCGATGTGCTGGAGCATCATTGATGACAAATTGGACAAGCATGAGTATTGGAACTTGCAGGATCTTAAGGTTCGTCCCTGATGGTCTGTTCGGGAAGCAGCGCCTCACCCTTGGATTCGCAGGATGATATCAACCTAGTCCTTAATAATGCAATGGTTTACAATAAACCGGATACCCGGTTTCATAAGGCTGCCGCGAGGATCAAAGCGAATGCTGAGCCAATTCTCGAAGAGTTGGACAGGCAAGCTGTAGTTCATCACAGCGATAGCATCGACGCAAGGGCCCAAGTTGGCGATTTGGAGCCACCCCTCAGCATCCTGGACCTTCTCTTCTCCGTAGACCATATCAAAGATGACACCAATCTCCTTCTCGAAGCACCGCCGCTGATCTCACTTCTCAATTACGAGCTCGAGAAGCTCAAGCCGCCTCCCCCGCCTCCACCGACGCCTCCGCCCAAGCCCAAGAAAGGGAAGAAGAGGGCGAGGAAAGAGTTGGGAGCCGATACGATCGACGCCTCGCCCGGGTTCCGGGCACCGAGGACACGCAGGGCGCTCGCTGCAGCAGCCGCGTTCGAGGCGGAAGCTCGGGGTGAGACTGAAAGTACGGACAAGCAGCCAGAGGAGACGCCAGTACCCGAGCCCGAGGCCGCGCCAGCTGCTAAAGAGAAACAGGTCAAACCGAAGAAGTCAGTGCCCAGGTTACCGAGGGCGACACATACAGAGATGCCCCCTGTTGTCGACGACGTCGACAGCCGTGAGTCGTTCAAGAAGTTCGAGCAGGGCTGGATTCTGCCTCCCGACGTCCGCCGTGGAGGAAGGGCGCCAGTAGCTAGGTCACCATTACCTCCTCCGAAGAAAAAGAAGCGCCTTTCAGGTGAGATACACATCTATAAGTCATACCCGGGCGAGGTTGACCGAGTTGATTTCAGCTTCGAAGTCCCGTCTGTCAGCGGCTGCTACGTCTTCCACGGAGAATGAGACATTGCACCTGCCGTCGTCGGTCCACTCAGAAGAGACGAGCTCTTCTGTTCCAGCACCACCTCCTGAAGGGGATACCACTGCTATGCAGGTCGACGTCCCAGAAAGTGCCGGCGGTCCCAGCGAAGCTATCCCGGAAGCTGCCGGCCCACCAATACATGACGATATCCCCTTGGACGCGTCCTCGCCTCTCACGGTTGAGCCGGAGGAACAGAATGAAGATGTACTAGGACAACATGATTCGGGATCCGACTCAGCTATGAACGATTCGGCTCTGTCAAATCCCCGCGTGGACTCGCAAGGAGCGAAGGGGGCTCCGGAAACTGCGCCTGGAGTTGAACAGATTCCAGATGCGGAGCCTGCAGAAGCAAATGTGGAAGAGAGTGAAGAGGCAGCACATCCAGCAGCCGCAGCATCAACTGAGCCTGCGGCAGATTCGCGGTCTGCCGATGCTGTACCGGAAGGGGCTGAAAAAGATAGGGACCTTCATCCTGAGGCTGAGGTTTCTACAAAGAGTGCGGGTGAAGAACCCTCGGGTATGACGGTGCCCGCACCGGAAACCACTAACAAGCAAGAACCAACGGAAGAGCGACTAGACGAGAAGCCGAAAAAGTCGGCACCGCAGAAGCGAATTGTCATTGATGTCCTGGACACCCCAGCCACGCGAAGGGAGAAGGCAATGCGAAAAAGGCTCGAGAAGATGCAAAGGGAAGAGGCTGCAAGGGCAGGCCAAACCTCCACCCCTGGTCCTTCGACTGCTCCTCCGGATGCGAAGGCTAAGCTGGAAGATGACGACGAAGATTCTGCCCTGAGTGATTTGAGCGACCTTGGAAGTGATGACGAAGGCGCCCCGAATGCTCACACGCAAGCAGAGGAAGAGATAAGAACGGAAGAAGAGGGTAAGGCCGAAGAGGCTAGGAAGGAAGCAGAGAAAGCAGAGGCGGGTGCTATCGTATTGGACGACGATGATTATCTTGAGGGCGGGACCCTGGGTAAGTGATCTACTTCGATCGTCCACAGAAGTTGTCTAACTCGAAGCTCCGCCGTATCCCAGTGTGGGCCAAAGCGCGTAAGCAGGACATGCCCTTCTATTCGGATGTCCTTCTCAGTCGATTTCTACTGCAGACTCATTCCCGTGGTGGGCGGCCGTTGTATTTGAGCCTGATGATCCCGGTATACCAAAAGCGGTTCTACGGGAAAAGGAAAAGGTGAAAAGGACTATGTCCGGTCCTCTGCACCTCGTACGGTTCTACGATAGCAAATCCTCCTGGTACGCAACGATGCGTCCGAGGGGACCTACGTACTAAGATTGTCGCGCAGGAATTGGCTGGAGTTGGACAAACTTCGTTACTTGGGAGAGGATAAATGTGTGTGCCATAAGAAAGCGCTGCACCGCAGGTCCTGACGATTGTGCTGTAGCTCTAGACGAAGAGTTCCTGCAGGGTTCCAGTAGACAGCGGTTCAAGACCAAGGGGCTCCGCAACGAATGCCGAGCCGCGTATAGGTTCGTTTGCCATCAGTACTCTCTATAGCTCCGCCCTGAATATCGCTTGCTCCTAGACGTGCTATCGCTGAAATGGAGCAAGGTGACGAGGATCAAGCGACGGAAACGGACGGCAAGTCGCAGACAGCAACGGTTGACGCTCTTACGCCCGACCATGCAGGGGAGCCGGACATCGCTATGGCCGAGCCGTAGAAACGGGAATTACTGTGGGGAGCAGAGTAGGATATCTTTTCTTTATAGCTTCTTTATGCTTGTACATTGGGTATGTAGCAGAATGTACTAACAATGCCCTGGGCGGTACCGCAGAATATCCGATCAGTGCAGCACTTGACCGTAAACTTTCCTATGATCAGATTCACTTCTTGGATAGACGCGTCTATAATTAGCCCCACTCTAAAGGCTATCATTGGGTAAAAATAGCCTCACCTATGCGGCCATGCGCCACTCAGGGGTCCTTTCAGGTCATAACCTGCTAGTCGACGCGTGCCATGGCAAAGGAGGAAGCGACAGCGCTGAAGGAGAAAGGCAATGATTGCTTCAAGAAGGGAGCTATGATTCAGTAAGTCTGCCCATTTCACGGAGAGCTGCGAGTTGCGCACTACTTTGTACTTCCTAACCATTGTGGCTATTTAGAGCAGCGAACTTCTACAAGTTGGTCAGTCATTTATTAAATCATCTGCGTCTCGGCGTTTGAGTATTATTATTTAGGCTGGGGAAGCAGAACCGACCAATCCAGTTTATCCATGGAACTTAAGTGCGGCCTTGTACGAGGCCGGTGACTATGGTGCCTGCTTGGATGCCGTTTCACGAGCCTGGAATAACTTGTCTGCCACGGGTCAAGAGCCCAACCTGACTCTAGGGTGTCGTCTGTCAGTCCGTTTGCCAAGGCAGTATGTCACGGAGTTCGAAGAAGTTCCGTGAAGCCTGAGGATCTGCAGCGATACGAGGATCTAACGAGTGCATTGAGGGATGCCCGTCTGGCCGGGGACAATAAAGTGCAAGCCCTGGACTTGGAAAGGGTCTGGAAAGAATGGGATAAAATGAAGCAGGAACCCGAAGACCGTGCTCAGGCTGCTACAACAGCCTTGACTGAGCTATCTCGTCTACCGATTTTCAAGGCTACGTCGTACGTCGCTCAAACTATATGTCAGTGTCTCTTAATAATCCAAAGTAACATTAGGAACCCAATTTTGGAGTATTACTCAGTCAGTATCGGAACTCCAGTCGGCTGTACATTGTTAGACATGCATAAGCTTACTTGACCTTTCGGATAGATTGGCCATGACGATATCATGTCTATAATGGAAAACTGGGGGGACGGATTTGCCCAACCTATAAACACAAACCGACTGACATCTGCTCAGTTATCCAACCTGGCTTTCTTCTTTGGAGGGGTTGGCGACGGTGAGTTGTGGACACTCTCGTCCAAGGGATCTGTTGATTGGTTAACCCACCCAGCTCGGCACGTCTTTGGATCTCTCGTTGGATTCCATAAGGCTCGCGCGAGGCTGAGCAATGACAAGCGTGCTCTTGTGCGCGTGCATATGACCTTATGCAACATTAACGCCACTGCCCTCGCTCGTGACGTTTGTCTCTGGCTCTTGGTCCAGCAGCTCAATGAAGCATCTGACCAGATTTCCGAACTGGAGATCAAGGCAACTTTCATGTACATATTCTTCGGTGTGATCATGCCTCCATACTGCCACCAAAGGTTTGTCCGCAGGCTTGAGAAGTACCGAGAGCCTATGTATACTCACATATATATTTACAGGATGATGACGACAATCGATGACCTTGAGAAACGGCTTCTCGCCAGTCCGCTGGACCTCCCTCCATGGCTACACGTGGACTCCTCTCTGCCGTTAAGCCTATTATCAGCGTGCTCAAGTATTGGAAGACTGCCGTCAATGTGAAGACCACGAAGATGATTCTGCAAAACCACGATTACAACGAGTACAAGGAACGTTCAGGCGAGGGGAAGTCGAAGAGATGATGAAGCGTATGAGTGAAGCCGAACTCATCCGTTTATATAGCGTCTGCGTGGACCCATCAGGCGATTCGCCCTGCAAAGGCAGGCTGAACCCACGCCAGAGAGAGGCACTTGTCGATTATATGCTCGACCAATTCTTCGGTCATAATGCCGCAAGTAATGGCGACATGATCTTCGAGGAAGCTTGGTATGAGGGCACTTCCTGCTATCTCCCACCGCCCCAGCTTTGGGACAGGCATGAAGGCTTTGACGTTTATCGCTCTATGAAGAGAGGGGAGACGTCCAATCGCCTATCTGAGAGGTTCCACAAGGTACAAATATCCTTCCATCCATATTATTAACAATCAGTAAGTCTCACCGAACGTGTAGATCCCGAAAAGAGTACGGAAGACATGGCTGCCAAATACCACGCTGTTTGTACGATAAATCTTCCCCTGCTGAACACGCGTTGTATTTAATATATTTTCCTCCCAGGATGAGGCCAGCGATCGCGTTAACCACTTCTATCCAGATCTGCACATGGATGCATTCCAGGCTTCTCGACAGATCATGGAATTCAACGAACGCGCTGGATTGGAAGAAGAAGAACGTGAAACCGACGTAGGGAAGGATGCCCCCGTATTTATGCATGCCTCTCATTTCCTCGATGGCGTCGTGGAGGTTATCAAGAAATGCGAAGGGCATGTCAAGCTAGAGGTACTTCTCGGGGAGTTGACTCAAGAGCTCGCGAAGATGCGTTTCGGTGGTGACCATACCCGCCCGATGTCGTTCCCTAGACATTTCACAAGAATGTGGTTAAGCAATGTTCCGTAGGTAATCGTATTGCTCCGGACTACGCCACCTCACGAGACGAATATGCAGAGATTACACTCATGGTGTCATTAATACTGCCGTGTATGTTCTCCCTGACCTGCAACAGGAGTACGAGATCGCCGCAGCCGCTTCGAATTGCCTACTCAATACAGGTATGTGGAATGGCGACGAGGAGTTCATTCATACGTGAGTGTGCCTCAGAATTCTCAGCTGCGGGAGTAGTCGAGCCTGAATCACAGGTACACACTGCTCCACCCGTCCGACGTTCCCCGCTATCTGGGATGCCGATTGCTACACACAGAGGTCATCCAAGACGTCCTCGTCCTGGGATCGCAACCGCTACCAAGGCCGCTATCCTCGCTCGCCACCCGCTGACCAAGGTGCTCTTGTACATGCTGGTCCCCGGAAATCCCGGCGGCACGGGCCCCGTGCGCGTCCGCCTGCCGAACAGCCTCTCAGCGTTCATCGGCCTGCTCATCCACCTCGGCCGTGTTGCCTTCCCGGCACATTGGCTGTCCGAGTTCCTGCAGAGCGTCCTGCGGGACGACGTGGTCACGGACGTCGCGCCCTATCGCGGTACGCTCCCGATCCCCCTGTCGGACCTGAAGCGGCGCGTGCCCCGGCGGAAGGTGTGCCTGCACCCTCTGCGCGCGGAGATGGAGGTGTTGCTGGCCACGGCGCATCGCGGACTCCCTTTCGCGGTACCGCTCCCCGAGGGCTTCGCTACATCGTCAAACGATATTGGGCTATTCGAAACACGTATGACACCGAACTTCATCACCATGATGATGCCGATGTTCAACAACGACAACACGAACTGCCTCCTGTTCTACAAGACCGCAGGCGCGGAGAACGCGGCGGACATCGTTTCGCGCATCGGCGATATGATCGAGGGCAAGAATCCGCCGAAGCCGGGAAGCATGTATATTATAACGGCGCCTGCGTTCCTGGATGTGCGGGGTAGCTTCGCGCGGTGGTATATGAGCAAGTCGCTGTTCGAGGAGATGAAGGCGGAGGAGATGAGGAGGGAGAAGTGGGTGATGGTGGCGTACCGCAGTGACGTTTCCGAGCTCGGTGAGTGTGCTGCTAGTGTGGCGGGACAGAGTGCGCTTGACACTCCACCTCTTTCAGTGAGCGAACCAACTCCGAGCTCGCAGTGGAAGCCTGCGAAGCAAGGTGGATCCTATTAGGGGTGAACATTGCGAGGGCAGTGCCCCCCGGGCAATATACCATAGGGAGGGTGTTGCATTCGATGCTGTATCTACTAGGATGTGCAGAATGAGGATTCACATGCATGGCCTAGAGATGTGAGTCAGTAATGTGCAAGGAGCATAGACTCAAGTCCCGCTGGCGACGCTAAACCAGCTGCAGGATACGTAGCTGTTGATGCTGATACTGAAAGCTCTAAACAATTTAGCATCATTCCATTTCCCTTGGCCCGAGATAACCACTGTCTGGCACCCTATGGACGGTGGCAAGGCCGTCAGGTGTCCTTGGACGGGTCAAGTCGGAGGGTCATTGCAGTCCTCGGGAAAGATAGGGATCCGTTCGAAGCTTTTCGCAGGTCCTGTCGATAGCATGATTGGCGCAACATGATCGTTTTGTAGACCTTTTGTGACCACCTAGACTCGATACTTGACTCAAGACACTGTCGAATTGGTGTAATGGCATGTTCTAACCACAGAGCCGGCGCTGACGGCTTCTGAGCAGCATCGCGTTACTGTTTAGTCAAACAGCTGCAGCTTGATTGTACTATTCGGTCAGGATAAGAAGCAAGTGGTCAAGACAATAGCGAAAGCGTGGTATCTTACATACTGATCACAAGCTCTATCGTCCCGAAGGAGGAGTTTCCGACTTCTGATCTAAAAGACATCGAGGCCGGTTCGAGACGCGCAGAGGGGTGTTCGGCCTCTGCACTGCATATTCCGAGAACGTACCTGATCAATTAAATCGGGCACCGGACCCCAGTCCAGCATCGCAAATTCGTGGAAGAAACATGGCCAGACGCACCGATCAGGCGTGGACCAGCAGCGTGCAGGGCGGCATGCAGGGTAATAGCGGAACAGCTGCGAGAGCAGGGCATGGTTAAAATGGGAGGGGCGTGTCGTGCTCTCATTGTATCCCAAGTCTTACAACACTACCGATCCTTCTCATCGTCGACGACGAACCCGACATGCCTTCCTTCGTCAAAGGGGTCAAGCGCCGGATTCGCCGCCTCAAACAAATCATTCATGCCGGGCATCCGCATGATGGGCCGGAGACTACTCCGGGTACCGACCGCTGCCTTTCCCCGGCCCTGCACGAAGTCGTCGGCGGCATACCATGCCCACCCGTGACAATACCCGCGTCGCCCAGGTCGTCGACTAGCACGGACACGATGGCGGTAGCAGGAGGGCTCATGGGTGGGAAGGAGGTGGGACTGTCGGACGCGGTAGCGAGCAGCCGGGGGTCGTCCCATTATTCAACCGCGGAGACCGCCATCTTCGGAGACATCGAGTCGGACCGGTCCTCGTCGTTGGATGCGACGCGCCCAGTGTCATCTCAATCCGTTGCTCTCGACGCGTCGACCTCTACTTACAGCACGGCTAGCGAGGGCAGCGAAGCACATCTTCCTAACATACTTGAGGCGGTTATCGAACCGATGTCGGCGCCTTCTAGCTCTACGGAGGAGCCTCAGCTCGATGAACAGCCTGAGTCTCATCCAGTTCCGGTGGCGGAGGAGCAGAGTACTGAGCCGGTGCTGGAAGTGACCGTGGATGTCGCTGCTGAGCCGGAGCCAGAGGTATCGCTTCAGAATGATTCTCAGTCTCAGCTGACGGCATCGCCGCCTCCTCCTGAGTCCACCGAGTCGATTCCGCCCGAGGAGGAGGACACGTCGGATCGCGCTCCAGGAGAGCCGCGGGAGGAAATTCCTTTCACGAGCCCTCCACCGCCCGTTCTTGTCGAGCCACCAGTTCCCGATCCTTTCTTGGTCGACGACTCAGAGTCATCGGACGCAGGTTCTGAACGTGAACCACAGGCTGCTCCTGTTACCAGCGACTCGCAGCTCTCCGAGTCTATGCACCCCGCCGAAGAGATATCGCTCGCGGCGTCTGCTACCTTGCCAACACCCTCCCAGCCCTCTCCCGCTCCTCTACCCTCTCCCAACCTGAACAAGTCCGTCCCACCCACCCCCGCGCCCATCTCGGACGACGAAGAAGACGAAGAAGAGACCCCGGAGGTCTACCTCCCCGCGCTCGTCCACCCGACGATGTTCCTGCCTATCCCGAATGTACGCCTCTCTTCCGCCTTCTCATCCCTGACGTGGTGGCTGTCGTCCAGCCGGCGCCGCCTCCCGTCGTTTTCGTACTATCCTTATTCTCATTCCCTCCTTCCTCGTCTGCCTCGCGTGTAAAAGAGTTGTACTTACTATCGTTATTTTTCTCTCCTCCGTGTTGTATTTGTAGACGGACCCTCTGAGTACTTTGCTCGCGAAATACATAACTGATCCAAGCCTACGTCCTGCGCGGGATCTGAGCGGCGAGTGGCAAAGCAGGGATTTCCATACCCTCGTTGTGAGTGCGACGCAAACTGGCTGCGCGAGGTCGCCCATTCCAATAATGCTACATCGGTAGACGACGAACTCCTGGAGAGCACTAGCAAGAATGGCTCGGGACCGCATAGTCACTACAGACCCTGAAGACATTTCTCTCGTATTGGACGTGAGTCACTGTAGCTCTCTACTCTTGAATGCCTCACCCACTGACAAGTCCTCAAGCTATGGTACCTCCGCATATCCTCATTAGCTAGGCTTCGGCTCACCAACCAAGCCTCCGCCGAGATGAACAACCTCTTCTCCGTGCTCTACTCCCTCCAGCCCGACTTCGCGCGCGAGTACCTCCTCGACCGGCTCCTCCCGTTCGAGCTCGAGGTCCTGCACGCGCGCGGCAAGTACTGGGCGGGCGACCACATGGGCTACCTCGACGCGCTCTGGGCGCTCGTCAGCAAGTGCCGGCGGAAGGCCAAGGACGCGCTGAGGCGGAAGGGGAGGCGGGTCGCTGCGGACGCGGGCGGCGCGGAGAAGGAGATGTGGGTTGAGCGCGGGAGTAGGGTCGTGCTCATCATCGCGTCGCAGCTCATTGAGATGAAGGTACGTCCAATGCCCGAGGTCGCGATGTTGGACGAGGAGCTGACAGTGTGTCAGGACTTTATAGCTGCGACGAAAGTCCTCGCACCGCTACTATCAGCCAGCCCGCGACCCGCGCCGGAGCTGCAGTCCGCAGTGGCCCGGATATACCTGCAGGCGGGCCACCTCTCCATCGCAGCGCAGCATATCGCCGAAGTGGAGTCCCACCCCGCCGCAAGTCAAACCATGAAGGACATGAATGCCGCGATGCTCGCCACCGCAGAGGGCGACTGGGCTAAAGCGGCAGAGATCCTTCAAGGGGTTCTAGCGAGGGAACCCGAAAACTTCGCGGTACGCCAGCAGTGGGTTTATTCGGATATGTCAGGCTGACGGTCCGCAGGCTGTGAACAACCTCGCGGTGGTCCTACTCAGCCAGGGTTTGATCAAGGAGGTGAGTGAGGGTCCGTGCGGTCGCACTCGCTGCTCTGAGGGCCATCTTCCTGCAGGGTATCGACGTACTAGAGAAGGCACTAAGCACATCGCCGTCTACTGTCGTAGTTGCAGAGCCCTTCTTGTTCAATCTGTGTAAGTCTGCGCTTGGTTCACTTCGATGTCGTGCTCACTATAGCACTTGTAGCGACGCTGTATGAGCTTCGCTCCGCAACAGCAGCGCACAACAAACGCAACTTGCTCATTGAGGTCGCCAAGTGGAGCGGGGACGGTCTGAAAACAGCTTGTCTCAAGATGCCATCGAATTAATTAGGTGTGTCATGATCCATTACAAGATGGATTCGGTCATAAGCGCTATCGATATGATAGGACAGCAAAACGAATGTGCGTGTAACATTTTACACGGTCCTTTAAGTTGTAAATTGGACTCTCCGTCGTGACCAGAACGTGTGCATGCACAGCCGAGCGACATGCTCTTACATCCCTGCTTGCCGATTTAGCATGTAAAGCTGAAGGTCCTGCCAACCTACAACATAAAGTGAACACTAGAAATGACATAAACAAACCAGCACTTACCACCACCAACACGACACATCACCCTCTTGTTCGGCACGCCATTGCGTGTGGTAACGGTAAGGCGACAATTGATGACTTTCCTAGCGAGCGAATTCGAGAACGCATACTGCGCCCTGACTTCCTCGCCCTCTTTCGGTATCGTACGCAACGGAGGATCGACTCGCTCAACAAGTAATCCATGCGGAATGGAATTTACGACCGCTGCTACTTCAGCGTCCAGCGGATCCTTCGGGTTTGCAGGTACATACACATGTACTGGGTTTCCATCTAAACTAGGTGTTGCAGCGCCTGCGCGGGATCCAGGGCGTGCTGGGGCGCCGCGCAGGGAGGTGCCATCTCTGAAACTAGATGGCGGCATCTTGGCCAACGCTGACGGACGAGGGGTAGATGCGGAGGCGCGAGGGGCTTGGTAGAAGGGGATCTGCTGCGCTCGCTGGCGCAACGCCGACTCGGGCGTTTGCGCCCTCATGGCGGATGCTCGGAATGACATGGAGCTCTCTGGCCGGTAATTAGACATCGTCGAGCCAGGTCGAGAAGGCGAAGAGAAAGATAAACTGGGTACTGGTATCATAGAACGACTTGGTGGTCTTGGTGGGGGTATTTGGGAATCGGTGCCATTAGGTGTTTCGGAACGCTCAGAGTAGGATAAGCTGCTGATGGAGGTGGAAGTCGATACTCCCGGTGAAAGACCTCGTCGCATCAAGGATCTGGGGCTCTCATCCGAGTCATTATGCCAACCAACCTCTGACTGTGATCGGAGATGTATCCTGTTGACTGGCACTGGGATATGACTGGGTGTCTTAGGCACCGGGATGTAGCTGGGCGTCTTGGGCCGCGAGCGAGGCAAGCCCGGGGTCTGTGATCGGGATGGCGGGCGGAATAATGGCGGAATGGACGGATTCGAGGATGCCGCTGTCGATATAGACGACGTGACTGGTGACCACGGTCTGGATGAAGCCATAGAGCTCCGTGAAAGACTGCGCTTGTATGGCGAGACTCCGTTTGCATCAGCACTATACAACCCGGGGCCAGCAGATGATATTCGTTTCGGCCTGATCGTCGGCACTTTCTCGTCCGACTCCACCTTTGTCGAGCTATTCCAAGCTGGACGACTCTGTAACGCCAAGCTCGACTTCCTGCCGCTCGGGGACGACTCTGGTGTCACGCTCTGGCTATACCTGTGATTAGACCGATCAGGCGTCGCCGGGGACATGGGAGAGGGCGGTTGAGACCCCATGAACGGGAATAGTGAAGACCGCTTCTTCCGCAGAGTAGGCACCGGCTCGGACGAGGGCACCCGAGAACCTAGTTTCGGGGCCTGCGAGGGCGTCTTCAGAAGGGCCGGAGCAGGGGCAGGCGTCCTACGCCCTCCAGTGATCTTCTTCGCGAACCTCCGGATAGGCGAGACAGACCTTGAAAGAGTACTGGCGACACTGGGTGCTCTATGCTTCGATGGCAGATCCGGGGGGGTAGCTAGGAACCCACTCTTCGAAGCGTTACTCGACCCACTCTCACTCGGTGCCATGTCGCTACTCAACAGCATCTTCCGGACGTTGTCCATGTCGGTTTCCGTCCTTGCGATGCGTTCCCGCAGATTTCGCCATCTTTGAGTACATTCGGCATGGCGCCGTAAGCATTCCCCGTTCTTGGTAACTCGATCTTGAACCCCCTTGTCGATGATGGAAAGAACCTTCGTTGTGGCAGGTACATAATGCCTAGTCCAGCATAAGCAAATTTCTACGAGTGTCAATCGGTGAGAACGCACTTCTTCTTGGCCTCAAACGCTTCTTGAAGACGCGAGAAGGTCTCGAAATTGAGAGACGATGTATGCGAAGACTGTGACATGACGTCGTCGGGACCTTGCCGGTGCACTTGCCACACGAAATTCTACGCAGCATTAGGGAGTTCCACACAAGCCCATCTAGCGTACCTACCTGGCACCTATTCACCGCTTTCTCCAGACTGGTCATCATCCCCTCTGCCTGCTCCGTGGCGGTTCTGAACACCGTCAACCACTTATCCTCCTTCAGCTCCTCTCTCAGCACATCGATCTCACTCTGCACCGCCTCCCATTCCGACACCAACGCCGTGTGCTTACGTGCAAGCGCGCTCTGTTCCACGCTATCGGCAAGTCCTGTGTCAGTTTGCGACTGTGTGGGCGTCCTCTCAGATGACAGTGCTTGTGAGACAGCTTGAACGCCCTGGGAGACGGCCTCGACCCGCTCGTCGAGATTCATCAGAGCCTGGTCAATGATACTTGTCGAACTGGAGATATCGCCGGAGGACTGAGACTGGTGGCGAAGCTCTTGGATCTCTGAAATACAGTTCCACTATTAGCCATCAGAAAGCCGAAAGCCCATTGAGAGAATGCGCACCGAATATACGAGTCTGGATATCCGAGATACCATAGGACAACTCTGTGATACGTGACGAGACGGCGAGTTGTTGCAGATCCCTAGTTACGTTCGGTCAAACCAAAGAGCGCAAGTGGTATCACAAAGACGCACTCTTGGCTCTTCTGCTTGCCCTTCAGGACGGCAAACCTGTGAGGAGATGTTATGGTGACGTTCTCTAGGCGAACCGGGGAGCATGTTATCAGACACAAAGACGCAAGATATCCTGTGTGACGTACCATCATCTTCGTCGTTCAGCGACACAGTCGACGACCCAGCTGATAGTCCACCACTGGATCTGGACGGAGAAGGCGAGGGCGACGGGGAGAGTGGCACATCGAGACTGTCTTGAGAAAGATTACCGTTGATACTGGAACGCCTCGAGGACGAGGCTTCGGACGTTCCCATTATAAGCTACGATTTGTGTCGACTTCCAGGACGCAGAAGAGGTGTGACGAGAAGAAACTGCTGAAAACGAGAGCAATACGACTGCAAGACGACTGACTAAACACCGAGAAGGAACTGTAAGCCAAATCCAGGGGAAGGAAGCGGATAGGCGGCAGATACTGATCCAAGGATATAAAGATTTAGGATAAACAGGGAAGGGTATAGGGGACGGAACCCGGTCGGAGCTGAACGCTGCCAGTGCCAGCGAGAAGAACGACGCTGTCAACCCAGACGACGACAGACACACTTAAGACGACGTAGAGGACGATGGCGGAACGGGCGTCGACGTCAACGAACGACGAGAGCTGCGCGGCAACTGCCGGTGAGAGGAACCGAGGTGTATCACAATTGTAAGTGCTTAGAATATTCCGTGTACATATATATTACCGAGTCCTCTAGCTAAAGTACATATACTAGGTCCTGGAATGGATAGGATAGCACCTCGTATCGGTCATGTCATTGCGGACGGGCCAGCAGTACCACAACTCTGCTCGAGCTCCTCCTCCTCCTTCTGCAGTCGGCGCATCGTAGCTTCCAGCACCCGTCTTCGTCTTTCTTCTGGTGTGTCACCGGAAGCTACGCGACCACTCGCCACACCACCTCCAAGGACATGGGCGTGGGCCTCTGCTTCGAGACCAGTAGATGGTTCATAGATACCGCCCCAGGCGTCCGCCAAACGGTGAGTTCCTTGGCTCACTGATGTCTCGTACTCCGCAACCTCCTTGTTAAGTTTTGAATTCAGCTCCTTGAACTACGCGAATATGTCAGTTCCCGAGATGCATGGAGGACTCATCGTCTAGCTCACGTTATTATCATGGTCGCCATGCACGTTATGCGTCAGTTCGTGGCACAATACCCTTCTCACTTCTCTATAGTTCCGGAATCCATCGTACCGGTCCGTTCTCAGCCTCAGCTTTATCGCTTGTCCTGCATTAACGTTGAGCCCCAACAACTCCGGATGCTCGTGTGGCGCCAACTCGGTGAGGACGCCAACCGCAAATTGGTGTTTCTGCATGACATGCCGGATAGCCGGGTCTTCCGCCAGTCGCTGCAAAAGTGCTCTCGCTGACTCCGGATTCGGGAGATGTGGAAGGGGCTCGATTTTGTGGATTTTATATGTGGAAGATGCGGCGCTGGAGGGAGACGCCGTCGAGCGTACCTGTGCGTATATCAGTGATCGGACAAGCTAATATAGCTAAGGTAATAACCTACCTTTGCTTGCGGTTTACTCGCCCTCTCGCGGAGTATGCGATCACGTCTGTGTTGTTCATCCTCCGTTTTCTTCAACCCTCCTATCTCTTCAGCGGTTGGCCCGAGTAACTGGACCTTCATCCCATCTTTCAAGCCAGCATCCCTCACTGTAGCCTTCTCGTCTGCCAGTTTCTTACCCTTCAAGAGGAGTTTCTGGTGAGAGGGTGGGACAGACGTCAGCTCTTCCAATCGGGCTTGTAGCATTGCCACTGTTTCGTCTGGTAGCAGGGATAATGGGTGCGTTACACCGCGGTAGGTAATGGTTAGCGAGATGGACTCTGTGCTCATTGTATGGATCCTTTTCAGCGCTGCAGATGTCAATTGATACGGCAGAAAGCAAGAGGAGTAAGTCGCAAGCTCAAGTCAATGCGCGTCCCAAATGTGCGATCGGGCATTCGTCATTTCGGGCTGATTAAGCTGGAGAGGAGTAAGGTTAGGGTTGCTCGGAACCTTCTGGACTTTTGCACTGCCACAGTGGCAAGCCTGAGTGTGGCACACTCTGTTCCAAATCAACATTACAGAGGGTATAATGCAAAGAGAAACAGGATCGTGGTCGATTGGGTCGCGGCAGTCGACTGCTCCCTACGTCCTAAGGGAAGACATTACGTGCTTCAGCAACCTTTCGCCTTGATCAGCGCCAGGGACTTTATTGAAGAGATCCGTCATGAAATCGTTTAAACGTTTTGTTTGGCATATTTCAGACTAGCAACGTGGGTCAAGCATGAGCAGAGACGAATGAAGTCATGTATCGGCTTACCCAATGCTCCTTTATATATTGGTCTTGATCTTCGAGTATTTCGGGAAAGAGACAGGTGAAAGAGGAGTGGAGCTCATCCACGACGGTCTCCGGAGCGAAGTACATACGGATGAAGACCCGGGCGGTAGCTTTCAAATCTTCAATCCCGAGCTCTACGGTTTTAACGAAGTTCATAAATCCTATTTCAACGCGAAGTGATCGGCCAACGTACTGTCACACAGCTTATAGATACTTTTCGCGCTGGCCCATTGGAACTGCCCTTGAAGCCTTCCGTCCGGGGAGATAAGGAATGGATTTGCATCGTTGAACTCTATCCTAGTCTTGAATTTCGTATCAGGCTCAGCATCGATTGCGGCACGTCGTGCTTCCTCGTATGTAGATCGAAGTGGCGCAAACGCTATAGACCTGAGAGTCGTAGGATCAGTCCTGACGAATTCGCGCGAAGAACAGCGGGAGTGTGCAAATTCACCCTGTGTAGAAGTAGAAAAGAAGGGCTCTGTATGTCTTGTAGCTTTAATCAGATCATGCACAATATCAGTACGTGGTAGTCTGTAGATGCATCATTTTCTTTACCAGGTATCAGTGATATAGACAGTTCGACAATTGCGAGCCAGTTTCACGTCGCCTTCTGGATGCACCACGTCGACCAGTGGAATGCCCTAACTTGGTCCGGTCTCGAATCCAGGCGTTTAGTTGCTGTATTCGAGTCTGTCGACGCTGTGAAATGGCGATGGAAGTCGCAGTCCACACAGCCCATATGCGGAGGACCTGAGTTTAGTCACCGACACGTACACGACAGTCCAAATTGTACCTTTCGCCCGGATCTGAAGTCTTAGCTAGACTCGGACTCGGACGTGGTCTGATATTAATTGCATTGGATGAATATCGTAGACAATCACCCGCTCACGTCGTCAATGCTCCGACGTTCTATACAGCAAAAGAAAAATCATATCCAGGCTGCCAGCTCGTACATGCCCGTAACGTCTGTTCAGCGCTCAGCGACGGTTATGTGTGTTCCCTGATAGTGGACATAACATGCTTCAGCCATCTCCCGCCCTGCTCGCCAGGGAACTTCGCGAAAACACCGGCCATGAAATCGCCGAAGCGCTCTATCGCACAGATTTCAGACCACCAGCGTCCATCAAGCACCATCAGTCTCAGCCAGAATTTCATAAATTGGAGCATACCCAATGTTCCTGTATGTACTCGTCTTGATCATCGAGGACTTCGGGAAACATAGACGTAAAAGACGAATGGAACTCGGCGAACACTGTTTCCGGCGTAAGTGAATTGTGTATGAACTCCGAAGCAGCCGTCTTCAGGTCATCGATGTCAAGCGCTAGCATTGATGGTGATCGGAAATAAGAGACCTTGAATGATGGTAGAAAAGGGCTACGTACTGTCGCATGATTTGTAGACGGCTTTCGCACTAACCCATGGAAAGCGCCCTCTCTCACTGTCGGGAGATATCACCAAGGCATTCGCGTCATTGTACTGCAATCTAGTCGGGAACTCTGCGTGGGGATCTGTAGCTAGGGCTTCCTCCCTAGCAACCTTGTAGGTTGACCGAAGAGGCGCAAATGATACACACCTATGAAACGTCAGCGCGGAGATGAGATTGAGGAGGGCTGGAGTGAAAAGCGCACCCTGTGTACAGGTAGTAAAGAAGGCCCCGGTACGTTCTGTACCTATACAGGATGTGAGTACCTGGCTACACAAGGATATATGGCGGTACTTACGAAGCGTCAGTGATATAGACAGTCTTATATTTCCGTGCAGAGTCTCCAGGGTATTCTGGCTTCTCCACGCTCGTGGACGGGTCAGCACTGTCCGACGTAACCTGTGCTCGGATAGGGGTTAATCATAGTAAGCATTCGTCAACAGATGGAGAGTCACCTCCGGTATGCCTCCTGCAGAAAGCCAATCTTCTTCGAGCTCCTCGCAGTCCGAATCATTTTTGACGTCCTGGTTAGCCGTACCATGAGTAGTATCGTCGCTCGGGCTGGTCCGTTCCTCTCCTGCGGAGAATCCCAAACTGAAAACTGTCCAGACGTCAGAACCGAATCCGAAACTTAAGAGCTACATACGTGTCTCGAAATAGTCGCTGCGCGCGGATAGTATATTGCTATGAGCGTGTATGTATCCCGGCCCCTTTTGGAATCTAGCAGAGGGCATGATAACGAAACGGACATCGGCTGTGCTGGCGTCGTCGAACATGAGCGCCATCATTTCACATAGGGTCGTCAGGGAGGGTCGTAACTTGACTGGCAGTGTCGGCTCGGTATAATTGCGGGGATATTCATATATGACATACTCTAGAGTCAAGTTATCCTGAAGTATGAGGTCAGTCAAATCATAGGGTATGTGTCTAGCATCATGCGCACATTTTTCTGGATGGCTTCGTCCAGCAATATGGTATTCATAGAACAAAATTCTGACTTTGCCCAGCCCGAGTCTCCAAAGTACTGCGGTTCATCCATGGTGAACTCCGCAAGCAGCCGTTCACCATGCTTGTGCTAGTACGGATGCATGTTGTCTGACTCCAGGAGAGGATGTAGGATGACTTACAGCAGTATGGAAGAGGGCGCATAGAGAATTCTCAGAAACGCGGCCAGCAAATGAGAGATATATTCCTATCCAGTCAGAATCGCGATCTGCAATATTTACGTTGAACTGAAGAAGTGTGAGTGAAGTTTTGCGTCAATCTCGAATTAAGACGCAGACGGTTGTCCCGCCTTACCTGCCACCTGCCGTCAGCAAGCATGTCACTATTCCAGACTTTCTGTTTCCCCTTATTTTCCTGGCAGTCTTTAAAGACATCGTATAGCAGAAGGCTACCATAGAACTAAGAACCTCACCTTAGTTGAATAGTTCAACATGTATGTATGTACCGCCTTCACTTACTGAACTGGATTCCGCCACCTCCCATCGCACTGCGCCCCGGTGAGCTGTCGGATCGCACTTACCATGCATGGGTAGATTGCTCCGGATGTTATACAAGCTGAACATGCTCAAGTTCTGTTCTGAGGTGGACTCGGCTTCGCTCAAAGTGCACAATGCCAGCGCGACGCTCACGTAAAGAAACAGTCGTGCTCAAGCTGCCGAACCCAGCCACCGATAAGTAACCAGGTCTCCGAGCAAGTCCATTCTATAGCAAGTGCAACACCAGTGCGATTATTTCAGCTGTATTGCGGAGCACAAGACAAGGTGAGTGTTGCCACAGCCGCGTTCGGCATCAGCGACGTCATAGCTTGAACGACCTATTCCGCCAACGCTAGTGAAGACGGTGGTGTTGGATGTTACACCTGCTTGCTTGCCACATCCTCGACTATTGGATATCATAATCAACCGAATTACTCATATGGCCACTGCTGCGTCCGCAACGTCAGTGTCTTTCTCGATATTGAAGTCAAATTCGCATGTTCTAAACGTAGAACACTGACAACAGTGCGGATCGCGTGTCTGCATCTGTGTCTTCCGAGGTTGAGCTATCCGCGAGGGAGGAAAAGATTCTGAAGCATGCGAACGACAATTTACGACCAGAGTCAAATCGGACAGACAGCGGGGGGTTCAAGACCAAAGACGGCACGTTCTACGTGTCTAAACCTTTCACGACTCATTCGCCCCGGAGGAAGCGGAAAGCAGTGATCACGTTCGTCCCGCGCAAGTCAACCTTTGACACGACGAATGAGCAGTCCGGCACGAACGAGTTTCGGGTGCGCATATATCTTCCTCTAATGCTTGATTTATCCTGATGCCTTCCACAGGGTTTCTTCTCCCTCTTTTGGATATCCATGTTCCTGTTCACAGTTCGGACATATGTTCGCAGCATAGAGACCCATGGCGCACCCCTCAACCTCAGGTTCGCAAGCATGTTCTCCCAGGATGCCATCACCCTTGCAATAAGCGATGCCGTGCTCGTCCTGAGCACAGGGCTCTGCGTGCCTTTCGCGAAGATGATAGCGAAGGGGTGGATCAACTACTACTGGACGGGGCTGGTTATCCAGCATGTGTGGCAGACGCTGGTGTTAGCCATAGCCGTGAAGTGGACGTTCGATCGGTGCGTGCACATCCGCCCGATTCGTCGGGCTTTTTCTGAACAGCAATCTAAGGCAATGGCCATGGGTCCAGTCCGGATTCTTGACTCTCCACACCTTAGTGGGTCCGCTCACTATTAAGCTGTCATGCCCGTCTGACCTGACCCACAGGTCATGATAATGAAAATGCACTCCTATATGACCGTGAACGGCTACCTCTCGTACCTAAGCTCGCAATCCCAGATCATCCTCGACGAGCTCAAGGAAGCAACGGCACGCGTCGGGGGCTGGGACGCTGCCCTCGCGCAGGCCAAGGCCCGGCGGGAGGCCGAAGCCTCCAAGGAGGACGAGGCGACCACGGGGTCCACCACGCCCGATCTGAGCGCCATCCCCGCGACGCCTGACGGGGCGCAACGCGAAGTCGTCGACGCGTCTGCCGCGAACGTCCTTCGCAAGCGCCTCGTCGCGGCGCAGAAGACCGCGGAGCGCTCGGGCATCCCCGTGTCCTCGACTGTGGAGTCGTCGACGACGCTCGCATCTGCAGTGCCCTCGGGGAAGCCCGGCCCGCATCCGCTTGTTGACCACCCGGACGAGGAGATCGCGGCGCTTGCGAAGGAGTATTCGGAGATCCAGAGTGAACTGGTCAGCTCTGGGCCAGAGTATGTCAAGTGGCCGGAGAATATCACGTTCAAGAATTTCGCTGTGTACCAGTTGATACCCACTTTGGTCTATGAACTTGAGTATCCGCGTACTGATAGGTAGGTGTGATCAACACGTCCTGTATGATATCCAGCGTACTGACTCTGCGACCAGGATCCGACCGCTGTACGTCTTTGAGAAGACCGTAGCCACGTTCGGCACATTTGCGCTATTGTATACCATCACGGAAACGTTCATCCTACCAATGACCCCTCGCGCTTCGGGCCAATCGTTTGCGCGCTCGTTACTGGATTTGGCCCTGCCTTTCATGATTGCTTACCTCTTACTATTCTACATTATCTTTGGTAAGATATTTCCTGACACCGGCTTTGCCCTACCCGCCTGATGTCCCGTGCTAGAATGCATATGCAACGGATTTGCTGAACTGAGCTAGTAAGTCCTCCTTCATTATATCGTACAAATGATTCAAACATGCGTCATAGCTTTGCCGATCGTCAATTTTACGAAGACTGGGTGAGCATTCTACCATCACCTGTCCAATATTCATGTCTGACTTCTTACCTAGTGAGAAGATCCTTCCATCAGTGCTCTTGCACAACATTATCGTAGAATAATACTCACGTCGTTTCTTTCCATCAGGTGGAACTCCACATCATGGGACGAGTTCTCTCGCAAATGGAACAAACCAGTGCATACCTTCCTCCTGCGCCACGTCTATGCAGAGTCCTCGTACAGGGTGTCAAGGTCCAGCGCCATGTTTATCACTTTCCTCCTAAGTGCTGCCGTCCACGAGATGGTCATGGCGATCGTCACGCAAAAGATCAGGTAAGCGCCACAGTTTTACTCCGTGTTGGGGTCATGAGCTCAAATGCCGTGCAGAATGTACCTATTTTTCCTTCAGGTAAGCTTCCCACAAGAGTGTGTCAGGCCGGGCAGCTTCCTCATGCGCCTCTACAGCTTATTCAGATCCCGTTGATATACCTCGGCCGGCTGCCTGCCATCAAGCGAAACAAGCTCCTCGGGAATGTCGTGTTCTGGTTGGGTCTGTATGCCGGTTTCCCGCTGCTTTGTGTCGGGTATCTGGCGTACTAGTCTGAGGATGCATTGGTGACGTTGTTGCTAGTATCATAATGTCCATATTAATTCTCCCCTGCGTAATCGAGTGGTTTAGGTTGGATCGCGCGTAAGGGGAGGCTCCCTCCACACCTGACTTAGCTGTTTGTCTCTGTATGTGCTCAGCCCGGGTTCCAGTGTTCGCAGCCTATCGGACGCGCGTATTAGACGCGTGACGTCACGCGTTTCTGAGGCAATGGCGGATCCTCGATGTTGGACGTGGGAAGCGTTTAAGCTGCTGCCCATCTGCATAGGTACGTATGCTTTGCCTGGTTGGCTTTTGACCGTACTCTCCTCAGGTCATGTCGCTCGCGGGAATGAAGTGGAAGGTCCTTCAACATCAGGAGGATGTTCGCGTAATAGAGGGACAGCAGTGCAACGTGGTATGATAGCAATCAATCTACATTGTGGTGAGCTTGTCAGCTACTTATATTAGGTTTCTAGCTTTCTGGTTCGTTCGCAATTCGCCGCCTGGTTGAATGCTGCGGACAGTCTACGGCCCCGGGAGTGATCTCATGGAGTCCTGTGATATCTGGTCGTAGAAGCAACTGGCATGTAGGTTCATGAATTGCGGGCAATTCCACTACGGTGAATATCTTGATGCTTTGCAGTTCCAGATAGCTACAGATGAAATAAAAGGTGATCGTATTCGCCTTTGGTTTATACGCAAGTCCTTCGAGAAGTCCAGAGGAACAGCGCCGGCGCATTTCACAGCTACCGTTGGTCTCTTATTTACCTATATGCCCGACAGAAAGGTTTTCATTACACTTTTGGGCAGTTAGCGATGGCAGACTCATCTACTATCGGAAAAGCTGAAGGATCTTTACGATCGGGGCAGGCCAGTGTTGTCAAGAAATTCTTCAAATCAGACGACGTCTCCCAGCACGATGCTACCATGAAGGTGAAGGTGGATGTCATGTATTCTGCGTTAACTGGGCTGATACATCGTCGCAGGATGTTGCAATCCTTCGCTACGTGATAGATGAATATCCTTCGAGTGCCCTTGAGTGGCCGCTGGGGCTTAAACCCTCAGTGGGAGGTCTGTGCGATTCCATGCACAATATATATGACGATCCCCATACATCCGACGTCTGCTTTCTCATACACTCGCGCCCCGGACCGAGAGACGAACCGAAACGGATTTATGCTCATTCGAAGATACTTTCGCGTCAGTCTGCCTATTTCGGGACGAGTGAGTGATCCATTGAGGTGTCTGAAGTAACCCTGAGCCGTCTACCAGTGTTCGAGTCCGGCTTCTCTGAAGGTATACAATCAGCCTTAACCGAGTCTGCAAGTTCGGATGGGGTAGTCACTGAGCGGTGCAACGTCGACACGGATTCCGACTACTCGTCTGAGGAAGACGAAGATCGTAACATGAGCGTCTGTCCGCATTCCGATGTAGGCGGTACTGCCTGACGTGGCGTGTAGACTCTGATATAGGTGTCTCCAGCCAAAGCATATAAATGCGGACTTCGCTCGAGATGCCATCATCATCTCTCGTGAGGATGTACCACCCGCGGATACAGGAGGTGCGAGCGACGACGTCCGCCAAGAGCGGGCCTACAAAATCGTCCGTATATCTGATACAGCGTCAGTTGTCATATGCATGAAGTCGAACCAATGTGTTGACGTATTTCTCTCAGATATCGAACTTTTAGAGCCCTGCTCTACTATCTATACACCGGGTGATCATGATCTCGGACCGCACGCCATCCATATTCAACTACATTGTTTAGGTCTATTTCTTTTGCCCCGTTGAAGTCTTCGTACAATATTGCTCGTGAAGCAATCGGTCCATCCTTGAAGAGTCGCCCAGCATACAATCAAGAGAAAGCGTTAACGGTGTCTCCTCTTGCCAATCGGGACATCCCATGGACGAGTCCCAAGAGTATGTACAAGCTATGTGATAGTGAGTATGCGGCTACCGTGGTTAGAGTCATCCAACAGACTTGAGGTCGCAGAGCTTGGAATCCCAGATCTCAAAGTCGCCTGTGCGAATCGCATAGAGGAATGCCTTTCACCGGAGAATGTATGTGTCGAGGTCGACTCCTCGTATTCAGCATTATTCCCCGAGATCAGGCACATCCAGGAACAATACATGGAGGATCATAGGGTGAGACCATCTTCGTACGCTCGAGTAGGTGGCGTATGACCTGCTGTCCGTCTGTCTACAGGGGGATATAGTCGAGACATTCGCATTCAAATCGCTGCTTGAGGCCGCCTTAACCAGTCTTCGCCCCGAAAGTAAAGAGGCCTGGACTCGTTTCTTTGACATCGTCACCGAAGATGTCATGGGGTGCTGCGCTCCCGGTCCGAGGGGGGAGAAGCGAAAAAGGCTGGATGACGGTCAGGCAATGGTGTTCCTTGCCCCTTTGTTCGTGGTTTGATGTACCATCACACAGGACAGCAGGAGTCTGAAAGCGACTCGGAGTGATGGTGCAGTCCAATTCGACCAGCACAAGTGTTCAGGCCGATGGAGAGACAGCAGGCGAGCATGATTTAATAGGTTCGCATGAGTGCGCAATATCGGCTGCGAATAATAGAGGGAGACTGCGTTGTCAGCGGCAGTTAGCCGTACCGACGCATTCCAGATACACGACCATGTTGGATAGCTCATAATATGCTCAGTGGGGTCTGCGAAAGCGATACCAAACTCGTCAGAGGATAGCACCACTATGACAGGCTATCAGCACGTACATCTGAGGATCCAGCGCCGTCTGAGCAAGGGCAAATGAATTCCAGAATTCCTGGTCTAGCATGATATCCTGCGTCAGACTTGGGTTGATGTGTTGAGTGAAGACACTATCGAACGTCAAGCCAGGTAGCCCCAGTTGCGGATCCGACATGCCATGGTGCTGAGCAGACGAGAGGTCACTACTGCTGCTAGACGAGGGCGTTCCTGGGGTGGCTGCAGGTCTCGAAGGCTCCCTCTGAGGTTCATCCGTTTGCCATTGGAGCGCCTTCTCAGTACGGGCCTGCGCTTCTGCATTGAAAGTCCTGAGCAACACAGAAATAACGTCTGCGCATCGTCGGGCGCTATCGGAAACATCTGCTATGTGATTCAGCCTCGCAGCCACCTTCGGGAGGAGCTCTTCGCTCGTGATCAGCACAATCTTTTCCGCGCCGCGGTAGTGCCGAAGAAGAGAGGTCTTCGCCAGAACGATGAGCGCCGTGGCCATTAGGATCATGGAGAACACGCTGTCAGGCGCGGTGGCCAGGAACTCGCTATCCGACCCTGGGTGAGAGACGAATGCGATCAGGAGGGCTTGTGCGGTTGTCACCCCATCTAGGCCCCACTCGCGGACTGCGTGGGCGTGGGCGCGGCTAAGACCAGAGTACCACGTCCGTGCGCCGGCAGGCGCATCGGGCTTCCGCCCGGCCTCGCTCCGTCGAAGCTCGCCCAGGATGTGGTAGAGTACGAGCAGCCTGCAAGAGTGGTAATGCATCACAAGCACGTTGAAGTGATATGACTCGTAGTCCGTTGCAACTGTTGGGTTTTTATTTTATTTTACCGATGGATGAGGACTGCATCGCAGGGGGGTGCGAAAGCGGGACTTACCACCGAGAGGCTGGATGCTGGTGTACAGGATCTCGAGCTGAATCAACACGTTCTCGACTACCTCGTCGTGGAATGCCTGAGCTTCCCTCTCCCCGTCCTTCAGGTGCATTTGCAAACCTTTGCCTGCGAGGCTCTGCATTCGAGTTAAGAAGTAGAGACGTAGGTCCCGGGACCGGCTGTTAAGTGTGTGCGGGGATATGATGTTGAATACCTCGTAGTCAAGATCAGATCGTTGGGAGGTGGGTGTCCGACCCGTCCCCATGCATAGCCTATGGCATTCAGTCAGCGTTTCATACTCATAACATCGACAGGGATTCCTACATCCACTCTGCACTCAGGAGAGAGAGCCACTAAAGAAGGAGCCTCGACATAAGCAGTTTTTACCCCAGGAGATAAACTTACCAAGCGAACTTTATTGACAGCTAATTCCTTCTCGGAATCACCGACATCGTTACGACTTGAGCTGAGCTGGACCGCATGCGCAACTGCTTGGTTCAGCGATAGTTGTATAGCGGCACTAACAGCTGAAGACGCAATCATGCGGCTATCTCGCCCAGGGGAGTCAGCTGTATTAGGTGGGGGAGTCCATAGTGACAGGATTAAAAGTGCGGTGACTGTCTCCATTGACTGCGCGGAAGTAAACGCAAACTTGAAACTATAAGAGTCCGCGAGGGCATTAAGTCGGGGTATCACGTTTGATCTTTGAACGGGGTCAAGGTCCCGCGCAGCGACGGCGCATTTGGCCAGATCTAGGAATGGGTGCCTGCGTAGGTGGTCCATGGAGAGATGCAGCCATGGGCTGTACTTTTTTTCAAACCTGCCATCGTAATCTTAGTGAGGGGACTGAGCAAAAAGTAGGATCACCCTACACTGCGAGTAAATTATCTATCTCCGACTGCGACAAGATTTCCGAGATACTTGAAGCAGGCGCGACCACGATTTCTTGGGGTGGACGACGGAGTAACTCTTGCATCGCGAGCATGGGCGTGTCGATCCAGTCATATAAGCCTGGTTCGGGTGGGTGAGGCGCGAGGAGTGATTCGGGCGTGATAGGACCGTTGAAGCCGAGAAGCTCCTCCGGGGTCAGCGACCCAGGGGGCATGGTTGACTGACCTGAGCGGTCAAACGCAGTAGACACAGCTCTACTGTGCGCGGAGGTGGTGGGAGAGTTCTGCTCTTGGGAATCGGCCTCTTCGAAAGAGCATGGTATGGCCAGGATTCTGCAGCGATGACAGCTGAGCGAGTTTACTTCGTTCTCGAGGGTTTCACAGCGAGTTTTATGCTTGCGGCATGAGACACATGCCTGTCGTGATTTCCTTCGTTTGGAGGAATGTGTCTCAGAGACGTTCAGAGTACGCTTCATGAGTGTCCGTGGCGGGGAGGGGCGTATGCGTCTAATATTTCGGCTTCAATTCAGGCAGCGTATACCCGCCCTACTCTAGCGAGTTAGGCAACCTTACCGCAGTCAGGGCTGTTCAAACGTTCAAACGTTCACGGACAAACGGAAGTCGAATCGCATGTTGCTTCCTTGGCCGCAGTAAGAAAGACGCACATGTACAGCCACACCATCCGTAGCCTTGTGTCATGCCTTTCTTGTCATCAGTCTAAATTTAGCTCTGTCCTCGGAATTCGCCTCCTGCTGCAACCTGCTGCCTCCCCGTCCACTGTGTCCAGTGTCCAGTCCAAACTACGGTACCATGCAGGTCTGTAACCCTCGGGCTGAGATATTATATGATGCTAGTGCCCTACAGCAACCGACAGTGAAATAAGAAAGGGGTTGCTCTCGCACCATCCCTCGTTCCGGGAGCGACTTGCGTGTGCCACTGGGGCATTCGGTCAGTTACCGCCCCCGCATTCGACGGAACAGCTAGCTTACCATCATGTACCCTGAAGATTTTGCGTGAAGGCGCCCCAGAAATTCATATCCAACAAAATATCCTGACCCGGGCCGGCATACATATTTTGGGCGAATATGCTATCGAAGGCAAAGCCTTCATAAGGTATTCCTGAGAACATCGCCTGCCCCTCTTGCTGCTCAGCCGTCAGACACTCGCCCGTGGAATGCGGTGGGCCTGGCGTGCTCTCCCTTCGCCTCTTCTCACCACGAGTCTGCTGTTGCGTGGTCCGAAGGTACACATCATGCTCCGTCTTCCAAGTCCCATGCACGATCTCCAGGACCTCCGCACATCGCGCCGCGCACATGGACGCGTCCGCGATCCTGTGGAGTCTCGCTACAACCCTCGGGACCAGAGCGTCGCTCGAATGCAGCAGAAGACCGTCCCCGTTCCCGTAGTCCCGCATGAGTGACGTCTTGGTAAGGATGACCACCGCCCCGGACAGAGAGATCATAGCCAGGACGTTGTCTGGGGTGCTCAGCAGGTCTTCGTCTGAGACAGGCGCTGCGAGGAAAGTGATGAGAACCGATTGGGCAGCGATGATGGCGGCCATGCCCCACTGAGCGGTGAGTCGTCGCTGGAGGGGTTCGAGGGCGGCTACCCAGCCCTTTGACTGGAATGCGCCGAGCCCATTGTGAACGGCATGTGACCGCAACTCTTCGAGAAAGCGACATAGCGCAAGGAGCCTGTATGTATGATATTGCAGAATGAGCATTTGAAAGTGGTACGTTTCATAGTCCGAGATACCTGTTACATGAGGCCGTTTAAATGATGTACTTATAATCCCGAATACATCGCGTCGATACTCACTGGCGAGAGGCTGGATGCTGGAATACACGGAGTCCAATTGGGTGAGGATGGATCCGGCTTCGTCGCGAAAACGGTGTACGCCTTCAGAGTCGTCTTCGTGCGTACCCATGTGGATAGCCTTCTCCGCTATACTTTGTATGCGTGTAAGAAAATCGAGGCGTAGGTCCCTAGATCCGCAGTGCAGAGTTGATGGAGAGATCCTACGTAACACCTCGTAATCTTGATCTGCATGGCGGGATGTTGGAGTCCGGCCGGTGCCTAAGCAGAGCCTAGCGATGTGAGGTTAACGGTCATGTTATACGTATGGACGTGCTGTGCTGTGCTTACATCCACTCCGCGCTGACAAGGGACAACCACTGGTAATATCGCGTTAAAGACGCCATTGATGGTGCAATTGCAGAAACACTCACTAATCGGACCCTGTTCAGAGCTATCTCGAGCTGCCCATCGTTCGACACATGCGAGGAGTGTAGCTGTATCGCTGAGGTCACGGACCGATCTAAGGATAGCTGCATAGCTGCGCTGACTGCCGACGAAGCAATCATGCGACTGTCCTGCAAGCTCCCATCCGGCGTGCCTGCGCCAGACGGCCACAGCGAGAGGATAAGGAACGCAGCAACGGTCTCCAGTGACTGCACTGAGCTGAAGGTGAGTCTAGCTACGTAAGAATCCACCAGGCCGTAGATTTCAGGCAATACAGAAGATCTCCTGATGGGATCGAGGTAGCGAGCGGCTACGGCGCACTGGACCATGACCAGGAATGGGTGAGGGCTCAAGAACCCAAGGGACATGCTCAGCCAAGGGCTGTATCTATGCTCGAACCTGGAAGAAAAATATGAAGTTCATCCAAGGCGCCCGGATTATGAGAAGCGTAATGCTTACACAGCGAGCAAGTGGTTGATCTCATTTGATGTAAGGACATCATTGAGGGACAACGCAGAAGAGACATGGGATAGCGAGGGACGCTTTCGGAGCAGTATCTGCATGACTAACATCGGATTCCGGATCCATTCGTTGCCCTCCTTTCCCGGGGGAGCCGGAGCTAGTAGTGACTCAGGAGTGATAGCATCGCACCACTCCAACTGCGACTCAGGTATACGGCGGACAGCCGAGGTGCGTACAGAAAGAGGAACCTGCTCTCTAACGTCTCTGGCTGGACTTGCCCTGGTAGACTCGCTACCCGAAGGAGAAGTCGTGGTAGGGGATTCGTGGGCAGGTGATTCATGAGGCTCGAAAGAGCATGGAATCCCTAAAACGTTGCAACGATGGCAGCGAAGAATTTGAGGCTCCGATTCCAGCATCTCGCATCGAGTCTTGTGTTTGCGGCAAGAAAGGCATGCCTCGCGGGACTTCCTCCTCTTCGAGTGGGAGCCGATCGCCAGGTTTGGTCTCATAAACGCAAAGAGATCCGGGACAGTCAACTATGGGAATGTCCACCGTCCTTTGAGCAGACATGTAACTTTTATCTATCGACGCCCATGCGTATACACAAAGCTGTGAGAGAGGATGTCATTGATCGAGAGTGTAAGTTGAATCGGACCCTCGCGATCCTGGTGCACCCAGAAGACGCATCGCCACCATCGTGGTTAGGGTTCTAAATCGCGCAGCAGAACCGCAGTCTTGGCTTTGGCAAGTTGCTACTCGTCGTTATGCTTGTTTAGGAGACTGTCCTCATGTTATACGGGAACGTATACTAGCAAAAAGAAAGGAAATTAAGCTAGAAATCCTCAAATGAGCCTACAGAAGGTAGTCCAGTTACTACTGAGGGGTCCAACCAACGGCTTGCATGCCCTGCCCGTGACTGCGGATTAAGGATGAACCTAACAGCTGTTGTGTCTTCCTGCGCTGCGGTGTCTCGACACTTGAGCATATATCGCATAAATAGGCAGAGGGCTATGCGCGCCTATCTAGAAAGACCAGTAGCATGCGAATGCCCTTATGTCAGGAGTGTTTCTGGTCTTCATTGTACAGCCAGTTGCAGATCGATGGGCCCACTTTTTAAAAATCATTTACAGTCGGACCACGTCGGACAGCCAATTTCAAGTCCCCGAGAGACAGAAATCAGGCCATCTGGACTTCCCTACCTTCTTCCGTCGTCGTCCCTGGCACCCACTCCGACCCACTCCGACTATACGTGGTTCTCTGAATTGATGGTCTATCGATCTGCAAGCGGCTGTAATTTCGGACACTGCGACTGCGGAGGATTGCTGATCGCCAAGATTCACACGTCCACGCTTCCCCGCACTGCATCCAGCCACCCGTCGGAATGGTTCCGTTGGACAGAGCACTCCGTCGGAATCACCAAAGACGAACTCAACGCAGCAGTTGGGCGTTATAAGATACACATATGCGTTCGGTGAGTTGGAACACTAGCTCCGAACCTCCCATCTACCGATAGCTGACATGAGCGGGCCCCTTGCCATTTTGCCTATTTTACTCGCGCTCGCCGGTCGAGCTCTGGCAGGTGCGCTACGAACTTCTCTGCAGTACCATTCGCTTCTTACATAGCCGGTATAGATGACAACACTTCGAGCTCTGATGTTCCCCTCGTGGAACGGATCCTCCGTAAGTTCGTTCATTTTACGACGACGATAGTTCGCGCTGACCATCCAAAGACTATAGTCCAAGCAGGCCGCTAGCAATAATTGCCGGTCTGCTATATATCATCGCTGCCGTTTCACTAGGCAATCACATTCGAGCACGGAGAGATTGGTGGGGCATATGCCTTCCGATCGGCGCGTTGTGTCAGTACCCTTTCATTCCACAAAAAGCACTGCCTGATCTTCCTATTCTCCCCTTCAACCTCTAGGTATGGCCATCGGGTACTTCGTCCGTTTCGCAGAAACCTATGGCTCCCTCGATGACAGCCTCGGGATATACATTATAATGGACCTGCTCATTCTCTGCGCCCCTGCGACCTTCCTTGCCTTCAATTATATTGTCTATGGCCGCACTATAGTCCAATGCATAGGACGCGAGCATTCAATTATCAGACCGGAGCGCGTTGCACGCATCTTCGTTATCAGCGATATCTCGACCTTCTTCCTCCAGGTATGTCCAGGTCCTACATTGTTTGGATCGCACGATATGAACTGACCGATGTCACAGGCTTCAGGTGGGGGTTTGACAGCCATGAATAGCCTGGCGAAGCTTGGCAACGATATTGTGCTCGTGGGACTGATCCTCCAAGCCTTATCATATGTCTTCTTTATTTTTGTCGCGGTTCGCGCGCACCGTAGCGTTGTGCGATCCAGCCCTCGATCGTCGGTGCATAAAGAAGCATGGTGGAGAGTACTCTGGGTGTTATACTTTTCGTCCATTTTCGTCCTGGTAAGCAAACGGATGCATGATGTGGTGCCGCTTTTCTAATTTCTGCGAAGATACGTTGTATATACCGCATAGTCGAATTTGCCCAGGGCTACGACGGGTACCTGGTCACGCATGAAGGTGTGCACACTAGCAGTCCTCTGTCCCGTCCAGGTCTGACCCCTCTGTCTCAGCCTACTTCTACTGCCTCGATGCTCTACCCCTGCTTATTGCCATCTCCGTCTATATACCCTTCTGGCCGAGCAAGTATATTTCCCCCCCTTCCGAAGAATACAAGATGCCCCTAGGGTCAAGCACTTCTGTCTAATCGGGTATATCATGAACATAGACTTTCTCTTGTGCCTGCTACATTGTAAACCTTTCGCGCTGCAATGACTGCAAAGCTAGACAATGGACTATAGGTAGTATATCATACCATCTACTTCAGTGCACACACCGATACGATATCCTCTATATCGCGAGATTGATTCCGATAGCACACTTGTGGAAAGATACCGCGCTTGGTAAAGCGGTCACAGTAAGGTGGGAGTGAGATAGGATGGGCTCAGTTTTCTTTTGGTACCACGTACCGGATAAGCATTCCGTTTGAGTCGTTCACGTCCCCTTCTCCGGTCTGGTCCCGCGTACATGCGCACGTGTACTCTCACCTCTGCTCTCGAACCTAGAACTGCAATTATGTAGCGTTTCCTAAAGGGGCGAGTGACATAGAATTCTTACAGATCGTGAATCTCGTCGGCAGTAAGGACATCCTTGAGGGATGAGGCGGGAGGGCCACGGTGTAAAGGTGAACGCCTGCGGACTCGGAGTAGGACTTGCATAAGTAACATAGGGGTATTGATCCACTCATGGACCTCTTTGCCTATCGAATCCGGAGCCAGAAGTGACTACGGAGTGAGGGTGTCTTACATTCCGGCGGTTATCCTGTGGTCTCCATGTGTCTGATGGACGTGTAAAAAGAGCGGTTTGCTGTGTAACCTCACCAGCTGGACCGTTCGTGATAGACTGGCTGCTCTCCGAGTCAGGTGAAGCTGGGAATCCGGCTGTTCCGAGTCGTAGATTCCAGGGACATTGCATCAATAGAGCAAAGAAACTAAGCTCCCGACCACAGTCACGGTGTTTCCCATAGAGTCTTGTTTTTGCGGTAAGCGAATCAGAACTTCAAGTTGTCGGCACGGTTAGTCTCATCACGATCCGAGGTCAAGTCTGGAAGACGGACACCGTGGCCACCATCCGAAATCACTCCTTTATGTAACGGTCGCTGCCCATGCGTTAAAGAAACGCTGTGACAGGACGCCAGCCTGAGTGCCATTTGATCGAGAATCCGAATGTGTACGACAATCGAACTTGTATGTAACCACAAGTGACATAGCCACCTGACTGTGTGGGATCTTAGATCTTAGATCTAGTGCAAGCCGCGCAGCGGCAATGATGCTGCATAGCAAGTTGTTGTCAGTCTCGCACTGAGCGCTGTGGCATGGTGGTCTATACAAGCCTCTAGATGCTGAATAAGAAGCCGGAAATTACAGATAGGGTGGACCATCAACACCCGGGATTCCCGCGACTGCGGTTACAGCATGAGCCTGATAAGTGTTCTGTCTTCAACCTGCACTGAAGGTGCTGAAATTTGGTATGCTACATCGCGCAAATAGACAGAGGGCTATGTGTGAACATTCTACCCCTTCTTTAGTATGAAAGGTCTTTGTTGCTTCGAAAGATCGCGAGGAGTACAATACCTAGGGCCTCAGTCAGCGAATGCTCATTTGAGTCATTAGTCGTCGCGATGCACCGTACGTAAGGTGAGTTCAGGCATCTATATCTATTCTTTGTGACTGAAACGGCGAGAAGTAACTTACTGAAAAACGGCTTGCACGCCGTCTCGTAGATCCTCCTATACATCATGATGCAGATCGTGGCACGGGCTTGGCAGGTATATACCAGCAACCTTTGCCAGGTTGCCACTAGTACTCGTAGGACGTCGTCATATTTAAAGCTGCGGGCGAATACTATGGTGTCGGGCCACGCATGGTAAAGGACATTGAGAGACGAGCTCTGCGGACTAGAGACACCGCACTCAACTACCCGACGTCTTTGACTGCGATGCCCTGACTGCGGATTCAGGATGAGAACGACTGGGCCCTCCCGTACCGCAGCATGCTCAAGTCCGGTGCATCACATCGCGTGAATAGGTCGGGCTGCTACGCACGTTGATGTTGAGAAGCGAGCATGCGACTCCCTGTACGTGATCAATGTTTCTCAGGCTGGTCCTCTCGGTTTCGGGACACTATGCAACTGCGGAGGAATTTTTATTCGCCAAGATTCATACCCATCCAGTCACTCAGCAGACTGGTGGCTCTTGCGATCGCCAGCGTCTTCCTCCACATTACGTAAATGCGTACTGCGCGTTGGTTGACGTCCATGCGTCTGTATAAAATACAGCGATGAGCTGAGTGAGTCAAATACCACTTCCTTGGGCCCTCTGAGCACCGGGTAGTCGACATGAGGAGGTCCAGTTGTACCTTACCTATCTTACTCGCGCTTGCGGGTCGAGCTCTCGCAGGTTCGTGCGCACTTCTCTTCCGCACCGCAATCTGCTTACAAAGGCCCTTACAGATGATGGAATTTCGGGTACCGATATCCCCATCGTCGAGCTAATTCTTCGTAAGTTTTATCATTCACTTCACGACAGTGCACTTTCCCTCACAGAATCTGGCATAGATTACATTCCAAGCAGGTCGATAGCAATAATCGCCGGCGTGCTATATTTCGTTGCCGCAGTGCTACTAGGCTATCACGTCCGAGTATGGAAAGACCGGTGGGCACTCTGTCTACCTATTGGTGCGGCATGTGCGTATATTTCCACGTCCTCCCTGAAATAGTCTAATCACCCCACCCCATTTTCTAGGTATGGCTCTGGGATACTTCGTCCGCTTCGCGGAAACATTCGGCTCACTCCTTGACAACCTCTGGGTGTACATCGTTATGGATCTGTTCATCCTCTGCGCGCCCGCCACATTCCTCGCCTTCAACTATATACTCTACGGACGTGTGATCATGCAGTGCGTCGGGCGCGAGCACTCGATTCTCCCGCCGGAGCGCGTCGCGAGAATCTTCGTTATTAGCGACGTGACGACCTTCTCGCTGCAGGTGTGCCAACTTCTCTCTGCGAGGAAAACCACAGGCACTGACCGGTATTAATGCACAGTCGACCGGCGGAAGCTTGGCGGCGAACTACAAAATACCGATACTGGTAAAAGTGGGAAACGCCATCGTTCTCCTGGGCCTGATCCTGCAGGCGTTATCCTACATCTTTTTTCTCTACGTCGCCTTTCGTGCCCACCGCAGCGTCATGCGCACCAACCCGCACAAGGAGCCATGGTGGACCGTGCTCTGGGCGTTATACTTCTCCTCCATCTTTATTGTGGTACGCAAATTTACCTGCATACAGCCTCGCTGCTCACCTGACGGTCTCAAAGATACGCTGCATCTATCGCGTAGTCGAATTCGCGCAGGGGAGTGACGGGTACCTGGTCACTCACGAAGGTGGGCGCGCTCGCAGTTTGCTCTCCTTTGCTGTTCCTGATGCGTTCCACCGCAGTCTACTTTTACTGCCTGGATGCGCTGCCTCTGCTCATTGCTATCTCTGTTTACATACCCTTCTGGCCAAGCAAATACCTTTCCCGTGCTTCCGCTGACTATATGATTCCCTTAGGATCAATCGCTTCTATGTAGCGGAATGCAGTCATAGACCCAGACTTTATCTATACCCTTACTAATACGGAATATAGATAATGAGGATAGGTAACATAGATCTAGACTCTTGTGTTGCTGCTGTCCTGTGATGAAAACCCACCCACCGAATAAGCTTGAGGAAATTCCGATTTTCGACCATCAAATACGGGCTCCGCATTGGACTTGAATATTGAAAGGAAACGTCGCGTGTGAGACTATTACAAAGAACAAGGTATGTACTGTACAAAGCACGCAAACTTAGTACGACATTGCAATAGCACAGGACACAACGAGAAGCTACACCATGTGGTGCACAAGCTAAGTTCTTGCATCCCATGTACTTATAGTTAAAGTTGGGCATCTCTCTATATCCTCTCAGATTCTACCTATTGTCCCGTAGTCTACTTCCATTGCCTTGACGCCCTAGGGCCTAGGCCTCTGCCATCAATCCTCCGAGCAAGTATATCAAGTACCCTGAAGAATACAAGATGCCGTTGGCGTCAAGCACTTCTGTCTAGTCCAGTGAGTTCTCGCACTCAGATCTCTAAGTATGAATCCTCAAATACATGTAGACAGTAGACCTACTCGGGGGTATTGTTGCCAATTTCCCTTTTGGCAAGTGCTTTACTCGATTCGGCGATTGTATTTATTTGATAATCACGGGATTCTCAGGCTCTGACGTGATGGGCACGCGTGCCGTACGCGTACTTTAAGTGGTTAGATCTTCTCGGTGGCACTTGATCTTAGCGCTGTTTGCGTCTCAGCTGCAACGTCTTTGGCTTCAATGAGTATGCCGGTTCGCGCCGTTGAAGTAGTGGGCGCCACTCGCAGCGCTGTGCGCTGGGAGCTGAATGAGTGTCTTTCTGTAAGTGTTCACGATAAACTACGCCATGCGAGTGTATGGAACGGGGGTTTAGTACCACGGGGCCTCGTTGTTTCACGACATTTGGAAACATTGTAAGGAGTATGATACCCAGGGACTCAGTCGGCAGACACAATGGTCCGCTTGCACATTAATCGTCGCCGGTGGCACATGGGAGGTGAGTTCGGGCGTCTGTAGCTCTTCGTTGCCAGGGTCATCTACTGAAAATGGATTGCACGCCATCTAGATCATGCTGTATATTGCAGATAGAGACACCCGCTGGATAGCTATATACCTGAAATTGCATTCTCAGCAACCTCGGGCCCCCTTCTCCAAGAAGTCCCTCTGTGCCCATCTCTATGCCGAAGTACGTGGGTTCTTCCCTTTAGAAGTACAGAGATGTCTAAGATGGCATTATGCATATAGCTCAAGCATGGTGATCGCCTGCTAGCCAGATTTAATATGAAAGAACAGCTCTTTGCGTTCGGACTGCGGGGCGCCCAAGAAAAGGCCTGGGGTACTCAGAGATTTTGCTCGATGGATACGATATTAAATGATGATGCCATCAAGAAGGATGTGTCTATGTCAGATAAAATAAATGCCACTCATATTGTACTGATGCCTTCCGTTCTTCAGGACAGGTTGACAGTCAACTACGAAATCTCCGAATACCCAGACGATTATGTTCCGAAAACCGGTGTTCTCAAGATGAGACCCCTCGGACTGAAGACATCATGGGATATGATGGCAGTCATGTTTGACGACGCAGCCACTGCTGACGTCTGCTTCGTCATCCGACATTTCGCTGCATCGGACGACCAACCGGCGCGTATCTATTGTCATAGTAAGATATTATCCCTACGCTGTGACTACTTCTAAACTCGTAAGTAAAATACCCTGCAGCTCAGGCTGGAGCCCTCTGACTGTCAAGTAGTGTTCCGCGCGGGGTTCTCCGAAGGTAGAATCTGGCAAAGCGCTGAGCAGAATCCTGTCCAATTCGACGAACACGAATGGGAGGAGGGAAGTGACTCGGATTATGAAGACATTGACATCGACGAGTACGGCCAGGTTGACGAGTACGGGCACGTCGACGATTACGAGGAAGAGGCAGAGGGAGATGACGAGGGTCAGAAGGAGGAAGGATGCAAGGTTGAGGATCAGGGCGAGGTCCTGGAAGGGGAAGATGTGCCACTGGAGGAAGAGATGCAGGAAGAGAAAGAGGGCGAAGTTGAGGGCCAAGGTCAAGACGTGGGCCAGCGAGAGGGTGCAAAGGTAGCTACCGGGTTTGCACATACACGAAATAGAGTCTATGTCACTGACGCCTGGTGAGTACGGTCTCCTCTCCTACGAACACATACTTACAAACATCGTGAAAAATTATCAGCTATAGGACATACTCTACTATTTGTACACTGGGTGCGCTCTCTTCTATCCACCTTTCCTTCCACTATCTGACACTCTCAAGATGCGTAGCGTTCGCGCCTCTTCGATCGAAGTACCGGGTGGCGAGGAATGCAGCCCTTGCTGAAAGCCCCGACGCACTCTTCATGACTAGGAACCAGTACAACGAGGAGAATGCGCTGGTGATCTCCCCCGACAGCAAACGCGGGCAATTTCCGTGCGTCAGTGCGAAGAGCATGCACAAACTATGCGACAGTACGTCCCTCAATCCGATCTCGCCCCTTCTAAACTCAGTGTATGCTTCAGAACTCGGTATAGGTAACCTAAAGGCCGCTGCCGCGCAGTTCATACACGACTCCCTAACACCAGAGAGCATATTCGACGAGTTTCACTCGTCCTTCTCCTCTCTATTCCCCGAGATTCTCGAGGACCAGGACAAGTACATTAAAGAGCACTGGGTAAGGCGGTGGCTTGCCCTTCCGATTGTGCTTCTACTCAACGCACTACGCTTACAGCCCGAGCTCTGCAAGACGAAGCAATTCGACGCCTTCATGGCTGAGCTGTTCTCCCGATGGCCCGGCGAGCTAGGCAGTCGGTGGCGCGAGCATTTCTACTCGGCCGTCATCAAGCCCAAGTGCGACGGGTCGTGAGGACTGGCCGAACCAGCCGTAGCGGGTCTCCGGATGCGTCTCGAGTCCGTCCTCATCAAAATTCCACTTGTACCCTCTTCGATAATATCATCCTAACCTACCCACCCTATATCGTCGCGGACATGTTGGGCGCAGTCCCGTTCAACTCTGTGCAAGAGCGCTGAACGGAGGGGCTGGTAACCTGGGACGTGACGCCTTGCCCACATATGATATTCGGGGGCTTCGAGGTCCTATTTTCGCAGTTCGATTCACCAGGAAGAGTGTTGCAGTTGAAGCTGAATGAACTTTCCTGAGACACTGACCCGAACGACTTGATTCTGAACGGACAGCCCGAGTCGACTCTGGTGCCACACTGTCCCCATATAGAAATCTCCCCACCAAATAAAGAAATCCCGCCCTGTCCGACAGGTAGCTTTACTGCGCCCCCGTGCAAACACGTACAAATATATCATATCGAGAAAAATGTCACGTGATGCCGGCAAACGCGGGCTTCCCGCCGCGCGCGTGGCCGGCCAGTTAGAGTATCTTCAAGTCTTGACTAAGAGGGTCATATAGATGGGGCAAAATAAGTTTTCATTGAAATTCTATATAGCTGTGATATATGTGGCTGACAAGGTATATATAAAAGCCAACAGTAAGGAAAGTTAATAAACCCTAACCCTAAAAGCACAAATCAAAAAATGTGCACAACTACGAATTGAACTCCAGACGTCCAGCACTCAATACATGCCGCATAACCACTATACTAACGAAGCAATTTAAGTCTTACACATCAAAATAGTATGATGGCAATGTAATCGCCGTTTACTTAATACGGCTGGATCCAGTTATTTTTAGTGACGCGGCCGGAGGGGTCGGAGGTCACATGATATTCTTCTCGAAAAGGTAATATTTGGTCGTGTTTTCGCGGGGGCGCAATAGCAAAGACGCTGTCCGACTACTTGAAGTTGAACTGAGACTATCGAGAGGAAACATCGACTCTCGAGGGTATTACCACTACAGGTACACAAAGCAAGCAAGCAAGCACCAATCCTACACTGCAAAGACACCACACTCAACACGAAGCAACACCTAGTACACAATCATAATCGTCATACATTGTCCATCCATGCGTGTATTCATAACAGTCCCATCCGCCATCACCCACCATCCCCACTTCACAGCAAGATGAATGCAGCGAGCACCGCAGCCACGGCAGCACCAGGCACCGACACCCGCGCCCCGGGGGCGGCGCCGCTGCTATGCCCGACCACGCCGCCCTGCTCGCCGAACGTCACGTTCTGCGACGACCATATGATCAGCACGTGAACACGCAAGGGGAGGCCGGAGCGTACCTGTGGGATGGACGAGTTGACGCACTGCCCGCTGCCGATATCCAGATCCCACAAATACATACACGCCCGTCACTCGACGCCGAATGGAGGACACGCACCCTCGGGCGCCCGGTAGAAGAAGTACCTGTCGCTGCTCACGTTCCGGAACGCGCGCGTGTCGTAGGGCAGCTGGTCGTCGCTGTCGGTCGCGGACGTGTTGCGCACGAAGATGCAGGCGAGCTGGGAGGGGAAGAGGGTGGCGATCTGGGGGTAGGCGGAGAGCAGGGTCGAGGAGGAGGTGTCGCCGACGAGGACTGGGGGGGGGGGTTAGTGAGGAGGAGGGGAGGGGAGGGGAAAGGCGGGGAAAGCTTACCGAATTTGCGGTTGGGGAACGTCTCGAAGAGCCTGACGAGCGAGTTCTGGCGCGCGTCGAGGATCTGCGAGGGCTCCGTCAAATTTATCGGGCGCTGTATGCATACCCCAGTCACACACACATTCTCCCGTCAGAAGGGTACGAGAGCGAGAGGTAAGGATGCGGTGCGCACCATCTCGAGCGAGCCGAGCGGGAAGTTGTTGAAGAGGTACTCGACGTACGTGCGCGTGAGCTCGACGGGGGTGGTGGTGTCGTAGCTGCGAGTGGTTAGCGAGGTGAGAGTGGTGAGTGGGGTGGGCGGGTGGGCGGGCGTATGCGTACTGGAAAGCGACGCCCGGGAGGGTCTGCAGCCAGTGGCTGAACAGTTCCGCGATCCCGGGGACATTGACGTAGGGTTGTACGAACGAGTTGTACAGCCCCTCGTTCGGGACGAACACCTTGGTGACTACACGAATGTGTGAGCGGTCGAACGCACCACAACAATCGGACATGTACATGTCACTCACTCCTGAGCACGTCGTCGATGTCGCTGACGACGGAGATGCCGGACTGCGGGACGAGGATGGCCGTGCCGTTGCCGGGGCCGGTGACGTCCAGGATGCCCGTCTGCACGGCGGTCGTTTGCGTGTAGTTGTCGTGCAGGCCCGATATCGTCTCGAAGAAATCGAATTCGCCGACATCGTCCGCCGTCGGCAGCGCAATCCCACTCGTGCTCGTGACGGCGCTGCCGTTGGCGTAGACCACCGCGCTGAGGTTCGCATGGGGCACGGGGATGCTCGCCAAATCCTGTGTGCGGTTCTGCAGGAGCGCCTTTTGCGTGTCGTTGAGGTTGTCGGTCTTGAGCCCGTCGATGAGGGAGTCGAGCGAGTCGGTGGAGACGTTCGGCAGCTTGTAGGCGAGCCCGTAGAAGCGGACGTTCCAGCCGCTGGGGGTGTAGTTGGCGTAGGAGGGGATGAGCAGCGCAGAGGTGGAGATGCTGGAGAGGTCGTCGGAGGAGGAAATGTCGAGTTTGTGCTCGATGTCGCTCAGGCTGGGCCAGTCGCCCAGCACGGCTGGGGGTGGTCAGGGTTAGGGTAGATGTGGCGGGAGGAAGGAGTGCTTACTTGGGAGTGCCGAGGCTGCCGCGGCTGTGGCAGACGAGACTATCAAGGAGACAGGTCAGGTTGAAATGTCCGGATAGAGTGGGATGCACACCTGCTGAAGCTATTTCGGATGTGACGGGCTGCGGCGCGGCGGCAGCAAGGCCCGCAAGGCTGGCGGCGACAAATAACTCCCAGCATGTATTCATTCTGACCGGTGTATTGTTTGCGAGGTTGCCATGTTCATTTTATAGGGCAAGCAGGCAGCAGCAGCAGATGATGGCCAATTGCGTCAGAAATCAAATATTTGGGAGTTATAAATAGGTCTGCGATGAGGGTGACGTCGTGCCTGGGTGCTTCTTTAGTTCTCTTGGCGGCTGCGTTAGGAAGGTGTTTAGGAACGGCTCCGAAGCCTCCCGCCGGCAAGCTTCACAACGTTTGAAAATTTGAAGTCTTGCCTTGCATCGACATACTCATCCGATGATCGATATTCTGTGTCTGCCCCTCAAGGGCGTTTCTTGCCTGGGAAAGGCGTTCCTTGTAATTCTACCAAAATACTAGGCATAGCCGGGACATGAACCTGAGCGCCACACCAACCGTTTGCAACTCTTGAAGCTTGAAGTTGTGTAACAAATGAAGCACAGGCCACTTTCCAGCGTTAATACGTTTACTTGTCCCGCACTACAAGTGTTTCATTGGCCGTAGCTCTCGCACCAACAGGTAGAGGCACCACCTGCCAAAACGTTCCGCCCTCTCGCGTGTTTCCATCTCAGTGATCTCACTGAAAGGGTCTACCACTCTAGCTGCTTTTCTTTTGCACGAGTGAACTTCTACTCTCGTACCCACGCGATTCGCACGATATCAATGCGTATTATGGATTCCTCCCGTTACATGGTACAATCGATACGAACACTAGCTCTCGTGAACAATAAATCGCGGCATACACCTCTCACGGATGTGTCACAGGTCACACTGCGTACACGAAGAACATCTCAGTCTCGCTGGCAATAGAAGGCTTCCTCACGTCCTAGCTCTTCTAAAGAGTGCGTCGATTGAAGCCTCAATTCGATGGTTTCCAAATAGTCCCGCATCGCACCCCGTCTCTCCGTAGCCACATTGCCCTTGGGCCACGCCAACTCGACCTTTAGCTCCTTCCGCCCTCGCAGCACTCCCAGCTGGGCCTTGAAGTCTTCCTTGAAGTCAACGTCCTCCAATCTCAGTGTTTTCAGGTTGGGCAACAGCCCCTGCTCTGGATCACACAGGTGCGGCAGGGTCCCCCAGATCGAGCGGTTGTCCAGCGTCAGCTGTACCACGTCACGGTACTCGGAATGCTTTCCGCACAGCGTCACGGACGCGAAGGCGTCGCAGGCTTGGGCCCTGGATGGATCGTCGGGCACGCGGACTATGATTTCTATGGGGTTTCCATTATCATCTTTATTGACCGTGATGTCCTCGTCTCTGGCTGCTGGGAACGGCGGCACTGGCAACGGGGGAGGACTGTGGCTGTTAGCGTGGTATTAGGGCGTGCAGTGAGAGTCCTGTACCTTCCATCGGCGCGGCCTTGGCTTGGGGTAGGCGAATTGGACATGGTGTGCTTCGAGTTACGACGAATGTTCTGCTTGGAATATGAAGATTGGCGAGTGCGTTGAGATGGGGACGCCTCTGTTCCCCACTCCTTTATACCTGTGGTAGCCCTTGTATCTTCCCGGAGTTTCAGGCGAGAAGTACAAGCGCCACATTATCTCAAGGCATGCGTCGTTGTATGCAGCGGGTATGACGGCTATTCCAGCGGCTGGAAACGTGATTCATGCCGCGTTCAGTGTCAAACGGTGTGTAACAGGCCAATCTGCGTGTTTGTCGCTGATTTCGATCCTTGTCATTCAGGTGCATCTCAGTTCTCGCCGGGATGTGCGTCCTGGCAACGAACCATCCTATCATGACGGGCGAGTGCCGTCTTGAATCGAGCTTCCCTCCTCCGATTGGTCTTCCCAGAACGATCATTTGAAGACGCTGAATATCTTCATCCGTCTCGCACGTATACCCGTGGCGCGCCTTGTATCTTCCAGATGTCTCTGGTGAGTACAAACGCCATGTCTTTGACAAGCCATTGTGCAGAACGCTTATCATCCTCAGTTCCGTCTGGTCTAGCGGGTAGACTGGGGCATGGTTCGTGAAATTAAAATGTCTTCCGAGGTGTGTTGATTGATACGTTGTGGACCCCAGCGCTAGCATTCGTAGGGTAGTTCTACAGCTTGGGATGCGGGTGTGCAAGACTAGCGCCGACTAAATTAGGTATTCTAGATCTGCGCCGAACATCAGCATGTTTGGTCCGCTTGACTACTCTACCTAATCTTCGCTCTTGGCGGGTACTGGGACTACCAGCGTTACTGTGGACGTCGGAGACTGTCAAGAGGCGTGACACGCCGCCGCCATGATCCTTCCCTGAGCCCTCAAATATGGTGCACTCGGGAAGGATCTGCTCGGGTGCACAGGAGGCTTGGATCATACGCGTATTATTCGATATGGTGGACAGAGCTTGTCGTCAACCAGCATGCGTATATACTTATGCATCAAGAACTATTGAATCAAGAGACTGCCTTTCCTACGGTCGGGAATATCCGGCTCGATCGTGAGTCTGACGCATTTCAAAGCATCCCGTGACCTCTTCTTTTTCTCTCCAGTGAGCACGCCACGGTGCCCGACCAACTGGACCTCGCTCAGGTTCCCTCGCGGTCCGGATCGTTGTTGCAGTTCGCCCAGGACTCTCAGCTTGGCCTCGAAGTCTCCCTCGTCTCCCTCAAAGCTGACATCTTCCAATATAAGCGTCACCAGATCGGGCATAAGCCGATGCATCTGATAGACCTCATCGGCGCATAAGCGCGGCACGCTCCCCCAGGTCGCGCGGTCGTCCAGCACCAGCACTTTGAAGCCAGTGAGGTTCACTCCGTTCAGCTTCTTTGACGCGAAGATGTCGTAGGTTTCGCCCGCGAATGTTTCGGGCACGCGGGCTTCGACCCTGGGGGGATCCCAGTCACCGTGGATGATTATGAACCCCTCGGTCGCTGGCGACGGCGGTTTGGTGGAAGGCTTTATTGACGGACGATTGTTAGCATGACCGCGCAGATTGGGCTGGTACTGCAGTATCTTATGTCGACAACGCCTCCTTCGTGCGTAAGTGAGGTGTCCATGATGTTACCCGAGAGTGCTGAGTATGTGGCGGGAATTGTTATTCAGAGTATTATCGGCTGAGAGCAGGTACCTCTGAGAGGAACGGGCCCATCCTTTGCGCCCATATACTCGAAGCTAGCCCTTGTACTGAGCCAAACGTTTCAAGTGAGTACAAGCGCCACAGTTCCTTGAAAGCTTGCGTTGTTTAGATGCTTCTGTTGTTACCGGCTTCGGGTACCACGGTCAGCGAAGTTAGCAGATGATGCATGGTGTATGAGGTGTGCCATCAATAGATAATCATCAGAATTATTGGGCGTTCTCAGCTCTTGTATTTAGGCGTATTCTACTCATCAAGACAAAGTTCATGCGGGTGACAATGGCTACGAGACCCACTGCTACTTCGCACCCACCAAATTGTAGGTGCATGTAAGTTTTCCCCGAGACGGCAGTCCTATCTTCCCAAATCACATCCTTCCCAACACAGTTGGCGCGAATCTCCCCTGGCGAACCCTGGCCTATAGTTTCCATCCTTCTTCGGCAGTATCTACTAACGTCTGCTGGGAGTAAATGCGCACTTCCTTGATGCCGTTGGGTGATTGGCTGTCGTGCGGGTACGTTGCACCAAGCCAGCTCGCAAAATATGACCACTTTGGATGCCAGCGAGAGTGGTATTTCTCATCTGACGCTCTTCCGTACCCGTCGACGAGTATCGAGGGCCCCTTGGGACGCTCTTTCATATGGCAATGTAGCCACACCACTGGGGTACCGAACTTCAGCTTGGATTCAAACCCTGTATCCAAGCCATAGCATTCCTTGAAGCTCAGGTGTATGTTTGTGAATTTTCGAGAGCACGTCATGAGCATGCGCAGCATAACCAGCAGCTCGTCCTTGTCTTGGTGCACGAGGAAATTCACTCCTCGGATTTCCAGGAAATTCAAATAGGGCATGGAATAGCCTCCGTTCTCGTCCTCCTTACAAAGGTATGGCAGGAAACCCCATATCGAAAGATTGTCGAGATACAGCTGGCGGACATGTCGGAACGTTTCCCGAACGCTGTCTGGTATGGTGGCCCAGGGAGTCGTGGGGACATCCTCCAGATACAGATTTTTCACCCGTCCAGGTAAGAACCTGTTTTGCTTTGCCCAGTCGCAGAATGCGTCCAGTGGATGATGTCCGCGTCCGCGCCAAACGGTCATCTCCCCCTCCCTATACCCGGGCTTCCCAGGACTACAATCGTACCGGAACTTTAGGCGGTAGAAGCCTGAATATCGCTCTCCTGGCTCAAAGGTCAGGCGAAGATTCAAGTCTGGTAGTGGCGGCGAGGAAGGGCTTTGTTGCCTACGGGTGACCAGAGTGGGTTTACATGTATCTCCGGGGGTACCCATTTGATATGGCGTTTCAGGTCGTTCCGGCAGAAGTGGTGCAGTAGACTCGGCGCTGTCGGGATCCACCCTGTCCAGCGGAGTGAATGCTTCCTGGACGCGAGACCATGCGTCAGAGATCCTGTTCATTGTAAAGGAAGGCGTCCTGGTGAGTACTAGTGTCCATTATCAAAAATTATGTCCGTTTGTACCTTGCTAGTGTCAAAGGCGGGGGCATCTCAGCGTGGCGGGTTATATGTATTCTGGCACTGGGTATTCATACATGGCCCAGGTTGACCTGCTCTTATACTACGAACCTGTCCTTATTCTTTTTTTTGCGTTGCCGACTCTGCCGTTGGTTCCAGAAGTCGGCAGTATTTTAGGCTGGAGGGTCCTCCCGACTGAATGGTCCCCGCCAAACTGCTATTGAACATCCAAAACAAAAACATCAACAAAAACGATCCGGCCTAGGGGTTTCGGGGCCGTCCTGTAGGTTTCATCCAAAAATTGAGGATCATGCCCGTTGTTTGTTGCCGGGGTAGTAATCTCAAATAAGCATCAATTCCACGCTCTCCTTGTACCCAACAAGAGCATTTCCTTCCTTGCTGTCCAGGACGATTGTGTTTGCTGGCAATGATCATGATATGAGTTTTGCTATCTGATTTCTGCCTCGGGATCAGAGTGCTTTGCAATCCCTCGTACGCGGCAGATTCAAGGTTGCGTGACTGTACATACTTCGATGCTTCTCAGGCCCAGCACCATCCAATCGGAAAGCAGCTTCGAAACCTTCGCCACAGCAGCACTGCCTACGCCTCTGAATCAGGCGCGTCGTGCATGAGTGCCTGGACTCCCTATAGCTATAGACAGGACTACGCTCATCCTTGCATCACCGTGGCCATGAATAATACTCACCGGAATGGCGTCGCTTAGGTTTCTGCGACGTCATATATCATACGGCGCAAATCGTTGCATTTCGTGGCATGCTTTGTGATGAGTAGGGCAAGTAAATGGGTATTATTGATTCTGGAGCTTTTCCAGGCTCGATCCAAGGATATCTAAAGCACTATAGCAACTTACAGTTGGCCCTTGGTCTTTGTGGGTCCCTTAGCCACCGTGAGTAGAATTTGTACATCTAGTGAAGAATTGCTCGCTTCGCTTGCAATAACTTCAAGTTGCGCATCTTGGATCAAAAGATTTATGGGAGAGCGCGCCTATAATGAATCTGAACACAACTATACCAAGAACTTTCGAGACCTGTCCAGCTCTTTTGCTGAGATACCGTATGGGGGCTTAGAACAGCTGCCTGAATCCTTAGAGTACTAAGCCTGAGGTACGGTGATGAATATATGATAGGTGAAGGTTTGTTGTGGCAAGGTGGCCGAGCGGTCTAAGGCGCTAGTTTCAGGACTAGCCACTTTGAGTGGCAGCAACTTACTAGTCCGAAAGGGCGTGAGTTCGAATCTCACCCTTGTCAAGATGTTTTTGTTGTTTTTCTCCACTGCCTCCTTTTGTTGTGACCGCCACGTGAAATCCTCGCTTGGAGTCAGACGTCAGGACGAAGCAGTACTGCAGCAGTGGTTGAAAGTGGTATTCCTCTGAGGCCGAAATTCGAACTGATCACCCCCGGGCCCCCAGTATCGTCACGGTCCGTTTTGAGACTTATTTCGCGGTCGTCATTGCTGTTCTGAGCCGCCACCAATACTGCTCAGACTATGGACCAGGTAAGCTCTCCGTGCGTTAGCAGGCAGGAAAGATGTACATTTGGCAGGAATCTTTCAGGAAACTCTTAGAAAGCAGTCGGACGCCTCGTCCTAGTTCAAAAGGTACACCGACAGCGTCTCGTGGATCAATAGCTACGACTACTACCAAGAGCAAGGCGTATGTTATTCCAATCTTCCTCTTTCTCGCCTATAGTTGGCTGAACAACTCGTGACAGAAAGACAGTCGATGCATCTGAACCTGCATTCAAGCCGAGAAAGGTGAAGAAGGGAGGGCAAGGGAAGTATAGAGATCGTGCCGTTGAGAGGAGAGAAGGCGTTGGGAATGATTTCGCGGAGGTACGTGTCAGTGAACAAGGACTCGCAGTGGCGTGTATAACTCTCCTTATTACTCAGGTGGAAACTCTGTTAGAGGATTTCGAGAAGCGGAATGCGGATGCTGCCGACGTACGTACTGGTCTCACCCCCACCGGCGTGATCGCTTATGGGCCCTACTGTAAAGCTGGAGGAGAAGCGTCGCTATCTGGGTGGCGATGCTGAACACTCAATTCTCGTGAAAGGTCTTGACTTTGCCCTACTGGAGCAGAACAAAGCTCGTGCAGCAGCAGAGGCTGCGGCCCAAGACGACGAATCCCTTGAGAAAGCTTTTGAGGAAGCCGCTACAATACCCAAGAAGCGTACTCGGGAGGACATCCTCAGAGAGCTGAAGGCCAAGAGGCAGAAAGGAGAGATCGACGAGGAAGCTGCGAAAACGGAAAAGGCTGAGAAGGAGAAGAAGGAAAGGGAGAGGGATCTAGCGTTGGAAGAGGCCAAAAAGAAAGGGAAGTTCAAGCCTATCGGGTTCAAGCCGATCGGTGAGTCCGCAGGTGCGGAGGGGAAGAAGCAAAAGAAGAAGGTAAAAGAGAAGGATGAGGGTGAGCGAAAGAAGAAGAAAAGAAAGGTGCAAAGCGCAGACGGGAAGGACACGGAGCCAGGTCTGGAAGCGGCTTCAGGGGCAGCAGAGAGCGCCCAAATAGCTGAAGCCAGCACGTCTAAGCAGGAAGCACCCAAGCCGGCTCCCCCTCCCCCTCCTGAATCAGAGCCTCTAGATGACGATTTTGACATATTCGCCGGGGCGGGCGAATACGAAGGTCTCAACATTGGAGATGACGATGAAGACGAAGAAGGGGAAGCCGACGCCGGTCCGCCCCCTCCCGAGAGCGAGCCCACACAGGAACCGACCCCGCCGGCAAAGGCGAATTGGTTTGGTTCTGAAGAGTCGGAACCCCCTGCCTTACCGACAGGACCTCCACCTATCATCGAGAAGCTCAAGGCCAAGTCACGGTCGCCGGCGCCACCCGCTGCAGGGAATGAGGAGGAGGAAGAGCAGCCTACTAAGTTGGCCCCCTTAGCGGGTAGCGCGATACCGAGTATCAAGGAGTTCTTGAGGATGGAGGAGGAGGCGGAAAAGGAGAAGAAGAGGAAAGCGAGAAGGGATAAGAAGAAAGGGAAGAAGAGCAAAGACGATGGCGATAGTGGTAAGTATGCGCAATTCCTAGCTGATTTGAGCTGACGCCCTTTCATTTGTCAGAATAATTGGCGTAGTGTAACAACAGCCTTCGTTTCAAGCAAGCCGCAGAGCATCGTTGCCGACCCGCTCGTCGTGTTTCTTCCATCTTGCAGTTTTATGAGTAATCCGGGATCTTATCATTCCTTCGGATACTCATCCTGGAAGGGCGTAAACATTGAAACGCAAGCCGTGCATATGAATGACAGATTCTATAATATGGTGATATTTACAAGACTTCAAGATCTATGCAGAAGGAAACGAATCCTACGATCACTCGAAAGGGGTATCAGATATCTTCCATTTTGATATCGTGTTCGTTAAAGCGCGCGGCGTCCTACGATGAGTGTCCAGTACCGATTAAACTGTGTGATGAGATGATCTCGAGGGGTCCCATAAGAGCGTCCGCAGCGCCAGCATGTAGGTCGAGGAAGTACAGCGGCCTCAACATAGTCAGACTGCTCGAACTAGCGGGAGCGTGGCTGCCGAAGGGGTGTCCCCTGTGCCAGACAGGGGACCCTGCACGGCTCAGTGCTAGAGTCCGCAGATATGGAGGGAAACGAGTCGATTTGTACTCAGGGGTCACGATACCTCGGATAATGGTAACGAAAGTCAGCGACACTGAATTATCGTCTGCTGACGTTGATTATCATTTCCTATTGAGAAGGGAAACATTGCCTTGCATACACTGATACATACAGACGCATACATATACCAAGAAACGAGTCCAAGAGTCACTTGCAAGAAAAGGGTATAATATATATTCTTATCATCGTTGTTAAAGCGCGCGGCGTCCTAAACCGAGTGTCCAGTACCGTGTAAACCGTGGTGATATGACTTGATGGGTCCCATGGAAGCGCGAGTATGTCCAGTCCAGGTCTTCGTCCGAAATGCGGAGCACCAGAAGGAATGCGGACAAGCCTCTGAGACGATAACTGTAGAGTCGACCGAGGATCAACGCAGTTATCCTCGAACTCGCATCGGTAGTTCCGAGAGCGTGGCAGCCGAAGGGGCGCCCCCTGTGCCAGACAGAGGATCCTGCACGGCGCCGATGCTGAGGTTCAGGAGATGGGTCCGAGTTCCACTTGAGAGGGAGGTTTTCCATGTTCATATCTTGTTCGTTAAAAGTGCGCGGCGTCCTATAATGAATGTCCAGTACCGTATAAACCATGTGATGAGATGACTTCGAGGGTCCCAGGTCGCCAGCTTGCAGATCATACAAGT